TCCTTTAACACCACCCTCCCTTTCTCCCCCCCCCCCCCCCCCCCCCTCTCTAATACCATTACGGATAATTGACTTTAAGAAAAAACGAGATGCAGAGACGCAATGTGCGTGAGTGAAGAAAAGATAAAAGGAATGATATGAAAATGAAGTCGACCATGGTTGCGTCTTAAGCAGAACGATAGAAAACAGGTAAGGAGAAGTTTCCTTCCGTTCTATTCCATTTTATGCGTTCCATCATACAGAAAAATCCTTACGACAAGTGTATGTAGTGTGAAATAAATTAGAACTAATCTCCTTAGAAATTTCAAATACTTGCCTTGAAACTTGCGGGACGCACACGAATGTGATCTGTCCTGCTCATCTGATGAATTCACTCAAGCTGAGATGAGAATAATAAGATCTCTTTTTTTTTCAGAAACCTATTGATAATTATGATCATTAGGTCAAGAAGTATTAGTTGCATTATTATCTTCAAATCTTCCTTTGTTAATGATGTCTACGACCTTGTTTTCCCGTTTTGACAACAACTTCTTACTTTTTACCTATTCTTGTAAAAGTAAATTAAAGAAAATATCATTAAAAATGTCTTTTTCTTCGTTTGACTTCTTTGAACGATCAGAACATGTCGAAGAACAAGCCTGATGGAGTACGATTTTCTAATAGCAATAATCGTTTCTTGTTGGCCTCCTCGTTTCTGATTATCACTGATCATCTGAAATTGTTTGTTGTCATCCCACTTCCACCTCGCTCTACACTTTCATTATCGACGTCAATCGTGCACAAGTTGGCGAGGGGGAGAAATCAGCGAAGCAAAAAAGAGAATTCTTTACTTATGGAACATAATGGTCCGGTTAATTATATATTAACTCTAGTTCAATCGGAATGTTATTACGATGTTTTTCTAAGGGAAAGTGATTTCTTTAGTTTTTATGTCTGTAGATGAGAAGAAAAACGAGAAAAGAAAAGATTAATTATTTTTTATGCTTTTCCTTATATCTCTTTTCCTATTCTTTTTTACCCTGAAATGACTGCAGGGCTCAGAACGACATCGAAGATAGAGAAGACATATAGACAGTTAAATAATCGCGATCCGCATGTAGTTGATTTTCTGTGTTGACCTTCCATACTTTCTCCTTCGTCAAATAGAATCCGAACGACTTTGTCATCCTTTAATATAGCCTATTAAATAAGTATCTGTGCGTCCCCTGGGAACAATACATAATACGATGCCCTATACGCGTTTGATTTCTTCGATTGGTTAGCTTCCATCGGTATACAAACGAGACGTGTATGTTTATGACTTCGCTTTCATAAGATCAATCAACAACGAGATGGAAATGAAGCAAATGAGAATGAATGTCGGTTAGTGTACGTACATGCGTGTTGCTTTATGCGAGATAAAGAAGAATGGAACAAGTGATTTTCTATCGGAAGTAAGGTCTTGTTTTCTTTCTAATCATACAAATACTTTAAATAGAAGTTCATTAGATGCAATTGTTATGTTTAGTTTGATCCACATTTTTGTCTTGAGAAAAAAAAGGGAGAGAAGAAAAGAAAGGCTTTTGTCTGGACTCCTCTAAAGATTTCAAGTATACTTTTTCTTGTCGTAGTACTTATTCTTATTCTCAAAACAGTCAGTTCTTCTATTTTGCTGATCGTTTTCTTGCATTTATTCAGTTTCTTCTCTTCATCTTGGCGATGTCAGTCGTCATTCACTCTGCAGAGATATATACAACAAGGTTAAATCAGTTTCTTTTGATCATCTTGTAAAAGTGATTTGCATGAATCCTTTCTGTTGTTCAATATAAATGCTCAAGACCGAGAAGCAAAAAGAAAACTGAGAGAAGAAAGAAGTTTTGTTATTGAAGAGAATGGGGAAGGAATCAGCAGTGAACAAAAACAGTGAATAGGATTAGGCATGTTGTCGAGCTAAGAGAAAACGTCATGACGGATGAGAACAAGACCCGCATGAAATACTTATCAGCAGGAATAACGTACGATCGGCACAAAGAAAGAAAAGAAAAGAGAAACCCTTCAAGTTTCGATGCTTCATACTGTGATCCATTCTTTTTTTAAAAGACGTTCTCAGTAGTCGAGACGTGTGATGTGTCTCATCAAGAGAAGATAGTTTCGAAAAAAGAAGAAGAAAAATTAATGGAATAGCCTTGTCATCTATTTATACATATTGTGCGCGCATCATTCAAGACATTCTAGATTGTCTTTGTCCGCACTTTTTGTGTCAACAGATCGTTCTCAAACGAGTCTGTCAACAAACTTCTAGACCTCGTTAGATTTTGTTTCTCATTTTCCGTTTTTCTTTTTGTATATGTATGGATGTGTGTTAAAAATGAATGAGTCGATTAGTTGAGAGACATTATTCGAGAAAGCAAAATTTTTCTTCTCCTTCTTTTTTCTTCTTCCTTCTTTTTTTTGACGTTTATTTGATAATTCATTCGTTTTGCTCGTTCATAATTGCCAATGAAGCGTATGCGAATGAATGCAGATGTTTAGCTCGAGCAAGACTTTAATTCAAAATTACATTATGTCTAAAGAGAATAGGAAATTTTTGACAGCAATAAATATTGAAAGAAGAGGAAAACAACATTGGCCTGTTTCATCAAACAACACATTATTATCACGTAGTTCAATCGAATCAGCCTCCTTTCCAACATTATTTTAATCTTTCGACATCTCGTTTTCTTCTTCTCAATCTTGTTGTCGTCGTCGTCGTCGTCGCGTACGTCAGCGCAGATCAAAGATAGCAAAAACATGAGTTCAGTTGTTCGCAGATCATAGCAAGTCAAATCAGAGTATGAATGCACGCACATCTATTTCAAGGTGTACGACTCGAGTTGGATCGCATGCTGAGATAATCTTCATTATTATGCTTGACTTCGACGTCCTTTCTAAGCCAAATCGCATTAATATTTTCTCCTTTTGAACTAGTTTAATAGTTAACAATCAGAAAACTTGTAAACATGTTCGCTAATTAAAAATCTATCCTAGCTTTTCTCTTCTTTTCTCCGCCGATGATTTACTTTTGAAGTTCTAGAAAGATGCGGATCATATACCAATAGTGCGCGTCATCTTCTTCTCTTCGTCTTGTCTCTCGACAGAAATGAAACATTCCTCGAGCACAGCTTCAGTCATGATTTTAATCAAATGAATTTGATATTTTTAGATATGTTTGTACGAATCGGGATATCATTGAACACAGCATGTTTCTTAATTTAACTAATTTCTGTTCGCGTATACATGACGACAGTGAACAACGATGAACTAATCAACTCCGTAAGCGGTTTCCCACCGCAAACATCTCTTCTATTGGCTAATCCCACGACTCGACCAATATTCACGTCCATTATTATCATACTCCAAGTTTATCCGGTGCTCATGTGTATATTGGGATCATTTGGAAATCTTCTCTCCTTCTGTGTTCTTCTCCGTGCAAATATGAGACGTTATTCGACATTTTGTTATTTAGCATGTCTTGCACTTGTTGATCTAGGAGTTATCATCACATTTTGTACTAATTTCATATCATTATATCATTTCGATAATGATATACAAAATGGGCCATTTGCATGTAAACTATTTGCATTTTGTATCTATTTTCTTCCACAATACTCGTCTTGGATCCTAGTCGCTGTCAGTATTGATCGCGTTATATCAGCGAAATATCTTCGTCTTGCGAAAACATGGTCCAAACCGCGACACTCTGTCTTAGTCACGCTACTTCTCGGACTACTTCTCGGCATATTAAATAGTCACTTCTTTCTCTACGAAAATAACTCTCTCAAACAACAAATACAACAGCAATTTATTCAAAATAATCGAACTGCTCTTGAAAGATTTCTTCCATCAGATACATTCATACAAGAACAAGCCGACGAGTTTCCATTAATCAACAGTATATCTGGCTCATCAGTATCTTCTTCCTCCTCCTCCTCTTCTTCCTCATCGTCATCGTCCTATTATGACTCCTTTACACCACCGTCAATTCAATCGCTTCATCAAGATGTAACTCTTCAACAACCGCAATCCTATGATAGTCTAATCACGATTGGCCAAGAGACTATTCCTTTCTTTGATGTGAACATCATTCACTGTTCCTTGGAAAACTCACCCGAACACGCCTCACTTCATGTCTATTGGGTTTGGATCGATTTGATGATGAACGTCTTCTTACCATTCACAGGTAATTCGATGAAACTCGATTTCCTTTTCATCATCTTCTCCCTTTTCTTTTCAAGCCATGATCGCTTGCACGGTGATTATTATCTTAACACTTGTACGTTCATCCACCCGATCCGGATCCACATCCGCTCGTCGTTCACGTCGTCGTCGTAATATTTCTGTTATGTTGATTACTGTCAATCTCGTTTTTATTAGTCTAACAGCACCTATTGTCATATTTTTAAGTGTTTATGCATACGTGAAAGACGACAACAATTACTATCGTCAATCTGTCTTGATATTAATCAAAATTTTTTGTATTATTTTGATGAATTTGAACCACTCAATTAACATTGTTATTTATTCGGTGACAGCGAAAGAATTCCGCACGGAAATGACCAATTTCTTGCGTGCAGTTCTCTACTGGATCATCGGCAAGCCAACAAATCCGCATGATTTGGAATTCATGGAAGACAACGGTACATTCTTTTCGCGATTTCGTCGTTTAAGATACAATTTGTTCAAATGTTGTCAAATCAAAATGCGCAATAATTCGTCGAATGACAACGATTCCAGCGGTCAACATCCAACGAATGCGCCCGCCGAACACAGCAAACGTCAATCGACCATCGATGGTAATATCGGAAACAAAATCGCCAAACAGAAGAAGCCCGGCCGAAACGAAAAGAAAAAACGCAAATCTTCGTATGTACGCTATAGTGAAACATCGACAACGCATCGAAATAGTAATCGTTTAACTGTACAACTTCAATCGGAACATCGGTCATCCGTATTCGAACGTGAAGATCTCTCACTACAAGATAAATCGAATTCAACTGAAGGTTAGAGAAATACTCTCTGTTAAAGTTTCTTTTTCTCGTTATTTACTTCTATTTAATCGTAAACATACCCAAGAATATGATCAAGCATGGGAAAACGCCAAAAAATCATACACACACAAAGACAGAATACAAATCGATTGTTTGTTTGTTTGTTTTTATTATTTTCGAATATAGAATACTTGGATTTGTTCGATACCTTTCTCGTTCAATATGAAACGATCGTTTATTTAATCGTATAGAATTACGAGTGGTATGTCTCGAAGGCAACTCGCTTAAGGTTAAAATATAAAGCACGGCAATAGCTAATGATCTTCCTCACGACTAAATATCAGTTCTCGTGCTCGTTGAAGAAGACGACAAAATTACGAATAAGACTGTAATTTGCTCAGTGGTAATTTCCGCTGCTTTTATTAGCGCATGAAAAAATCGAGTAGACGACAGTAATGTTCTGGCAGGTTTTGACATAAACTCCTACGAGTGGAGCAAATAAGTACTTTCGTCTTCTTGTAGCCTGTGATATTTCACATTTTTTGTTCTCGAAAAGGAAATGTCTCTTGACTTATACTTGTATTTTTGTTTCGGCTATGTACCAAAAATATTAACAACAAGCGAAAGTTTTTTCTTGGCATCGCATTGAGCTCATCGTGTCATGTGGATTAGCTGGCAAAATTGATCTTCTGATAAAAAATAATCCATCTTTGTGCAGTCGAGAGCTGCACGTAATTTAGGAAGATCCGATTACAATCGAGTTCCATATTAATGTAAGAACATTTTTCAATTAATTTTCAAAATAGAATCTGTTGCTCTTGTTCTCGTGACAATTACAACACAGCACATGTCACCTTTTCTCAAACTTCGCTCCACTCTAAGATTGTTTCCGTTCAGAAGTTCATTTAGTTGCTAAAATGTTTCGTACTACAAGTCGCTTGTCAACTGAAGCATACAATCGAATATGCTTACAACTGTAGACGGTCTACGTGGGAGTTGAACTGCGGAAGGACAAGATCAAAAGAATATTGGTAGACTCTATACTAAAATCAATTATGAAGTTCAAGCGATACATGCTCACTACTCGATAAACTTTTGATTGAATTAGACAATTTAGGACGTCAATCTACAATAAACCTTCATTCTTTACAATTTTTCAGTAGTTAAACTTGAATGAATGTTTTACAATAGATAAGAGCAAAACCGATTTTCTATAACTCCTTCATGGGTTTACTCACTGCTGTCGGCAGTTGAGAGATTATAAACTGATATAATTAAAACAAAAATAGGAGCAAAGATAAAAGAAAAACGGAAGTGAGAAAGAGAGAGACGAAGAAAAAACGAGATCAATTAAACATTAGTACATATAGAAAAAGAACAATGACAGTCTATGACCTTTGTTCGGTATCTATAAGAAGAGAAGTTATCACTGATGTTCGTTATTGCTCAATCTATCTTTATTGTATAGATTTTTCGGACGAATGCTTGAGTGCCAATAAAACCGAATGTGCCACACATAATGCCGAGCCCAAGAGAAAATAATGCCATATAACCAAAATAGAATACGATTTGAAACATTCCGTACATTCTAAACGAAAACAAGATTTGCCATAGAATTGCGAGCAATCTATTTGCTTTGTAAATTACTTGGTTTTAAAGAAAAAATAATATATTGCATATAGATAAACATACATCGATGATGACGCACCAGCGAGAAAGCTTGTCCATTGCCTAATGACGAAAAAGATTGTCGAGTTTTAATTGTTCTTAAGCAAATCCTTTGATGGCAATGACGAAATTCGGAGTGAATCTTCCTAATGGAATCGTTAGGGTTAAGCAATTTTGAGTCTATTAGATTAGTCTCATCATATAACGTAGTTAGAGAGTACAATGAACAGAACTTGCTGGAAAGTATCATTTTTCATAGATTACGCTCATATGTCTCTACTTGTAAAAGCTCGCTAGAGTGAAAAAGATAAAAGTAGACTATGAAACTCCGTCATTTACCATCGATAATCTTCCGCGTTTAAGAGGAAATACGTAGCAACTATTGTCACGCATACAGTAACCACAGCGAGGATTAGAAATACTAAAAGCATGAATCCATAGACATAATAAATCTAGAAGAACAAATGTATGATTTCGATCGTTCGAATGGACTTGTTCAGATTACTTTATACGCCCAGAATGATGTGAAAATAAAATACCTAAAAGTAAATCCGAAAGTTATTTCACTCTTTTTCAAAACGAATCTTCTCGTACATTTCGATAAATATCGAACCAAACGGCAATATTCCACTGGCAAAGATGATTACAAATGGTTCGGTGAGCCATTTTTTTTGTGGTATAGGCCGTGGTACAACGTTTGTTCGACATGGATGGTCTGTTTTTCCACTGATGTTTCTTCCGAGTACCGCTCCTATGGCAGTCAATGGTAGAATAATAAATAAACAGATTGCCGTAACACTCAACTAAAGATCAAAGGAAATATGAGATGTAACAATAGATGTGAAGAAACTCCACTAACCATAACAGTAAATGGAATTGAACGTGAAGAACCGTAGTATATCGAAATGAAATTTACAGGGAATGACACAGCACATATTGTCAATGGAACAAGAAATGCGCCGACAATGAGCTGTTTCATCCATAGATGTCCTAAATCAATCGAATTGTATTCGATGTCCAAAGCAAATCGTTCACTTCTTACCGCCCATTCTTGCGTATAAACTACCACCTGCATACCCATTCACAATCGATGATGCAGCATAGAGAAATATTGCTGTACTGAAAAGTAATGCACGTCTAAAAACAAACACGTTTTCCAGTCAAATCCAGGCATGAGATATTCTCTTTCTTACTCGGTGTAAATATCACCAAGAATAGTAATAATTATGCACAGAATAGTCACGGTAGCTATTTGATAACCGGAGCCAATTAGTGAGCAGAATAATATCGGATGTGGAGGAGAACGGAAAACATCACCTGAAACTTGTTTCCAACCGTAATCATCACCTAATTCTGACTTCTACGAAAACAGCAAAGGCGATGCTAGAGATAGAATTCAATTGTATTTCATACAGTATCAAGATCGTAGTCTTTTTCATATCTGGCATAGTCTTTTCTCAATGTTCTCAAGAGAATCATCGTCACGATTCCAACCAAAAATAAAACCATCATAAATGAGTTGAATATCGAAAACCAATGGATCTAGAGACGTATTGCTCTCAATCCCTGCAAATAAATGTTTTTCAGCTCTTTTACCTTATGTTGAAAAAAGCCAGGATCCAGATATTTATCAAATCGTTTCGAAAATTGAGTTAGTGATGGTTTCCAGACTACTTCATACGAAAATACTAGTTTTGAGTCTGGTTTGATTTGAACTTTAGATTCGGATGTTATATTCACATCAACAATTCGATTTCCATTATAGCCAATATCAAACTTCTTATGTGTCCAAATGTATACAATTTTTCCAGATTCATCCATTTCACCAACAACACCTAATTCACAAGAAAACAATAGAAAGTTAAAGAGATCAAAGTCATTTTCTTACCCCAAATCGGCAAATCATCAATGAACATCTGATACCAATAATGATTCTGAATTGCGTATAAAAACTGTTCATATTTATATGATGTTAAAACAACTTCGCAGAATTTCGTCGGACTTTTGTCACCTATAAGACAAAATCTGTGTATTTCATCAATTCAGCATCAACTCAACAATTCCTACGTTTAAAATTAATATCAATTCCACTATATTCCAATTCCACACCAAGAATATTTTCACCTAACGTTTCATGATAATGTGAAATTTCCTTTTTATCTCCTCGACAAAATGGCAACGAGAAATAATTGTATGTCTCTTGCCGATTATGGTACGGACCGATAGTATTCATCCATAAGACAACCTCTTGTCCATCGTCATACTAAATTAAATGATTGTTTGCTCGAAAAACAGATTGGATTTACTAATTTTACTTTATGATTATGCTCATCACAGTAAATGAAGGATATAGATGTCAAAAAGAATGCAGTTATTCGCAATAAATTCATTATCGTTGAAGTTTTAGTCGTTGGCTAATCGAATTGTGGCTTCATCTAGAACAGAACAGTTTGCTTTCTTTTTTCATTGAAGATTGAGTTACGTATATCAATGAGCATATTTGCGATATCATCAAACTCTACTCATTTCTCATTGGTGAATGTGTTCTCCTGTAACACATCGATGCATTTTGTCAATGCATTAATTTTGAAACCGATTGACAATTTAGTTTATCGGATGGATAGAGACGATTTCAATTCGATAAAGTATCAAACCGAAAATAAAATCAGTGAAGGTCGTTGCTAAGCATCCGAGTTCTCTCAATGGCGTTGTGTGTCTGTAAACTAAGAGCAACAGCACAAACGCTTTTCTTCTGACAATCTTTATCAGAATTCATCCTCAGTTTGAGAAAGAAAATGACATCATCAAGTTATATGCTCGATCGTGAAATAATTGGTTCATCTCGAGCCATGATTGATGTTTATTCCAATGCACCATTGACCCAAAATAATACTTATCGTAGTTCGTACGGATCGGTAAATCATCATCACCATGGATACACACACGGTTTTGATGATAATTTAGAAACCAAAAAAGTTGTAGTAGATGTAAGTAATTCATTTATATGAAGTGATGATAAACGATCGAGTTGTTTAGTATCAAGAACAAATTCGGTTATTGAAAGCTGATCTAGAAAGGAAAGATGCGTTAATACAAGAATTAACATCGATTAAGTAAGTTGGTTGGTTGACAAAACGTTACAATTTTGTTGTTACACTTGATCTAGAGATCCAAGTAAGCCCGAAGCTTTCGAACCAAGCAAATATGAAGCTTTAATGGGACAAGAACGCATTGCTATGGAAGCTCTTCGACGGGAGTTCGATCACTGTCGAACAAAAGTAGACGGATTAACTCATGACGTACGGCTCTTATGTTTCCGTGAAAGATTTGAAAGCATTTCTTTTAGTTGCGAGAAACAACATTGAAATTATCGGCAAAAGATGAACGTATCAATGAATTAAAACATGAAATCGAATCAGTCAGACGAGAACACGAATTACTCAATCAAGTGAATAATCAATTGCGTCTACGCATATGTGAATTGGAGTCTAATGTGAATTCTTATGATTCTGTGGCGAGCAAATCCTCGTTGACGATAACAGCGTTGCAAAGAGATGCAAAAGAAAAACAAGATCAAATCGTCGAATTACAATCGCGAGTTCGGTAAACATTTTCACGTAGAAATCGTCTCCGCTATCCATATCGTATCATTTTTTTTTCAGATTGCATATGGAAGAACGCGAAGCTAGCGAAAGAAAAACGGAATCATTCTACAAAAAACTACAAGAATTATTCTCACAACTAAATGTTACATTAACTGGTGATTTCGGACAACCAACACCTGGATCATTCGATGGTATCATGACTAAAGTAAGACGCTTTTCCATCGTCAGCAAGCGATGCACCTCTGACTCGATAGATCACTGCAATCGCTGCCGAGAGTACCACATTGAAAGGCACAATCGTCAAGCTCGAAGAAACAAATCGTTTATTCGACACGGAGCTGAAAGCTAATCGTGCGACAATTCAACAAATGGCGAATCAATTACATGTTTACGAGCAAAACACTGTTGCCCATCATTTACAACTCGATACAGTCAAAGCTGAACGTGATACCGCACTGAGTGAAAAAGAAGCAGTGAAAGTTGAGTTGGAAACTTTGAAGGCACGTTTGGATTCTGTACAGAAAGCTTGGCAAAACACTCGAGGTCAACTGGATGAACGCGAAAGTAAATACACGTCTCATGAGTCACATTTGAAACAACTGGAAAACGATTTACTCTACGCAAAATCGTGTTTCGATGCATTCAAACAGCAAGTCGGACAATTATTGTCCGATAACTATGTTAAAGTCGAACCGAAAGAAGATGAAATCAAAGAAAAAATTCATTTGTTAATGCAATCAAGTAAAGATCGAGGAATTGTAAGTGTTGATTTCAATTACAGAATGACTCAACCTTAACTTCTACTCTTTCTTAGATTATAACTAATCTTCAAAATCAAAAAGAACAATTATCGAAGCAGCTGCAAGAACAGATCGATCTTGCCAAAGACGCTGACAACAAACGACGTCAAGCGGACACACGTTTATACGAATTAGAACACCGTGTCAAAGGTTTAGATCATGACTACACAACGAATGAAGTGTATCGTGAAAATCTTAAACAAGACAAAGCGAAATTTCTTCAGTTCCTCGAACGTCTCGGCTCGATCATGAAAATCGAGAACGTTTCCAATGAGCTTGGTTATGAACTCAATCCCGACGTGCTTTTGACACGTGCTGAACAATTAATGAAATTGGAACGTGATTCGATCGTCGATCAAAAAACGTCGATTTATAGTTTACAGAGAAAGATCAAACAGTTGAAAGAACAAATGGACAACAAAGATTTGCATTTAGATTTATTACGCAAGAAGATCATCGCATTGGAAGAAGGACGTGCCGCGAAAACCGATTTGGAACGAGAAATCGATGATCATGTGATGTTATCGAGAAAGATGAAAGTCAAAGTCGATCATCTAACACAACAAGTTCACGATTTGAAACATGAAAATACTCAATTGAAAGCTCAAATAACGGATATTCAAACATTGAAGGTAAGTGTAGAACGAACAACCAAGTGAATAATCGCATTTTTTTTTGCCTGAATTTAGAACCGAATCAATGAGCAAGACAAAGAAATTCGACGACTTTTAGGAGATATTGACAAATTACAAAATACTCGTGATAAACAAGCAGTGAAAATTTCGACTTTACAAGACAAAATACATGCCGTCGATGATGAAGCAAATAAAAACTTATTTTCATCAGATAATGCTGTTCGAACGTTATCCAATGAAGTACGATACCTTAAAAGTTCATTGGAAGAAACAACTGCACGAGAACATCGAGTAAAATTCAAGTTTTCCTTAATTACATACATGTGACACATTGCTTTCATTGTTTTTTTCTAGTTACTCGATTTCCGTGCACTGATCGCCCGTATGCTCGGTCTTGATGCCAAATCGTTATCAATACCTGATTATGAAATAACCGCTCGTTTAGAACGACTTCTCACGGTTGTTCAGCCAACAATGGCGATACCCGTTGTACCAGTAACTTCATCAACAACAGCAACAACAACAACTACGAACCAACTTTATGATCATAACTATCATCACCATCATCGTCATCAAAATTCTCATTCAGCACATCCACGACATCGAAGTCCAAGTCCAGTAACCTATCGAACCGATGGCAATCATCGAGCACGATCGCTTTCGCCATTACATGCTGGAATTGATCCTCGAACATACTAACATTCTCTTGACATTCACATTTAGATCTCTTCGGATTCCTATCATTATTTTTCTCATTGGTGTGCATATCTTATAAGGGGAAACAGTATTTTTAAACTTCTCTGTTCGTTTATCTCCTTCGAAATGGCAGACTTGGAGAACCCGTTCACTCATCTTTGCCATTGAAGTTGTAATCAGTGTCTTTTCGGAGTACAAATACACAACAGTATCAAACAGAATGAACTCTCTTCAATCTTAGGTACAAACTGAAGTTCTTTATTTAAATCGAGTTTAGTTACCGGTAATAATTAGAATGACTTCATATCAACCGGATGGTATGATATAGAAAGCAATTAATGAAGAAAATCTTTTAGTTTTCGTTCGACCGATCGTTTCTCTTGCTTCATTAGACGCGCATGATTTTGAAGATATGGACGATCATCGCTAGTTTGTGCGATAACTTGTTGAAACGATTTTTTCCACAATAAATGAGAATATTTGACATTAGACTTGATTTTACTCATCGAAGATCGTGTTTGAACTGGTTTTGTATGACGTGAAGAATTTGGAGGAGAATTGCTTGTCAGCGAATGTCGTGGATTCGGCTGGGATCTTTCGATTTGCGGTAATGATGAGTATTCTTCGGTAATAGACGGGAGACAGTGTTTCTGATTTCGATAGAATAACGAAAGTTGATTGATCGAAGGTAATGACATTCTAGTTTGATTGAGCTTGTCTTGTTTAATATCTTGTTCGTGAGTTTTGAGACGTTGTAATGCCTTTCTGAAATGCAGAAACAGAAATGAAACATCTTCTTTCAGCGAGAAATTTTTTATTATGTACTGACGTTGAGTATACTGTGGTAATGATTTACAAGAATTTTCAATCTATCGAAGGTTTCGATACTAATGAAAACACTTCAGGCTGTTTATTTTCGAATAAATTAACATATATACTGATATGACTAACTTCTTTTGCGCGTTTGTCGACCTGATTCGAACAATTGTGTAGGAAGCGTAAATTGCTTGGCATGTAAGATGGTATTTTCTTAGCAATATCACACTTCAACTGCTAACCTTTTCTAACAAAATTTTGTTAATTAGAGACGAAGAAAAAAACGTGATTTCACTTTACTGGTTCCCTAGCTTTCGTTTAATCATAGCTTACGAGTATTGCCGATGTAGACCTCCTGGGCCAGTCATATCGATTTGAAGTCGGCGGTCATAGATTTGATTCATTCGTTGTCGTTCCATATCCAAGAGAACTACTTGTTGACGATCGGGTGCTGTTCTATGCAAGCGATCTCGGACTTTTTCAGCATCTTCACGGTGCTGAGCGTGTCGAAGCATGTCGTCAAAAGACATAATATTAGCTCGGTTTTTTGAACTATCAAGCATATGTTGTTTTCATGATTGTGACGATGGCAACGCCTCTTCTAATTATTTTTTCTCGTCGATACTTCTCTTTTCCTTTCATCTCTGACTTTTCAGTATATCACTTGATGTCAAATAACTATGAAAAAAGAAATATCATTCCTATGATTAGTCATTCACCGTTGAAGATGGCATACAAAGCAGAGTAGTGAAGTATCCTTGTTATTTAGTTTGAACAAATTCCTTTAGGAAAACCAGACCATATTCAGTCAACTATTATAAGTAGATCGAGATACCTATGGACGATTATATTTTAAGTTAGAGATCCAGCATGTCGTGACTGTCATTGTTTATAGTATATAAATATTAATGATTGTTTTGCTTTTTTCAAATCGCATTGAAAAGGAATTGAACAAAAGATGCATATTTCTCCTTCGTTGACAAATTCAGGAAAGATAGAAGCTCACGTGAATGAAATTAATTGCTTCGACTTCATAGCTGGAAATTATAGGGAGAAAAGACGTCTGTGCATTTAGAATGTAATAAATATGTAATTACTGCATACTTCCGAAAAAAAATGAAGTCATGAAATAGCGATGGGGCTTTCGTAGGATCTATGGATAACCCACCGCTTTCGGACCTCGTTTGCTTTCTGTTAGACACCTGTATTCATATTGAAATATGTTTCAGCTTGTGCAATCACATCTTCCTGCTTCTATAACCGTTGTTATGTATGTGACTGAAAGGTGATTGTGCAATACCAACTTCATTTGACTGCGAGAGTACTCCGTGGTCTAACAACCTACTGGAAATGCAAAACTGATGATTTATCATTCGTGATAATGACACTTTATGAACACAATTAGTTCCAAACCTAGCATGACCATCACTCAACGATCGCTTGCGCTCTTTCTTTGACCAATTCGTCATATATTTCAGTCACATCAACATCAAATTCGAAATTCCCGATCATCACATGATCATCTACGAAGCATACTCTCGCGTCTCTTCCGTCAACATATACCAAATATTTCCATACACTCTCACCCATTTTGTTTCCGAACATATCCAACTCTGTACGCTCACCTAGGTGCTGAATCATTCACCGTTTGCCATCATTCGCTAATTAGAATTGCACAATATCAATCTCATTTCACTTTATCATTTTTCTCTATTCTCATTGCATTCGGAGACACATCAGTGCTGATATGCCTATGATACTGTCATTCATCAACACGGCCGGCCATGAATGCCATTACTATACACACACCATCACTCCGAGCGTGTTTCCACTTTTTTTTACTTTGTTTTTTGAGCAGTTCACTAAGTATAGAATCGTTAGACTTGATCGAGTTGCAAGCGACGTGATGACTGCTTGAATGAGCGCGCAAACTACAAAGGAGGAACACACAATATCAACAGTTTCGAGACGGCTCGTTTTTTCAATAAAATCAACAAACTTGGAGTATGTTTCATCGATATTTAGTAAAAAAAAATCACTCAAACAATACTTGGATGTCGAACAGCTGTGTGTCGGAAACAAAAAAATGAAGTCGTGGCGTAGCGATGGGGAATACGTTTTGATCGAAAGGTAACCCACCGCTTTCGGACCTCATTTTCTCTCTACTAAGCAACTTGTATTTCTATTGAAATACATTTCAGTTTGTGTAATTACGTATCTCTGTTTTTATAATCGATGCTGCGTGCGCCGCTGGAAGATAAGTACGCAATATCAACTTCATTTGACTTTAAGAGTATTTTGGTTACAATCCCAATAATGCCATTAATCTAGTATGACTTCTGACTTTCTTTCGTTTTTTTTTTTCATTTATGCGACATTAGTTTACTAGTAGAATATATTAGATAATGTGTGCGTCAAAATTATAGAATTAACGGCGAACCTACTTGACTTGTCAGTCTTTTGACGCATTACATTTCATGTCAACGTTTAGCATAATTCAAGAATAGAGGTAATCAGAGTGTATTCCGAATTCAATTAAGTTTTCTAGAGAATAAAGCCATCATGTAACATGGCATAGAGTACAACAATGTCATCAAGATGGAAGCTGTGTGAAAAACGTTCCTATGAAACTTTGATCATTGCTGTTATAAACTTTTGACCAATGATGTAACGGAGAAGAATTCAGCATGAACTATAAGTGATAACCTATTGCTATCTGACCTGATTTATCTTTCTGTTGATACCGAAAAAAGGTGTTTTTTACACAACTTTGCGATGTGGTATTCAAAATTATGTCTTCATATTGATCTAACAAATGACTAGGAATCATTCTTAGATTAGAAAATACACAATTGCTTTTGTGTCATCTTAACAAAGATCAAATAGTTCATCGACTCTGCCGATATGTCAATTGATTGACTAACAAGATACCTAACTTCTTCTATGCTCGATATCATTTATATTCAAGTAGACAAACAACTGATAAACACTCTAGTTTTTACCAATAAGTTTCTTCATTCACGTATCCGGAACTAAAACACGACGAAATAGTTTGCCTAATCCCAGGTTTGAAAATCTTAGAGATCAGTTAACCACTGATCAATCTTATATGAGTTTATATTGCAAAAAAAAAACAAGACAATATATTAAAATTCAGTTCAATTTAAAATATATACACATAGAGACACACAAATATACAGGCCATTAAGATAACTCGATACATATGACAATAAGTTATGTCATAAAATGACAACTGAGAAAGAATCGACTGGGAGAAGTTCTATCATACAAATCACAAAAGGAGAACGACTTTTCAAGTCTTTGTTTTTTTTTAAAGATAGCGCCAGCAATTAACTTCTTTTTGAAAGTATATTCATCAACAGTATATGCGGTAGAAACGAACTAAGTTCCGGTCGAAGATTGCCATGGATTATTCGAATATCTCCTACCCAATGATGACATAACGTGGTTAGCATCAATCGTTGTTTCATGCCACACGCTGGCGATTGATCAAGTAGTTGTTCGAAATGAGGAGTCGACGTTTGACTAGAAGAAATGAATTTAATTAAGATTAAATATGCATCCGATGAAAGAATCGCTAGTGGTGGCGAGGGCGTGCGAGGAATAGGTGTATATATGAATATATCACAAGATGAATTAGATTCCAAGAAATATTTCATTTTTTGACGTTTACGTGGAGGAAGTGATGATAGTGGAAGAAGATCAATGCATGTGTTTGATAAATTACTAAAAAGGAAGGAAAACAGTTTTGAGAAAGAAATCAAACGGAGGAAATACGAACGGTAAGCAATCTTGTGCTGATGAGTGTTGTTGTGATAGATCGTTTGTCGGCGAATATCGTGTCGGATACGAGGAAAACTCATTTGATTTGTTCTGGTTTTTCTCTTTACGCATTCGGATGATCAAATCGCGACATTGAGTGAATTGAGGCGAATTCCGTAGACAATACGGATAATTGCAATCCTTTAAATATCGTTGAATGCTCAAGTAATACGAACGTAACGTTTCTGGATCATATTTGAGACCTTTGCGTGTTCGAATTGATGTCAAATAATCAATTAAATACGTTCTCATTGTATCTGGATCGATATCAACAAGTGAAATTGACGATAAATTATGATTTCGCTTTAGAAACTTTCGAAATCGACGCACATCTTGTCGAGTTTTTAACTTCGTATTGCCCAGATTATGACGTAATGATGTATCCATATCCTCATACACACGAGGACAACACTGAAAGTTACAAAAATTTATAATGTATGCGACATGTTTATCTTCTCAATGTTCAGGATAAACGTCGCTTATGACAACATGTAATGACATCATTCTTAACGTAAATTACACGACATTCCTCAAACAAATAATCTTTTAGTGAAACTTTTAATATCTAACTCATCAGTCAACGTAGGTCTTTGTCTCACTGACAGTAATTGCGGTATGAGGGAAGGAAACGTATTTGAGACAGTAAGTCATACGGTAAATAATGTTCGCTGGAAAGCTGAGATGCGAGATGAAAAATTCATTAAAATTTGCTTATATAATAGGAAAACATATGTTGTTTACGCATGTACCCGCGCTTCAATCAGAACGGAAACTCGAGACAAACTTGAAATGGAAAGCGATACAGGCATGAAGTATTTTTGGTAATAATCGTCTGAGCGTGAGAACAAGAGGCTCGTTTGGTCTCGGAGCTGACTAGACACATACGTATTTATGATCTATTTTGATCTTCAAAGCTTGTTGGGGCGAGACAACGGATATCGGCATGTCGGAGGTTGCTGATGAATATTTATTAGTAATTAATTTCTTCTCTCTGCGTACATCATTACAAATGGGATGGCACATGTTCTGCTGAAACAAGACGAATCATTTGGATGCTGTGCAGGACGACATCGGTCATTTAACCTATTCACTCTCATTTCATGCTACAGGTAACTCAATGACAGATTACATCTATACATAGCAAATGATGTAGTCAGATCACGAGTTAAAAAATCTGGTTTAAACAATAATTAAAGTATGTTACAATGAGTAGAAACGTCGTCACCAAACACGTTTTCACTCGTTGACATCTCAAATGATTTTCGTTCTCGACAGAAGATGTGCTCTTACGAGTGATCAGTGATTCTCGAACATAGGTTAATAGGCAACAGCTATATTTGAGCGGAAAAATCTCTTTGATGCTTCTGTACTGGCTGGAAACATATGAATTCCTCAGTGTCAAAAATACGTCGCCAGTTGAGTCGCGTCATTCTGTGCCTCGAACCTTTTACGCCTGTTGTCGCCTATTCTATTCAAAGAAAACTAATCCAACGCGCGTCATCATCTTATGGAGAAAAGAAAAACTTATTAGGCTGTTTAATGGAACATCAAAAACAGGTGCAGAAAACGATGTCGATCTCGAAAAATAACTTACTCGATCAATTTTCATTGTGTCTTGAGAGATTTGCTCACGATTAGCCGAAACAAACTGCACATGTGTTTTCATTTGATACAACGAGAAATATTCATCTAATGAATCTTTGCTCGTCGACGACGATGACGGCGGAGTTTCAATTGTGTAAAAATCGTACATCGTTGAATGTTTTCCTATGTAATCTAGATTGAGAAAGAAGAAAAAAGTCATTGATAGAGCGAAGTTATGCGCATATGTAACGAATATAAAAATAACTTTTATTCTTTAATGAATAGATACGCGACATAAACCAGATGATATAAATAGACCACAGCGTAATGATGGGAGACAAATTTCATGTATAAATATATGTCTATGATAGTAATCGCGTATATATATATGTATATATGTCTCTACCGTTTGGTTCGCGTGCTCGATAAACCGATGATAGGTCGTCGTTGTTTTTACATACATACATACATACATAAACTGAGAAGGAAAAACAGAACCAAATATTAGAAGAGAAAAAAAAAGAAACATAACTGAGGAAATGAGAAGAAGAAGCAGAAGAAAAAATGAGACAGAACGAAAAGACAAATCTACCTATGAAAATACTATGACGTGATGTAGTTAATGACGTACTACTCACATGTTCGTACTTAAGTGAAGAGATAGTGATATTAAATCCTGAATACATTTTCTAAATGCCTATCTGAGATAAAAACAATTTTATCACTTGTATTTCTCTTCTCTAATTTCTCATTTATGACCATTATAGTAAAAAAATTCTCATAAAATCTTCTCTTTTTTTTTCTTCTAAAGTCAATATGTTTTTGTCATAATGTGTATGTTCCGTTTCTTTGAAAGACACATAAATGGAGAGCTTCGATCAATAAATAATCGATCGAATTGCGAGTATTTGCTGAAGAAGCAGAAGAAACGCTGAAGGCGAGAATTTCAAGAATGTTAGCCGAAGGTTCGAAGTGATCAGCTGGAATGAAGCAAATAGATGTCTTTTTGATGACACATGAGTTTTTCTCCTTTACTTCATAGTGATTAATTGACAATGATAACATTTTCTATTCCTGACGGATGACGTCTTACTCATACGATCTGATGTGGTATATGTAAGGATTTACTTTCATGCGTATTTTCATTTACGTCATCGCCGCACATGCGTATGGTCTTTTCTACTCATTTCGACAGGTAATAAAAATAGAAAATACATCATAATTGGTTTCTTCATAATATGATATACGGCTAAAATTAGCTCTATTGAAAATGACGATGACAATGAAACGGTCTTTTTATTTCATGTTGGTTATGCTAGAAAATACTGTTGTGTGAATTTAAAGTCTATGTAAATATTTTCTCAACAAATGTAAGCAAGTGCTTAGTATTGCCGGGTTGACAATCACATGCTGAAATATGTTCTAATTGTTATCACATGAGAAAGATGTGTGTCTAGAAATATAAGAACATATGATGCTCTTCAGATCTCGCTGTTATCTATTCGATGTCATCGGTGAGTATAAAACTCGGTGCATTGTCATATGATTTAATCATGCGTGCGCGTGATTTTTAAGCAAATGAGGAGACGAAGTGATACACTTTTCGTTCGCTTTTGAAGTAAATGTCGGAAAACAAGTACTTTTAACTTCACAAAAAAGACGATGCGAAAGCATTAGTATGTAATGCTTTCGCATCGCCATTCCAATTCCTTATCAATGTAGTATTTAGCTTGTGAATATATTGATGTTATGCAATTACTTTACATGTCTATCGGTACTTCATATTTGATCTCTATATTGTCAAATAAAAACTGTTTCGTACGTAATTGAAAGCGAGTATGTGTTCCATTTTAAATCCACTATCTTGGTCAGATCTGAATAATGTTGAGCAAGTCTTGCAAATTTTGCTTCATGTCATTCACTAATTCATTGTTCTGCCGAGAGAATAAACATGAAAACTGGTCGTATTAGAGTAACAGTCATGCTTGGTCCACGACCATCACTCTCCTATTTTCCATACATGGTTAGAATACAGAAGACTTGCAGCCAAACGAAATGGATGTTGTGTAATTATCTTCCAGCCCTCTACACGATATCGTTTGTAAGAATAAAGAGGCAGTGTAATTGCACAAGATGAAATATATTTCAATATGAATACAAGTTGTCTGGCAGAAAGGAAATGAGGTCCGAAAGCGGTGGGTTATCTGAATCACCCTAGAAACTCCTCCCATCGCTACTCCACGACTTCATTTCTGTTTTTGCCAGACGCAACTATACAATATTCGTACATTGACTGAGTGATTATGTTTTTTGCCAAATGTCGGCCATATGTACTCCAAGCTTGTTGACTTTTGTTAAAAGTTGAGACATTTGAAAGCTAACAACTGAATATTTAAACGGAAATTCGCATGATGTTTTTAATTGATACAGCGTGTCAGTTGCAAACATATATAACTAAATCAACTTTCACGTATATGACGGAGCGACTTATTTATCAATTCTCATATTCATTCTTACTAGTGTTCTTATTATTACTTCTTTCGTTTTGCAATCTCTCTGGTGTTTGATTTTCTTCCATGATCTTACACTCCTTCTCCTTCTTCTTTCATCGATCGAGACTAGATACAAGAGTTCCTGCTAACCTCGATCAGTTTCCATTACGTAGTTACATATATTTTCACACAATAAAAAGTCTCTTATTTCTAATGAAGCACGTCTGGTCTCCATTATACGTCCTCTTTATTCATTCTCTTACATATCTTTACATCCTCATCATAGGGTATGATGATGTGTAGATACTTCCGATGTTCTTCTTCTCCCAGTCATCACATCGCTTGCAGCTCAATCGATTCTGACAATGCTACTCAGTGAACTGTGTAAAAACAAAGTAAAAAAAAACGGAAACACGCTCGGAGTGATGCTGTGTGTATGGTACCGACGTTCATGGTCGACCGTATTGATGAGCGACAGTATCACAGGCATATCAGCACTGATGTGTCTCCGAACACAATGAGAACAGAGGAAAATGATAAAGTGAAATGAGATTGATATTGTGCAATTCTAATTAGCGACTGATGCTCACATGGCAAACGGTGAAGGTCTCAGCGTTCCGGTAGAAGTAATTGCACAAGGTGAAATATTTTTCAGTATGAATATGACTTGTCTGACAGAAAGAAAATGAGGTCCGAAAGCGGTGGGTTATCTGAACCAATGTCTAGAAACCCCTCCCATCGCTACTCCACGACTTCATTTTTTGTTTTGTTCGTTGCTGAAGAGATTTTCATAGGTCCGAAGTCAACGTTTTGGTACTAGTTTTCAGATTAAAAAACAGACTCTACAGTTGATATTTATTTTCCTTTCTTTTTATTCAGAGAAGCATAAGGCGTAGAAAACGAGAAAAAAAAGAAGTTCGTAGTTTATTTAGTCTGCAATATAAATGACTTGATGTTTTTCAAGTAAATCAATGTCTTTTTCAAGCATTTTCATTTCGTATTCAAGCCGTTCTTTGTGTTGTCGTTTCGGAATCGTGTCGATAATAACCGATAAAGTTTGATATTCATGATGAACATCTTCCCATTGTTTTTTCAAACCTAGGCACGGAAAAACTCACATCAGAAATGATTTCGATCCACCCTCTCACCATCGATAATTGTTTGTCGCTCATCGTCGCCCATTTCGCGCATCGCTCCACGACGGAAGTAATCTGAAACATATGTTTGGTATTCTTGTTTTGCCTTTTCCATGTCGTTTCGACGATTTTTTATGTATACAGGTACTTCACCAAAATTCTTGAAGTAAAAAGCTAGGGTTCACGGATCATGATTGAAGGAAAAGGAAGACGTACTTTTTTAAATACATATTTTGGTGTTAGACCACTTGGATCGATTGGATATTTATCTCCATGTCGAGCATCAACGATATTTCTTTGTGGTTTCTTCGGCACTGTCATAACAGTATCCAAAGCATTGGTTTGAACAAAGTTTTTCTCGGTTCTCACGCCCATTTTAGGTGCGTCGTGGATACTTGGAATAGGTGGTTTACGTGGTTGGCAATCTTTACATTTTATTGTATCCTTTGCTAGACAAGACGACAGATGACTTCGTGCTGAGAAAAACGCGGAACTTACGAATGGAGACGGCCGCGGCTGCCGCTCTGCTTTCACCTTGTTTCTTTTTCAAAAATTGTTGTGGATCAGGTAGTGGTTCTTCGGCATAACCCATCGTTCGATGTTCATATGTGCGATCTTTCGATGAATCACGAACGGTCGATTTGAATCTTGACTCGTAACTAATCAAAGGAAAACGTCGACCAAATACAGATTGCACTAAGGAAATCAAGCTACCGTCACTTACCGAGGTGGTTTTGGCGCATGATATTGTGTACGAGGGATTAAATTGTACACGGATTCATCCTGTTGATTTGCTCCATTCTTTCCGACAACCATCTTCTGTTGACTTATGCTAGAAAACAATACGAATGAGCAACGATATTAAAAACAAGTTTCCTAACCATCATCACTAACACACAGATTTTACAGTTGTCTCTTAGCAACAGTGACGTGAAAGAAAATATCGATTAATGAAAAGATTTCGAGCAAAGAATAACGATATTTTTTAGTTTAGACGATCAATTTCGAGATAGATTCGTAATCATTTCAAAATCAAATACATTGATGTCGCTAGTTGTCGCACAACTTTTGAAATCTTGTCCATGGAGGTGTGGGTGGCACTCACAAGTTTCTTCACACTCTCACTTCAGCGATAATTGACCTAGTTTGAGACTCATGCTGTTAAGTATCCCGATAGAAATGTCATGTACATCAGTCTGATGAATCACACTGTTAGTCTCATTGCAGCACAGTGATACGGTGCTCAATTTCGAAAGTTTTATTGTGGCTACGAGCACTGGCATATATGAACCATTTTCATGAAATTTCATAACTTGAAGAGTTTTAAAAATACTAATGCACAGTTCTTTTGCACTCGATACTGCATCGTTCGTTGATTGAAGTCATTCTTCACATATAACGTATATTAAAATATTTCATTTTCTTAATTTATTCCATAAACACAGTGTTTTCATGCTTATGCAACTTTATTTCAAATAAAAATGAAACAACAGTTTCTTTGTCATCTGTTAAAAGCGAAAAAAAAACTTCAGACACACACGCACGCGCGCGCGCGTACAAAATGATAATCATATGGACGGATGAACTGTAACCGTTCGAATCAGCAATAAATACAAGAGAGTGTTTGGATAAGTCATGATAATATTGTATGAATGGTATGATTGCAAGTAATAGTGTGTATGTATGTCTGTGTGTTACACATATAGTTTGAAAAGAATAGAAGAGAAATTCATCAAACACGCACAAATATAAAAACATTCAAGGTAATGATGCTCGGACGGAAGAAAAGCAAAGCAAAAGAAGAGAAAACTGTTCGACAAACATAGAACAAGAGAAGAAAGGAAGACTCTACACAAATGAGTATATATATATATACAAGAAGAATATATTTCTGCTTGAATTATTTCGGTAATTTTAGATCAAATGCTGCTTCTAAAGATGGTAGTTTGTTTGAGGTGATGTTGTCATTCGTCAACCACCATAGTGGTCGTTTGATGCCTCGACCTTTGATTTTGAGAGCTTGTTCGTCATCTTCAAATAGAGATGAGAACGTGGAGTGTTTTGAAGAGCAATCAAAACCATCAAATGCACTTGTATCACCACCGGCTGCTGCTATCTCCGCTGAATATGTCAAATCAGTCAATGCAGCATTGAAGTCATTGAAAAGGTCCTGTTCAGTTTTTGTGGATAGATCGATATCGTTCGGTGTTTCGCATAAATAAGCATCCCAATCGAAAGTGACTGAGTCGAGTAGGAGCATATCCGCGTCGTCGAGTTTCGTGGGAATGAAATTTTGTTTCGAGATGGCTGATGATAGTGATGATGGCGATGAGCTATTCGATTGTTGTTGTTGCTGTTGATGAAAGGGTGGGACCGTTAAGGAATCCGGTGAAGATATCGGAGAAAGGAAACTACTTGGCATTCGTACGTAAGTACGATCATGTGGATTAGTCGAAGTGGAACTTTTGCTTGCAATACACGGAAGAACTGAGTCAATCCAAACTTCACTTTTAATCGTATGGTTGGATTGTTTCGCCGACCGTTTCGATGAACGTAAACGTTTGATAGTTGGTTGTTCTTGTACTAGTTGACGTTGCTGATCCAACGAGAGTTTATAAAATGCTCCTTTCTCTCCGCTTTCCTTCTTCTTACGCGAAACTTTCATGAAATATTTGTTATCTGATAAGTTAATTCGAATGGAGTTCTAAAAAAGAGGTCAATTAGGAAATGTCTACTTTATCTGTCTCAGGGCAACATTTACAAGGTCAAATGAAAGAAAAACTTATGTTTCTATTTCCTTTGAAACTGTCAGAGATCATTTCCTCAGTTGCGTCGATTTACTCTTTCCCGTGTGTAAAGCTGAAAAATAGCTCATGTGTTTTTGCGCTGTTCATTTTTGCATGACGTTTTCAAAGAGAAAGGAAAACTCAAATTTTCTTTTCCTCTATTAAGATATTAAATAATTTATGTAGATATAATTTTAAAAAAATACCTGCCAAGTTGCTTCCATCTTTTTCATATATGGAAAATTTTCAACAAGCCATTCACAAATCATGTCTAATGACATTTTTTCATGACCTGAATTTTTCATTGCTAGCAAAATCAATTGAGAATAAGAATAAACCGGTTTCATGTGAGGATTGTTTCGGTAGACTTTCCAGTGATCATCGTCAACGTTAGAATGATGATGATTATCATCGATATCATTGGGATGTAAAGCACCACTCGATGACGAATGTACAGTCGACACACATTGATCTTTCCGTTTGTTATTAAGCGAATTAGTTCCTGAATTGATTGTTGGAATCGTTCGTTTTAAAATATTGATGTCATGTAGCCAGGAGAGATTGGTTAGACTATCATCGAATATAGTTGGCGAGTTCCGAGCAGGAGTATTGGTGTTATGGGTTGTGAGAATATGGGTAGTTTCACTTGACTTATTCATTGATGACAGCGTATAAACATTTCGTGGGAAGGGCCACTGTGTCATCGACGATCTAGAATAAATTATGTTAAATAATCGGTGAAAACTTCAAGTAGAAAATATTTTCGTTCTCTTCGTTCTGTTTGTCTTCAGCTAGATCGAACGGAACAACGGAATGTTTTGTAAACACAATGGTCAAATCACAGTTGCACTTGCCTGCTGTTTTTCAAGAGTTAAATTGCTTTTTCAATTTCATTAGAAACTTCTTTTTTTTTCTCTTTCTTGCTCAAGGATGAAAGTGTTTCTAGCTAAGCGACATAATATATTTATTTTTTTTCTTCTTTCGCAAGCTCATTTGAGAAGTGACAGGCATCGCCACGAGCTGAGATTTTTACGCATATGTGAATTCAACAACTTTCTCTCTCTCTCTCTGATTCATTCACATACCGTTCTTTCTGCTTCTTAATATCAAGGACAGACTAATCAAGTAATTCGATTCTCATCTTTGGCATGTGATGCAACTTCACTTTCTTCTTCCTCTTGTAAAACAGTGACGTACTAATAAAAATATAGAAAAACTTACCAACTTGTTTAAGTATGTTACTTAACATTCATCTACTTTCATGCAGAATGTCATAAAGCTCAAACGCGTCTTTATTTCTACATAATCAGTTCTTGAACAGAGAGAGAGAGAAGAGGAAAAAGACGGAGCGGTGAGAAAAAAGTGACCTTGAGCTTTTCTTAGCGCACACGCACGTATTGAGAAGCAATTACTACATCCGTTCTTTGACGTTCTTTCGTCGGAAACATTGGCTAGCAGTACGAGAATAAGACGGCGAAAATGAGAAGAGAAAGAAAAAGAAGAAGAAGAAGGAGAAGAAGAAAAGGTAATAACAGAAAAACCTTACGCTACCGGAAATATCTATAAGGCATGATTGCGTGAAATCAATTACTCGAGCTGGTTCCAGGTTTAAACAAACACACAATCCTTTTTTTGTCACGACGGTCAGACGAGCCATCAGTTCGACATCTTTACTTTCTCATATGAAGACGAGATGAAGCAAAGAGGACATCGAGTGATTTTTCGACGTATATGTCTGAATAGCAAAGGATCGAAATTCTCTCTGCGCTTACCTTTCTTTCTTTCTTTTCTCGATACATACACACAAAAGGAGAGCGAATCGGAGAATTAAATTTCAAGTCTTTTCTTCTCTTCATCTTCTCGAGCATGTTTGTTCTCTCTTCTTCTGATGAGATCGATTATAAGATGTATATAGGTATTTGTAAGATGCAACAAGAAAAGCAAGAAAAAAAAAGAAGAAGAACAACAGCACATTCCTGAAGAAAAACATAAAGCCGATATAAAAGAACTGACAGACAAGAGAGAGGGAGAGAGAGAAAAAAAACACTCCTGCCTGTGGTTTTCACATCTCAAGCGAAAAAGAGAATAAAAGTCAACGGAAGACTACCCATTACCTTGAAAAAAAGACTAATCCACAAATCATACCTCTCCTCTACCTCATAAAACTTTCAATGTCTGAACACTCGTTATCAACCTGTCGAACGTGCTTATATCACTGTTCAGATAGGTATATTAGCATATTCTCTCCTCGAGAGAAACTTGATTTTATTCGTCGCCATATAATCAAACTTCGTCTTTTTGTGTGACGAATGATGAAAACGAATCACATTCATATATTTACATATCTACACACGGACTTCTCCTTTCTCTCGGTACCGTTTGGTTTATATTAATATTGAACTTGCTTGCAATCATGAACAATCATCAGCAAGTGAAGACAGAGAGAGAATATTACCTGTTCTTTTCCTATTCTTTGAAACGAGTGATCGAGAAGAAGTGAAATCCTAGGATGGCCGAGTAATAGTAACTTGGACTCGCCGATTTACATCATCATCATTATCGTCTTCTATACTCGTTCCTTTCTCTTTTCTTTCATATTTGATTGCTTTGCAAATGTACTGAGAAATTCAGCTGGCTGTTCAAATATTCAAGATCAACTTTCACTCATTCGTCTATGAAACAATACATGAACGATGACGAAGACGACTTGTATGTGTTTACACTCTAAAGAATAATAAGAGCACCATCTCATTTGTCTACTCGACATTTCTATGGCTTTATTGTATAACTAAGAGAAAATTTTCATCTTACTGCACGGCAAGTTTCGGGCAAACAGAAATTCGCGCTCGGATTTAAGCTTTGCTAAGCGCGGAAAGACAAATGTATATTCTCTCGTTCCATTTTGATTCTTTGCTATTTTCATGAATACACGTCAGTCATTATCACGTTCAGCTCATCAACAATATGATACACCAATTTCATCAGACTGTTCTCAAAATTCTCATAAGATAAATCGAAACTGTCCGCGAAATAATCATAATAGTAGTTCAATTCAACACCCTCAAGATTTAATTCGAACTGATCTTCGTAAAAAGCAATCAAAGCTACCATTTGATCAGCAACCTCTAATCTCGCCTAGACAGCTTCTTCTCATTCGTTTCGTCATTTTCGTGATCGTATGTTGGATATGTTATTACGTTTTTCTTTCGTTATACCCGAAACCGAAACGAAGCACTTGGAAACAACTTTGGCATGGCGTGGTTAATTGGTTGACAGTGGCGTAAAGTCACCGACGATTGACATTTACAAATCACGCTTCTCGAAAGTCAATGATATGTTTTTTTTCAGGTTAAACCAATGATTTTTTTTCTGTTTAGATTTTAAATCGTAGAAATGTTTTAAAATAAATATTGATAAAATTGGACTCGCAATAATCACATTTTGTCATTTCCACTAAGTTACCGTAGGGTTACCTGTCCCTCTAATTCTACTTGCTCGGTCATTAATCTATAAATCTCACAAATAGACCACTCGCTCTTATCGCATTACTCATGTAGATAAGTAGTAACACATAATCAATATTTATCTCAGTTCTATTCGTTAATCAATATTGACTCATATCTAATCGAATGAAAATAAGCGCGTGTCATAGGTAATTAAATGATGAATGAAACAAGCATTGCTCTGCTGACAATTCTTCTTGGCGAAGTCTTTGTTTTTAGTCTAATGATTACGGGAACTTTGATAATCTATTATCGCTTTGCTCAACCGAGTGAACCAACAATCGATCTCGATTCGATTGCCATGAGCGATTGAAATGAAGACATGAGAGTTTGCAAATGTGGTTTCTCTATGTTATAAAATGAAGAATGATTGAAAATGTTTGAAACTAAGAACAAGAAAGATTGTGTAGCATGAAAAATAAAAAAAGACAAAAGTTCATTGGAATCGGCTCTGTTGTTGTTCGAGTTGGTTTAAACACTTCCGTAATTATTCTTTAAGTCTCGTAAAACAACGACAGCCAAGATTAATCCGATGATTTCAACAAAAAAGAAGAAGAGAGAAACGCCACCCAATGCTGCGGAGTATCGATAGAATAAAGCATTAGCATATTGATAGCAACCTTGATCAAAATAAGGCAAGACACCAGTTGTAGGAAGGGGTGTACAGACATTGTTCAAACAGCATGATGATGGTGGTGCTCTACTAGTTGTGATGTTCCAATCAGCGGGACCATTAATACCACAGCAGCTCCATTTTTGTTGAAGACGATTCCATTCTTCGACGACATTATGATCATTCTGAAAATATTTGGGCATCGATTCTGTTAATCTTTGACGTAATTTAGAATCAGCTTTGCCACGAAGTGTAAATCCAACGATAGCGGCGATTAATTGAAGTAAGATGATGATACATAATGAACCAATGAAGATTTGTAACAATTGTAAACGGTTTTGAATGGCACCAACAAGACCTTGAAGTGCACGTGTGAACAATAGGCAGAAAAGGATTCATGAAGAAACACTTACCGAGAATTGATAGGACGATAATGAAAACACCTATCGCGATGACAAAGCCAGCGCCAGAGATGATCGAGCTGCCAGTAATTTCAGCATCTAGACAAATTATTCAAGTAAAATTCCATGTATACAAAGGCACGACTTACATTTAGATGCTTGTCGGTGAGCTACACTGCCTGTAATAAGTAAGACAAGGCCGGCAATGAAATAGACGACCAAAAATATAAGAAAAAGAAGCTTATGTAAACGCATGATGTTCGTTAACTGACTAACAGAGTGTCTGCTACTTTCTTCTACTAGAAAATCTAGAATGAATGCAAACGATCGAATTTAAAGTGATGATCAGTTCATGTACATAGACATCTTCGAACGCGGACGGTGAAAATAATCGAACACCTCGATAAGAGAGAATAATGGATGGATGAAAAGAGATATAGTTTCAAATACTAACCCCGTGTCGTCGAATCAATTTTCTTCCTTTATGTGTATGCATAGAGAAAGAACGTATAAGTGGGAGGATATACATTAGAAGGTGCACTAGCTTAACTAGTTATTTTGCTCTTCGAGACTGATCGAATAACGAAGTAGAGAGATTACTTTTTTCATTATTTTTTTCGACCATCGATCATGTGAATAGAAACAGATTTTTTTTCTCTATTCTTACTATATCAGAGTGATACGATGATTCAGTTCGGAGCGAATTGGCCACGTCGCAATCGAAGGACGATGATTAGCCAAACGATAAATAAAACCGTGCGATTATATATTTATCAACGTTATAAAAGGAAAATGTCAATTATAACTCGGATCATTGAGAAAAATCAAACATTTTAGACAGAATAAACAATGCCGTCTGTTTTGTACAGATACGAAATGAATATTAAATGATATACTTGGTTGACAAAAATCGAAATGTATTCGGTTTTTCTAGTGTGATTGCATACACGATTGCTAAGCAAACAAAAATCTTTTTCACCTGTTGGCACTTGAGGGTGATACAGTGTATGTCTGTTACCAATCGTCTAATTTTAAATGAAAACTCATATTCAACTTTTGAACTTTGTTGTCTTGGTTTGACAAACAAATTCTTATCGAAGAAGTGAAAGTACCTAAAATAAAACATAATATACACCTCGTCAACAATGTATACAACATTGCTGTTCTGCAACAAGCAGTGACATATGCAAATACTGATATCAGCTCGCGTTCTTTGCGTGTCCACTGTTTCTATCACTTGTTCTGTGCGAAGAATATTTAAATAAACATTTTTTATTGGTGATAGACGTAAGGTACCTCATTCCCGTCATCATATCATCGGATGATATTTTGAATAACTTTTCACTGGTTGAAATCCCTAGAGATAACTGCTGATTGGTTGAAAACACATGTATAGATTTGTGCTAATCCTACGTTTTAGATAGATCAACAGAAATGTTTATGCTAATAGAAGATTTTGTCTCTCCTTGGTGGGCGGTTCTGTTTGTCGCTCCTTTGATCGTGTTGTATGTTCGTCGATGGTACAACGAGAAGTCGAAAGTTCGACCAGCGCGGCGAGGTGTTGATCGAAGTTTAACCTATACTCGTGAGTATCCATGTGGCTGGTACCGAATATGTGATTCGAGTGATGTATCAAAACGACGACAAGTCAAACATGCATTTGCTCTTGGTCGAGAGATGGTCATTTTTCGATCTGACGATGAACCTAGTCAAGTTTATGTCTTAGATGCATTTTGTGTACATATGGGCGCGAATTTAGCTGTTGGAGGACGAGTTATGCCAGGCACGAATTGCTTACAATGCCCGTTTCATCTCTGGGAGTTCAGTGGCGAAGATGGTCGCTGTACAAAGATTCCCTACATTGATGGCAAAATTCCGGAAAAAGTAACCACCTAGAGATGAACTTTGTCCGTTCTACATGGCAAACGTTGATTTATTTTAGGCAAAAATGCAAACATACCCGTGCGTCGAACGTCATGGAATGGTGATGATTTGGTATCATCCATTGAATGAACCACCACACTACGATGCGATTTGTATCGATGATTTGTTAACCGATCGTTTTCAATTTCGAGGTGTTTATCGTTATCCCAATGTTCACATGCATTTGCAAGAATTTGCTGAAAATGCCGCTGATGTACAACATTTTCAACCATTACACGGTCAAATGCTCATTCCATGGACTGAAACGCATGTACCGTTTGTGCACGTTTATCATCAAGCATCATTGAAATTCGACGATGAGAAATCTCATCTAGCGTATTTCTATGATACAGCAATGATTCAACTATTCGGCAAACGATACGAATCGACAAAAGTGGATGCATCGATCACATTCTATGGACCCGGAGGAATAACATTATTTCGTTTTGATGGAAGCTTCGGTCGGATTTATTTATTTCATACGCATACACCGACGAATTACACTGAGTTAGATGTGGAATTCTTAGCTTTTGTGGAGAGAAAGATTCCGCGATTATTGAATTGGTACATTATTGGTAATTGGATCGCTCAATGGCAAAGAGATATTGATATTTGGGAGAATAAAGTACTGTGATAACGAAAACGTCTTTTGAAATCAGAGACAAATCTTATTGTTTAGATTCACAAACGAGCACCATTTCTTGTGAAAAACGATGGTCCAATTTTGAAAATGCGTCGTTGGTATAATCAATTCTATCTCTCTAAAGAACAAAAAGAAAATGTTCCCGAGATATTAGATTGGTGAAATCTTCTGCTTTGAACTCTGTCGCCTTGATTGACAATTAGAATGAAAAATAAATCTTCATACGATTCACAGTCGTCATGACATACGTATTAAATTGCAGACCGTGAATTCGTTAATTTCTATTTAAACCGTTAGTATCACTTGTAATTTCTCGAAGAAATATTACAGGCGTGTTCTAATTCGACTGTAATTTTAAACTGAGATAACTTTGCCTTGTTCTCCACTTGCAGTTGGGAAAAGTATATTCTGCAAGAGGAAAATAATCCTCTTTGTGTAATTGCTGACTGCTCAATAGAATTACAAGTAAGCTTTATTCTTTGCCATCTTCTGGATCAGCATGTGAGCGCTCTAAATAACTATAGAAAATACAGGTGTGACAAAAAAAGAGGATTGAGCATCTTGACAGAAAACCTGAAATAAAAAAAAAAACTTGTCATTTGGTATTCATCAACATCTATTAAGTTCGAAGAAAGCGTCATGGGTTGTTCAATAGCGACATTACATTCGGTGGAACCGAAGCATCTCTTCACTTCGAATGAGATTGCCTTGTTAAAACAATCATGGAATGTTATCAAAGGGCATGATCTGCATAAATTTCTTCAAAACATCCTAATCAAGTAAGCGTTTTTCTCTTCATTTATGAACATATGCAAAGACGGTTGGAGTTTTTCTAAAGGACTACTCATGAAAGTCGATCATTTCGGCAATTTTGCATCTCGAAAATACAAGTCGATGGAAATAATTACGACTACAGTCAACACGATTCCTGTTTACGAACCGATCTTAGCTGGCAGATTGCCTTACCCGACTATAGTGTAGAAGTAAACAACGCGATGGAAAAATTCCTGGCAGCGATTAGCAAAGAAAATCACGTGAACACCTATTTACAACTTTTCCCAATAAATCGCGATTCTTTTCCAATCGAACACGAAACTCTGTTGGTAAGTCGTAATTTGTCTTCATTCGCAAAACATTCTTGTCTTTCTCAAGATATTAAAGCGATGTACACTGAATTCGTTACATGAACGTTTCCAATCGACCAATCGTGCAATGGCCGATGATTATACACGTGCTTGGGACAAAGTTTTCACTTCGGCTATTGACCATGTATGCGAATCAACTACTTCAACAACGGAAATCATCATGCGAATGAACATCAGCAATAAATGACATTTGTTTCTCTTTGTATGTTTTAAAGCACTGATAACTCCCTTGGAATTCCCGTCGTTAACCACACAATCGAAAATCGAACGAATCTGAAACCTATTTTCTTTAACACAAAATATTTATAATGACTAGTTTACAACAACAAAAAATACTATTTTCTTTTATTCCATTGAGCAACATTCAATAAATTCTTGCCAGTAACGAATCCTGTCTGAGTAGATGTGTTCATTGGTTGAACAGTGCTTAGTTTCTTCTTCGGTGGTTGATATATTTCTTCGTTTTCATTATAAACATGCACAAGTCGAGTGGGAATTTCCGAGATAAATTGCGATCGTTTACACCGTTCTTGTTGACCATAATTTGACCGAAGTTGGGAATATGACATGTGTAAAAGGCGTTTAGCACGAGTGATAGCAACATACATCAGTCGACCTGTCCGAGAGAAGATATTCGAATGGAAGAAATCGAGTAAATATTGAGCACTTACGTTCTTCTTCAATGTCGCAAGTACCGAAAAAGTTCGATGGAAAGAGATCTTGAACTAAATCTTCGAAATGGAAACGACGAAACTTTGTTTGTGTATTCAAACTTACCAAGACCAGCAATAAATACATAATGAAATTCTAATCCTTTCGCTCCATGTACAGTCATCATCTGAACTCGTGTAGTTTCATCCGATGTATCTAGTTTGCCATCTTGAGCGTTGGTCGTATCCTATTCAAAAGACCAAACTCAATCTTCGCACCGCCTTTTTTTAACTTTCCTTCCACATACTAATGTCACAACACTGAGATACTCTGTTAGGTCGTTGGTTTGATACAAATGTGAGAATTGTTTCATAGCATTACATAATTCACTCAAGTTTTGTAAACGTTCGACCTCTTCCTTCTTGTTGTATGATTCCATCAAACCCGATTGTTCAAAGATGTATAAAGCTTGTTCGTATAATTCCATTTTAGGATTTTGTTCCTCCAGTGTTTGCTTGCATTGTTTGATTAATCGAACAAAATCAACGATTTTCTTTTGTTTGCTCAATGAGGGATCGGACTGAAGAAATGAAAACAACGAACATTGATTTTGTTTGGCTCCTGATTCGATTTTCTCTAGAGTTGCTTTGCCGATCGAACGTGCAGGCAAATTGATAATCCGGCGGAAGGCATCATTATCGTTTTCATTTTGGATTAAACGTAAGTAGGCTAATGCACTTTTGATTTCCGCCCGTTGATAAAATTTAATACCACCGTAAATACGATACTTGATTCCAGCATTCATCAGTGCTTGTTCGAATTCACGTGCTAAACGCAATTAGATGAGCAAAGGAGAAATTAAACGTGTTGGATAAGAAACACAACTTACACTGAGCATTTGTCCGATATAGAATGGCGACTTGTGAGAGAGGGATGTCCGGATGACCACGAGTAAAATCACGAATCCTTTCAACAACATGTTTGGCTTCATCGGTAGCGTCTGTTCCTTGATATAATCCGATCTGTTCGCCATTCTTTACGTCCGTCCAAAGGTTTTTACCACTATAACATTGATCTTTTGTTTTATTTGACTTTGAATGATCAAATTTGACTTACAGACGAGATTGATTATGATCAATCACTGCATTTGCTGCTTCCAAAACTACATTTGTGCTGCCTAAACAGAAAACTCCGCCAGTCCAATAATACCTATCATCATCATCAATCTATCTCACGGTAATTTTGTTCTAATTTGATAATATGTTCCGGGTTTTCTCTTTCTAAATAGAGTGCCTTGAGATATTCGTCGATATTGTTTACACATTGAGCACCCCGAAACGCATAAATACTTTGATCGTCATCACCCTGTGCCATCAAAAAGAATTATTAAGAAATTTGAAGACCGATCTCAACTTACCACAGCCATAAAACAATTGTGCACCGTTTGATTCGATCCATCTTTGTCCATTAGTAATTTCAACCAATCCATCTGTAAGGTAGAAGTATCTTGAAATTCATCGATGAGAACAAAACGAAACTGCTTTGCATAGTGTACACGTAAATCGATTTCTCTGTCCAATAATTCTAAAACAAACTCGTATGAACATTCCAATCGAGCTGCTCATGACAAACCTTTGGTTAATAGAATTAATTCTCCGAAATCGACTCGGTTTTCTTGTTGAAGGTACTTTTCGTATTTGCTATATATAAGCTGTTTAAAATGATTTTCAGGATTGATCAACAAGTCAGTGGAACGTTTTCCTTCGTCTTTACATTTGTTAATAAAATTGACAATGGCTTTTGGTTTGTCCGTGTAGAAATTATTCTCTTTCACGTCTTCTTTCAGAATCCTTTTAATAATCGACAACTGATCATCCGGATCGATGATGAGAAAATCACTCTTCAGACCAGCCATTTTGAAATGAATACGAAGGAAACGATTTGCTAGAAAAGAAAAATAAGACACTGTGTACATGTACGAAACAATATTTACCAAGACCATGAAATGTACCCAGCCACATGTCGTTCAATGGCGTTTCAGGTAATATTTGACTTATGCGATGACGCATTTCAAGCGCGGCTTTATTTGTAAATGTCACAGCAAATATTTGATATGGCTTAACGGCACAATTCTTTAATAGATAAGCTATGCGAGATGTGAGCACACGCGTTTTGCCACTGCCTGAAAATTCATTGAAGAAAGATGGAAGCTGAAATTATCTAAAACCCGAACAACAAACCAGCTCCACTGAGGACAAGGGTCGATTGATGGATTGGACAAGTAACGGCACGTTTTTGTTGAGAATTAAGATTATGTAAGATTTGGTCATGGTCTATTTCAGTTGTTTTAACACTCGTAGTAGTGGACATCATGGTAGTTTTCTTTTTTCGGTACATGTTTTATTGCTCTACAAATGCAGATTTTTCGTGAATGAACTTAGTAACTAAGTAAATTCATCTAATTTGTCAAACAATCATCAGTTTTTAAAAACGAAAATGCAAATATACAATGCTGAAAGAAAGACTATTTAAACACAAATGAGTGAGAATGGAACGTCCTCTACGATGAAAGGACATAACACCAATCATAACAGTATATGATATACCCATCCAGTATACATAACACATATTATATCGCCATCAACATAACGAAAGAGAACGAGATACACTTGGCTCAACAAAGATGGCTTTTTTTTTAATCAGAAATGACGGTAGTCTGAATCATTGATCACAATATCATATTCGTAGTAGTTTGCTTCGTACATCATATAACAAACGCGTTCACCATTCCTGTAGTCTCAATCGATATATGAAAATTGTTTTCATTCGGTCAGAAATCTTTTTATTCTGATCGCTCATCATCAAAAAAGAGTACGACGTTCATACGTATAGTGAAGAAGAAAGAAAAAAAAGAAAAATGAGTAAGATAATGTGCTTTGTATGTGATGAAAAACGAAGCCGACAAACATAGAGCGACAACAAAACACACACACAAACAACTCGCCAAAAAAGAGAAGAAAAACGAACAAGGAAACATGAAAGGTTGTCTATGAAAAAAAAACGAAAAGAAAAACAATAAATTGTCACTACAAAACAACATACGTTACTAAGAAAAAGTTAGTAACTTGATGCATAATGTACATGACAAATGTGCATAAAAACAAATACCATCACCACAATCAACAAGACCAAAGAAGAGCGAAAAAGAAAGAAACAAAGAATAACAGTGATTTGCTCATGGATCTACACCGGATATTGAAAAACAAACCAACAGCTGGATTGAGCAGACAAGAGAATACACTCGGATGAGAAAAAGAAAGAGAGAGAGAGAGAGAGAGAGAGAAAGCTATTGCGCGCACGTAAAATAGTCAAAAGAAAAGACTTTTCTGCTTTTGGTTTTGTTCAAAACACATCAATGATTAATCACGACGATAAAAAAGTAAATAAGGCGTAAGTTTATCAGCTGTTGGATTAACCACTTGATTGGAGGTGACAACTTGAACGTTTCCATCATCACATCTTAGCCATCCTTGAAGTCCGGGATGGAACACATCGGTGATATAATGTCCTTTCGTGGCATGATCTCCTTGATGATATTCGACGGCAAATAACTTATATCGATCGCTATATTGTTTTCGAGCTTGCTCAGTAAGAATAGCTAGAACGAAACATAGATATTTGGAGGAGGAGGGGGCGGTCTTCATGTTGACCTACTTTTCGGTACTGTTAAGTTGACGTTGTAGTTGACAGATTTGTTGATTTTTTTAATACCGTCACTTTCGTCATAAAGGAAACATTTCAAATGAATGATAAGGATAGGTGGTAATTGTTCAATTAACATAGTTTTATTGGTGTGAATCTAGAAGAATATCATTACAAGATTGTCGGCTGATTGCCTTTAACTTACATTTTGTCGATTTTTACTATCGACGTAATCGGAAAGGAGCGATTGTTCGGAGAACCGTAGAAGGGCATCGTCGAGTGTCGTAATTTTCGGATCCTAGAGCATATCAGATAAGATCCGGTCGGATTCTTTTGTGACTTACTTTAATATCGAGTGAAAGAGTAAAAAATGGTTCGTGTACGACTGACTTTTGATTTCCAGCACTGTGTACTGTTGAACGAAACTTTCCGGCAAATATATCGGCGATAAGACTTTTTCGAATTTCATTCTAACAAAAAAAAACAAATGTTCATAGAATATTTTCCAACAGAGAGGTAGATTTTACCGTGCGAAGTACATGCGTACGATTGCGTTTTCCGACTTGAAGCCAATCTTCAGATTTCTCATCACCATTCAATTGCAAATCGGCCGTTAATGTCGACAAATCTGAACTAGATGTGGATTCTTCTAGAAACACAAAATACTCTCGTACTGATTCTCCTCACTCAAAAGTTCATCCTACCATTTCTATTCGTTGATGGGTTATACAAAATTTGACAAATCTCATCGTGAATTTCGCTCAGTAATTGGCACAATAACTCATGTGCGTCTTCTTGTTTGCTTTTGATGAGTTCAACAGGTAAATGACGGAGACGTGATAATTCTTGAAGAACTTCAATGGGTTCAAATGCTGCGCCACAAACGATGTCTTTGTGATTGGAACTAGATTTACTTCGATCCATTTTTTCAAATTGATTAACAAAAGAATTTCTAGTAGGAAAAAGACACTACTACTTGTTTTCTGACTATTTCCTGAGAAAATGACTTACAGAGCTCGAATGCATGGAACGTTATGATTATCGGTATCTTCATCCGGTGGGATATATTTCATTACATTGAAAAAAGCAGGACAAGCAAGCAGGGATTGCAGAGTCTAGAATAAATGCTATGTCAGTGAAATAACTAATGTCTATATGAGATACTTACAGCATTAACATAACAGTAATTACTTTTATTTAATAATCCACGAGGTTTAATAGCCATAGCTGACGGACGTATTTCACATTTAGAAAAATAATCTAAATGACGAAAAAAATCAACACTAATAAACGATATTCTGATCTTCGTGTACCTTCTAATGATCTGGAGTCTTCACCATTGCTGTTATAGACTTGATAGTTTTGTTTTGGATGATGATAGTTATTCGGGGCATTGCTTTTGCCATTCTGTTGTGGCGATGTTGGTTGAACTTTTGGAATAGGAGTTGATTGTTGTGGAGCATTAGATACAGTTGCGGATGATGTAGCTGCTGGTAATGTGGGTGCGTTACTACGAAATAAATCTGCCCATGACGATGGTTTCGATTTGTTTGACGAGGAGAAATTATCTGATGTTGGTTTCAACGTTTCGATTGAAGCTGCACTTGCGACAGATGTGGAATAAATAGATGAATCGTTGTTGTTCAAGGATGCTTTACTGATGGATATGTGCTGTGGATGTTCAACATCATTATCTGTATCAGTTGTTGTGTCGTGACCTATGAAAACAAAGAATTCGAACTTTCGATCGAAGATCACACGCACTACTAACTATCTGATTCGATTTCATCGTCATTCGTTGATTGTTTATCATCCTGTTGATGTTTCATTATCGAATCCACCCATTGATCACAAGATATATATCTCGGATCATTGGTGTTTTGTTCTGTCTGAGATGTTTGTTCGTTTTTATCATGATGAATGTTCACATGATGGAGTGTTGAGGGTTCGAGCATTTGTTGGTATTCTTGTTTGTAATAGTTCGGTGGTCGCTTCTTTTTCAGCTTTCTGTCGCTATCGTGACGGTGATGTGAGGATTGTTTGGTTATTTTCACATTTTCAACCGAGGAACTTTTTGAAGAATATGGAGGAGATGTCAATGCAGAGTTTGTCGATTCTTGATGAGATAGACTGCCGTTACATGAGTAGGAAACACCGGTACCACCCGATGGGGATATGACTGATGACACACCAAAGCCAAATTCAATGCCGGTATTTGCACAATCGTCTGTACTCCATGGAAACTAGATGAATTCGAAGAGAAATTAGGATCAATCGATATTATGCAAAGGTTTGCATTACTTTCACTCCTTGTTCTTCATGACCAAAGAACTTTTCAGTTTCTGGTTTAGAAAAATCACCAAAGGTATAGTCCTGTGAAGAAAACTCAATTGTCTTACACAATTCAAACGAAATCTTCGTACTTACAGTCATTTTCGAAATTTTCTAATGATTTAACTTGATGATCATGAGTTGTGCCTGAGAATAACCATCTAAAACGAAAAAACGATGACGTAGTTGAGTCATACGCACACAGACAACAGTCAGATGTAGTTATTGCACAAGAATTATTATCGATATTTCAAGAATAATCAGCAGAAAAATCAACATTATCAAAAGAAAATAGATTTTTTTCTTGTTTATTTGTTTCTTTCTCATTCTGTTGTCGGGTCCATTTGTTCGTTCGATTAACTTCGGTATTCTGCATTGACCAATCAACAATTGTATTACGACTGAAAATTTCTCCTCTTTGTTACAAATGATCGACTTTTAAAACACGAAAAAAATCATCTATTTTTCGAATCTATTCACTTCGAGAACATTATTTTTCGATATTAATCGACAGTTTCTTCAGAACATTCATCATGTTATCATCACGACATCTATAGATGTCTGCATTTAGTACTTTTAGTATAGTAACTATCACGAGTCTCTTGTTGTCACTTTGATCATTTCTAATGAATATCGAGTGTCTACCAACAAAGATCTTCATATAATTGAATCAAACTATGTTTTAGTTCCAGATTTTAGTGCGCCGAAAATCCGATCCAATTCGCTCGTAGTCTTCTTTCTTTTTTTCATCTTTCACTCATGTTTCTATACACATCGAGCTTTACAAAAAAAACAAACGAAACAACTCATGTGCATGTGAAAACTAGGAAAAATATGACAGACTTACAAACACACAAGAAAATATATAAAAAAGTGGAGAGAGAGAGAGAGAGAGAGAGAAAGAAAGAAAGATAGAGAAGATAAGTAGTAGTAATGATATTAAAATGTGTGTGTATTGAGAAGATCGATTATTTTGTAGTTGTTAGTAACGATTTTTCTAGTAATCACCATACACTCTATTTGTTCTTTTGCTTGACATTTAAAAGGAAATTTCACCGGTTCGAATTCTAGTTGAAAGAAGGATTAAGCAAATGATAAATAGTCAGAGAAAAATCCGAAGAGAAACTGCATTCTTTTCTTGTCCCTTTTTTTCTTCTTCTGATGCCATGGGTGAAATCGAACGACTGTTACGTTGAAGAATGCTTGGCATAATATCTACAGAAAAACCAATCGACGGTGATAGTTGATAAATTAAGGACATAGGAGAACGAAGAAGAGAATAAAAACCGGTTCATTACACCTGTTGATTATGCATGTCTAAATGAAAAGAAAAAGAACTCTAAGGATATTTCAGAAGCGATAATACGAAACTCACCAACGATAGGTCTTTTCAATACCGTACGCAATATGGATGATGATGATGATGTCGAGTCATTATGTGCACATAGTTGATGAGGCTCATCGAACATTCCATGATGATGATGAACAAGATTAGATAGATCATTGTCGTCGGCGTCATCATCATCATTGTCCCGATCAATGTCGTTTAATTGAAGTAAGATTTCATTATCTGAATGATGATGATGATGATGATGACTATAAAGTGTTAAAGTTCCATTCGAAGTTGGATATAAATAACCACCGGTTAATGAGGTTGAAGTTTTATGCGGATATGAATAACTTGATGATGATGAAGCGGATGACGACGAAGATGCCAAATTATTATTATTTGTCGTTAGAATAGGTGGTGAAAGTGACGAAGAAGATGAATGCGATGATGTCGAATGAACGCGTAAGAACGAATGTTGATCATCAGCTGAGTCTAATGGTTGGCTCTGTTGTTGCAGTGGATATGTTAGCCCATTGTGAGTATGATAGGAATCCATTGAAAGAAGATGATGATCGTTCAGCACCGGTTGTTGATGATAGTAGTCATGCGATGGATTCGGATCATAAGTTGAATCATGATGATGCTGGTAGAGCGTATGTGACTGATGGTGATGATGCGGATGATGATGATGATGATGATAATGATGTGGCTGGTACGAGTAAGCACTGGTATGATTAGGATTCGAAGATGTATTAGATACATAATTGGTTGGTATATCATCGAATGGATATGTCGACTGAATTCCACCGGTTGAATTACTGCTCGTAATAGGTGTATGAACGGATGTTGAATAGAGATCTTGATCGTACAGATGATTAACTGGCGTATCCGAGTCTAGTTGTGCTGACCATTGATGATTATCGTAGAGAGGTACGGATGATATATCAGAAAGTGGAATCTGTTGTGGCGTTGATTCTAGTTGTCGTTCGGCTGTGGCTAATATACGAGCAGATTTTAGAATTGTACGAGGCGTACGAAGCCGTTTAGGAGCTGCTGACGATGCTTTAGGAGTCCGACCTAAACGGCGTCGCGGTTGTTTAGATTCATTGGATGATGATAATGTATCATTAGACAAAGTTAAGGACGAATTTTTTTCATCCGGATTAATTATCCACCAGGATGATTTCCCTGTGCCTTCACTTTGTATACGTTTGAATCGATTATGTAACGATAAATTATGACGGATGGAGTTCTGTCGAGAGGAGAAGAAGAAGTGCTAAATTTGAGAATGAAGTTTTCTTCAATGAAATATTTACCTTCCAGCCAGCACTGCTAGCTCTATCGACTTTATTACGAAAGAATGGAACATATTTGATCATCCAATCATAGATTTCTGACAGAGTCAAACGCTGCTCACTGCTGGTCGTAATTGCTTTACTAATTAGTTCGGCATAACTTAGATTCCCCCATGCATTTTTTCGTGTTCCACTTCCGTTTTTCTTCGTTAGACCGAGTTCATATTCGACATGTTGAGCTAGTTGTGGATCGATATCAGTTAGATTGTTCGAGCCTGCTTCGCCTGGCACAGCAGCAACCGTTGACGTATTCGTATTTGCACTTATCACCGCCGATGACGAAGTTTTCGGCGAAAGCGAGGACGAACAAATCGATGGTGATCGTGATGAATCGCTCTGATGTTGATGATAGTGATGATGAAGGTCAGATTGGTGTTTCACCATTGTACTATCGAGAAGTAAATCACAGGAAGATCGAGTACCAGGACGTCTGTTGTTCATGATCGTTCAATATGACGAGTTGCATTAGAAAGGAAATTTGTTAGACTAGAAGAAAGAGATGACGTCGATAATGGTAATGATAATGTTGCTGCTGCTGCTGCTGAATGAATGAATGAATGAATGAAGAATAGATCGTTTTCTAGAAAATACAGCTGATAATTGATTTCGATTGAAAAACTAGGAACAGAAAGCATCTAGGAGAAAAGTTTTTTCATCATCTTCTCCATCTCCTTTTCATTCTCGGGTTTTGTGCGCAGCCGGAACCTATGAATGCCTGCAGTGGCATCGAGAACGCACAAGCGAGTCGTTCAAGGACGTGATTAGTGCATGCGTCTTGCCGTCGCTTCTCTTTCTCGTCTCCTTACACCATTTTTCTCTAGCCCGACGTTTTTTTTTTCTATTGAGAAACAAAAAACAAAATCATTCTCCTCGTTTTTTTTTTCTACCCATATTGGATAGACGCATCGCATCGCATCGCGTAATTTTTTTGCCTTTTTTTTTCTTCCCCTCTTTTTTTCCAGCCGCTCGAGTACTGCACGTCGTAACATACAACAGCGATAGGCCGACATAGGCAACCCGCTAAATACATATAAAGAGAGAAAGGAAAAGGATCGCACAAGCTCGTCTACCCTTCATAATCACATACAGAATATATATATATTCTATATTATATAAAGAGTGTGGTAATATTCAAAATATTTCGTTCGTCTGTTCTTTCGTTCGTCCTGTTCTTTTCCTTTTTTTTGTCTTCAAGTCTTTATCATAAAATAGCACATGAAGAGAACTATCCTGGTGTGTATAGGACAGCACAATCGAAGGAAAAAAAGAAAAAAAGAGAAGAAGAAGAAGAAGAAGGAGGAGGAGAAAGGGAAGATCTGTAACGTGGCTGTCGATGCACTCGTGCAGATTGACACGAACGGCCGGAACTGTGCAAACCTTCAGTCTCGCTTTTTTCATCATTCTATCTTATCGATCGTATACGAGCTTTGAGTTAGCATACAAGAACAAATCAGAAAGACACCAGCAGGAACATGAATAGTTCTGCTGGTAGTGATAGATCGTTAATGGAATGAAACAACGACAGAAGAAACCAAAACTGCTTCTCTCTTCACCTCTCTCTCTCGCTCACCCGTCTTGCGCTCCCCATTGTTCTTTGCTCTCTTCCTAGTAACAGAACATTATATGACACCTTTCAACAGACATCAGCAATGTGATAAAGCGTGCGTCAGAAGAAAAAAGTCGATGAAGTGGAGTATGTTGACACTCGCGCTTTTGTCTTTTTGTCCTTGAAACATTGAATTGACAGATCTCACTAAAAGAAACAAAAATGATATATTACTGATAAGATCAATAGAAAATCTCGGTGACGAGAAATATGTCCAAGTTTGAAAAGCAAAAGATTATCATCAATATAACATAATTAGAAAGAAAACCCGACGAAGAAATATCATATCGTGTCCGTCCTTTTCTTTCTCACACTGCTTTATTCCCATCCTACAGGTGTGCGTGCTGTGTTTTCTTCGCCTCACACGCATAAACGAAATCAAATTACACTCGTCTTTTTTTCCTGGGAGACATTGAGTGGGAGCAAGATGAAGAGAGTGAGTGAGAGGCAAAGCAAGTAAAAGAGACAGCGTGCGCGCTCTTTCGAACACGTTGATACAGGTATGCACAAAAAGAAAGACGAAGCTAACATAATGATGACAACGATAATCATAATCTTCTCTCTATTGTATCAAGACTAAGAGATTAATATGATTTAATGCAATTGGACAGTTATTTTACTATTAACAATACAACATTGTCTTGCGATCAAACTGTAAAGGCATACTTGGAAAACGTCATTGAAAAGAAGAATGTTCATATCTGCGTCATAATCGAAAGCCTAGAAAATGCGAAAAAAGACGGGAGAGAGAAAGGGAGAACGAGCCTTGTCATTATTGATTTATTCAGATAACTGATTGTCTATAATAATCCTTGATTATTACGTACGATTGAAATACAGGGGAAAAAAGCCGAGATCAATGCGCTGAAAATTATTTTATTCAAATTGATTGTATGCGGAGGCGGTTGTACTCGATAATACATCGATGGTGACACGAACGATTAGCTTCTGATGTCGAAACGAAACACTTTTCCTCAACGAATTTCTCGCGCGAGTATATCTGATATCACGATATCGCATAAAACATGAAGAAAATCAAACTCGTCTAGATTTCGATCGATGCAAAAACGAAATGAAATATAATTAACTACGACACATGCAATTTACCAAACGAAAGTAACTGATGTGCGTGAGTTAATAGCATATTCGCAACGTAATCGATGGACATACTCTCAAAATCATATATGATACCTCCACTGACAGGGAAACACGGTCTTCTCGAACGCAGAATGATTTTCAAGAGACATCATATCGATGAATATATTGTTTCTATGTATTCGACTTGTAATTAATACTATTTCATGATAAAAGAAGGAGTTTCAGTAATTACACGTTTAAATTATTTGCTCTATGGAAAATAACCTTTGATTTATCATTCTCCATCCTTGAAACTAATTTGATACTTTATTTTGCCTATGTGTGTTTCTATTTGGTATATGAAAAAGACAACAAAACATAACAAAAGAACTAGAAATTAATTCATCGTTGTTGCGTCACTGGGATCTTCTTTCTGCTTGTATTGATTTGACTTTGGTGCGGAGGACGAACGCCGGATTTCCTGATCGAATCGTTCTTTGGCTCGATAGATTTTCGACTGAAGATAGAATGAACCACCTTTAGTTTTATCATTCAAACTAAACAAATGTTCATAGTGCTTTTGAATCTTTTCGGCATCAGTCAGATCAGTATCGGCGATATTGAGAATTTGTTTTGCTTCCTAAACATGTTAATAGACATCGAAATACTCTGATGGACAACATACTTGAAGACTCATTCCAGTGACACGGTCAGCTTGAACGGTTTGTGTTGTTGTTTTTCCACTTTGTGTTGCAGTTTTTGCATCTAAATATCGAAAAAAATAGAGATAATCCTTTGGAAAAAAAGCGAGTTTGCGTCTCTACGTTGAAGTTCCTGACGGAGAGCACGAGTAAACGCTCGACCGATGACTTGGGAACCGAGAATAGCTATTTGAATTAGATGCTTTGCCTATGCGAACAAAAAGAAATGGTTCGGAAGCGAATTTTGCTAATCATATTCATACCATTTGATTAGAGAAACGATGATCTTAAGTAAACGAAGAATACATGAAGAGATCAAAGATGATGCATGACGATCTAGAACATTCAACAACGTCAAAACATAAGTAGAAGCATTGCGTGAGACAAATGAAGTTTTATTTAAATATCAATTGAATCCTGATTTTATTACATATTCGAAAGAAGTTCGCTTTACGTAAACGACTACAATAGATGTCTCTCATGATCATATCGACATTGGAAAATAGTCGTGAATCTCGAGACTTTGTGCTCATCTATCAAAGGAGAAAAGTGTAGATAAACTTGATTTTGATATTTATTTATTAATCTTCTTCTCGTTAATAAGGTAACGAACAAATCACTGTTAAACGTGGATTCGTTACCTCATCATGCTTTTTTTTATCTTTGTTAAACAATAAAAATAACAACAACAAAAAGAAAAATCAAATTGATTTTGCCGTCTTTGTACCTTTCGAACATCAGCTTAATTAGAAAGTAAATATGACGGTTCGAAGAAGTGGAATGAGAAGGTGTTATTCGGTGTTCATTCAAGAAAAAAGTAATTACCAGCCTGTTTCTGCTCCACATCCTACAAAGTAGATGATACAATATGATAGTCATCAAAATAGAATTCAGTATTTCGTTTCTATACTTTGACAGAGCTTCGTTTGTTGATACGCGGTCGAGCATTTTCTGGATCTCGTCGAAATGTGATCTCGAGTTGTTTCAAGAACGAATTCATACCGGGCACGAGTGCTTGAGGTCTAGAACACGTGTTGAAATATTTTCAAAGTCAGTTTTCTCCTAAGTGACATACTCAGAAGCATGGGCATTAACAGACGGTGTACCATCGAATACGATAACTCGATCGGCCAAATATGTTGCCATGATAAAATCGTGCTCGACAACAAAACCTGTTTTCTTACTATGAAGAATGAATCTATAACAAGAAGCAAGCTTGTTTAACGACATCATCGAACAGAAAAGATATGTTTTTACCGTTTAATCACACGTGCAGCATGTAAACGTTGTTCGGAGTCCAAGTAAGCTGATGGTTCGTCAATTAAATAGACATCGGCTGGTTTACCCAAACATAAACACAAGGCGACACGTTGTAATTCACCACCGGATAAGTTTTGTACCTGAAACATACAGGTAGATGTCGATTGCATCGAAAAACTCTATCATACGTCTTGATCAATGATGTTATCGATCTGAAGCGGTCGAGACACATCAGTTTGAAACTGCGGATGGAAGATCGCTTCCCTGATCTTTGAATTGAGTAGATCACGGACAGTTCCGGTAAATTTCGGACTAATTTTTTGTGGTTTGTATGAAATATTTAATCGAGGAATCTCAACTAAATACAACGCCAAACAAGATCGCTCTGAAAGTTTAAATTTTCAAATCACTTACCACCCGCATCTGGTTCTAAGTTTCCTGCTAGAATTCGGATCAAGGTTGTTTTACCTAAAGTATCTCTTTGTATTTCGTTTCCGAGTGATTCGTTATCTTACCAGTGCCGTTCTCTCCAAGTAAAACAATAATTTCCGATTCTGTGAACGATCCGGCATCGACCGATAGAGAAAAAGAGCCAAGAACCTTCTTCATGGCAGGATATCTATGCGTTGATAAACGTTTCACTTCCTCTTCAGATGCTGTTTCGACAACTTTAAATGTTAATGCCACATCACGAAAACGTAAGTTTTCTGTTGGAATGAAACCTTCCAAGAATATATTGATACCTAAAAACATTATAGTACATGTTTTCTGACAAATTGACCATCTGTTACTGTAAATATCGAACCTTCACGAACAGAAAAAGGCATTGTTACGACACCATAGTGACCAGGCGAACCATACAGAACACAAATGAAATCGGATAAATAATCCAAAACCGAAAGATCGTGTTCAACGACGATGATGTAGCTATGAGCAATAAGGTATGTTATATAGAATTTAAAAAAAAACCTCGGATTAAGCTTTACCGGTTCTCTCGAATGATGTCTCGAATAGCCAAAGCTGCTTTCAAACGTTGTTTGACATCCAAGTAGCTCGAAGGCTCGTCAAACATGAAAATATCTCCTTTCTGTATACAAACCATCGCACATGCAAATCGTTGCAATTCACCACCAGATAAGTCACTTATTTGTCGATCTTTGACATTGGATAGGTCAAACATTTGGGTGATTTCTTCTTGATTGCCCAATTCATCTTTTTTATTCAGCAAATCAGCCACGAGACCCTATTTACAGTCAAACCTAGCATCATTGACATCCGAGAAGTAAATCATACTTGAGCAGCTTTAGGGATCCGATCAACGTATTGTGGTTTGAGAATAGCTTTCAGATTCTCTTCGAGAATTTTCGTGAAGTAATTTTGTAATTCACTACCACGAAAGAATTTCAAAATATCTTGCCAATCAGGTGGTGACTAAACAGATTAAATGTTGCGTTCGACTGAGACTAGCACAACATTTTCCTACCGAGTATCTTCCCAAATTCGGTTTCAATTTACCAGCTAAAACTTGTAAAGCGGTGGTTTTACCCGTACCGTTCGATCCGACAAGACCTAAAACTTGACCGGGACGCGGTGTTGGCAAACGATGTAGTTTAAACGAGTTCGGTCCATAACGATGTGTGGTGTCTTTATCAAGATTACTCGGCAAATTGATGATTGTAATTGCCTCGAACGGACATTTTTTCACACAAATACCACAACCAATACATAACTCTTCAGATATATGTGAAATTTTTGATTCGGGGGTTACTTCGATACATAATTTACCAGTTTTATTCACAGGACTGAAAAGAGAAACATAACATAAATGAACAACATGAGAACGTTATACATGCCATGAACGTTTACATTCTTGATTACATTTTTTTGGTTTACAACGATCATTGTTTACTATAGCAATACGAGTCAAAGACTCCTGTTCACGATCTTGTCTTTCGGGCCGACGACCATGCATGTTTAGGATTGAGTTTTTCTTTCCCTTGAAATTAAGGAGAAATCTAGAATGAAAACAACACCTCTCTTTATACAGGTAAAATTGCGTAAGAACGAAATTTTCAGTAATAATGAAATTTCTCATGGTGCGCAAGATGCTTATTTGATTTCTTAACGAAATTAAGTTTATAATAACAAAACGAAGATATCTTAATCCAATGGTTATATACTGGTAGGTCTTTTATATCAAAGACAAATCAACAACAGAAAGAGATATTATTGGTATTTGAGAGAAACGATGTATGAAAAAAACAAAAAAATTCGATTACTATCGTATTATAGTGACCTCTATCATGAAGAGTTGAAATAGTTCTCTTTATTTTAGCACGATAGAATACCTAAGTAGATAGCCATAGTACATTATTCAATCAACTTCACTATTTTATTATAAAAGAGAACATTATCCTATTAACATAGACGTCCGATGGCTTTCCAGTAAGTATGATGGTCTGAGTTCGATAAAGTGTTGTAGTAGAAATCTTCGATCTGTGCACGATGTTCATCGCATATGTCTTCGTTGGTAAGTGGCAGTTTATACAATGGCTCATATAGTGTTTTTGCAATAACATTAGTTACCTCACGCCCACCGAGATTCGGCTTTAAAAATGTCAGAAAACTTTTTTGAAAATCATGATCGGCATGATCAGGTGGCGGTAGCCCAGCATACTCAAGAATCTTTCCGTTGATGGAAATCCACAATGGAACTGACGGATCACTTCCATCGTGTTTTTTCAGCTCTTCTTCCGAATAGTAGACATCAGGAGGAAAACCTTGAAAAGAATGAAACTCGTGTGGTTGTTTTCGTGGCACGACAGGTTGCTCGTTGCGAAGGTGGTTGGTATATTCAGGTCGAACTTTGTAATATTCACAGCCTTTGATGATGACATCTAAATACCGCTCACGCGGAATCCCGCTTGGTTGATTTTTCACTTTGATTTGATAAGCATAGGCCATTTGAGATTGATTCTCGTAATCCGTACATATAATAACAACTCTATGGTAGAAACATTCGATTTCATCTAGCCGGATCATCTGGTCGTAGGGAATCAAATGAGCAACTCCATCAAAATTCGAACCTGGACATGCTTCAAAGTCGGCAATACCATTGAAACACCGAAAGACTAGTTTGTGATGTTGACATGTTGCGGGATACGATAGAACCGGTGTGATTTCACGAAGATATTGAGAGATAGGATTGATCATACTACCAATGGCGAAATACCAACAATAGCGTTCTCCATTCGGAAGAACAATTTCAGGTTGTTCGGGATTATTGTGTATGCGAATAAAGTCTATATGAGATTTTGATGGAGGAGTGTGTTTCGATTGTATAGCTTCACAGGATAGCTTGAAGTTCAGATCACTCGATGTTGATTTTATTCGATGAAGTAGATTTGCCATGTGCGGAATGACTTTTGTAGAAGTTGACGACATCCATACACTGATTGGTATAGATAATTCAGCAATCATGACCACGAACCAAGATGAGAATAGAGTGTCACTACATTGCAGTACGTATATTTTACGATCTGCTCTAATACACGAAACACGAAGAAAATTTGCTAGATTTATTGAATTGAGGGGTATAAAAATAGAAAATAACATGAAGCAGTTCTATTTTTCTCGATTGTTCATAAAACACTCTCGATCTTTGTACAGCGTAGACGTCCAACGGGTTTCCAATAGTTATTTTGTTCTCCAGCAGCAATCCTCGTATAGTATGAATCTTCAATCTGCGCACGATGTTCATCGCATATGTCATCACTGGTTAACGGCAGTTTGAACATTGGTTCATAGAGTGCTTTAGCCGTTGCATCGGTTACCTCGCGTCCACTTAGATTGTCTTTGATGTAAGAATAGAGAAATCGATGCGAATCATGATCAGGATGATCTGATGGTGGAAGTCCAGCATACTCAAGAATCTTCCCGTTGATGGAAATCCACAATGGAACTGACGGATCACTTCCATCGTGTTTTTTCAGCTCTTCTTCCGAATAGTAGACATCAGGAGGAAAACCTTGAAACGATTGAAACTCGTGTGGTTGTTTCCGTGGCACGACAGGTTGCTCATTGCGAAGACGATTGGTATATTCAGGTCTAACTTTATAATACTCACAACCCTTGGTTATTATGTCCAAATAACGTTCGTGCGGAAAGCTTTCCGGGTTTTTATTGGATTTCATTTGATAAGCATACACGATATGAGTACGTCCTTCATAGTCAATGCAATTGACCGTAATTCGATTGTAGCCAAGTTCAAGACGGTCTAAAGCGGCCATATGATCACTTGATAACAGATGCACGACTCCATCGAAGTTTGCTCCAGAACACGCCTCTATATCAGCCATACCTCCGGAACCTCGAAAAATCAACTTATAGTCGATGCACGTTGCTGGATAAGATATCATTGGTATTATATCGCGTAGATATAACGAGACAGGATTGATCATACTTCCAATGGCGAGATACCAGTAGAATTTTTGTTCATCGGGTAGAATGATTTCTGGTTCTTGTGGATTATCACTAGCAAGAATCTGGTCTACGAGAGACTTGTCTGGATGAACAAGTTTCGATTGTATAGCTTCACAAGAGAGCTTAAAATTAGCATCGCTTAGTGATGAATTGAGTCGATAGGATGAATTTGCCATAATCAGATTTTCGTAAAACGTGTAAATCAGTTAATGTGACCTACTTTACGAAAAACATCTATTAACCAACCGAGTTGCACTCCTTATTTTACCAGTTAAATTACCTTGTTTCACATGACAGGTGGCTGACAGTGACGGAAAGTTTCAATTCTATCTATAACGTATGGCAGACAATTAGAAAAGGAAGTTCGTTTTACAATTCTGTATAATCTATATGTAAGTTAGTTTTTCTCTGAATATTTCAGCTCAATATAATTTATTGCTAGCGGAATAACAAATAGACTTTACAAAGATATGAACAAAACAAGAGTAAGAGTTACATCTTGATAGTATGAGCAGCTACTTGCTCCAAAGATTAAGTGCGGTAAAGGAGTGACATCATTGAATATCATTATTGTCGTTTGTTTGATACAAGTTAGAGCCTGCTGAATTTTCTCTCAAAGGTATTTTCATTCGAAGGTTCGAAAGATTATCGTATAGAACTGGATTCTAGCAATCGAATATATACACGAGATATAATATTGCTTGACTTCAACAGCAGGAACAATGGTTAAAGCCAACCATGTACTGAACAAAACCTGATTGGTCGGAGAATATCAATTTTAGGGCGAGTTTTTCAACATGAAAGTGAAATGGAAGTGGAAATAATCTAGCAATTATTCAATGTAAGCGGATGTTCGTTTCTTTCGCTTTTCTCATTCGGTAGCGTAAACCTTGTTTTTCCGAACATATTCTTTTTTATGCCAGTCCCACATTTACAATTATATAATTTCTAACATAGAATGCATAAGAAATTTAAAGAAACACAAGCGATTCGCGTGCTCGGAAAATGCTAGTTGTTATCAATTAGACCGTTATTGTTTGAAAACTCAGAAATTCTACAAGTATGAAAAATATGATTGCATTACATGCAACAAAAAGTTTTGTGTGCCATATGTCCAGTTTCAAACTTCAGAATAATCATACGTGCCAATAGATTTTGCCAAATCAAACGACCACTTCAGAGTTAAAATCTGAAAGAAAAAGAGGTAAACGCTGCGTATGTGCATTAGATATATGATCGACTGATGTTCTTACCGCAACGGTTGCTACTATAGTAAAAAGTAGTACAATAAAAATCATGACTTCGTATATTTGATTAGCAGTGCCAAACCCGATATTCAACGCTGTGATCGCCAAAACAATATAGCCGAAGAAAAAAGATACGATGACAAATATCAGAATTCCAATGGATGCAAACTAAATTTGGACAAAATTGAAATAAAACTAAACACAAATCAGATCATATCGACATACAATAATCAATCCAACTCGATATTGAGTATATGCAACCGAAAGACCAAATGTGTAGTAAAAGGTCATAACAAGCATTGGCATTAGCGATTGCACATCGTGTGTATTGTTTACTGATTCATCATAGAATACAGAATGTATTCCAGCGCCGAGAATGACACTACAAACGAACTAGAAGCAAGATGTTTTATTTGATTGTTACGATGCTCGAATGTATCATAACTCACCCATTGTAGGAAGAGTATAATGAGAAGGTATTTCTGTGTTGTGTTTACTCTTTGATTGTCATTTGAAGATGGCAGTGATGATTCATTGCTTTCTGTCTGGTCGAGTGATGATATTTTATCCGGTTCGGAAGGCATCTTGCAAAAAAGAATCTTTGTGTGAAATGAAACAGACGAAACCCTTTTTTTAAATACTTATGTTCTCACGCATGCTTCATTGTCAATTGGCGTCACAGCTGTCAGCAACATTATTCGTTTAGATGTGATACCTTGAAAAGGTTATTTACTGTCTCCTCTCGATTCATGCCTATGAGAAATGCAATATGTCAATGTTTATCTCGTGTACAATCGGAAATTTATCAATTATTTCTTTCACGTCTCGATATAGTATGTTATGTTCCAACAGAACTTTCCTTTCCGATTTCATATACACTGATACCAATCGGTCGAAATTATGTGATTACGCGTCGTACACTTTTTCACAAAGTATTTCGTAGCGACAATTACCACAAACATGTTTAACCGGTTAATATACACTGTGACCTACTTAGGGAACATATTTTTCGAGCTACATCATTATACATACAAACTAACTAATCCCTAATTACAAAAAGATTTTTATCATTTCATGTCAAACCGTTCATTGCCTGACTAGTTGTTTTTCTTGATAATATATATGTATTATATCGACGTTATACACATGGAATGCGTTTGGTATTAATCAAGAGAACAAATGAACAGAGACTATACATGAGAAGAAGAGAGAAAAACAATTTGAAGAAACATAGAAACAACATTGAAACAAAGATCTTTAAATATTAGGAAAATGCGTAAAATTATCTCCATAAGCCAGACGTTTGTTTTGTGGTAATGGTTTTACCGAGAGATCTGAATCATTAGCTAAATTTGTCGTGGAAAGATTTGCGTGTTGAGTATTTCCAAAACGTGCTTTCGTTACATTAATACGTTGATCAGGATCAAGGTAGATCTCTAACCGACTTGGTCTCAAATACTCTCCCGGATTATTCGAAGTGGCATGAACAGTCGAAAGATGTGTTCCAGTGATGCCCATCAGACTAGGGAGACTTTTCTTAAAGAACAGAAAAACACGGTATGATTGGTTTTGTATGTGCGAACAAATCTTACTCCTGGATTCTGTTGTTTCGTATTACTAACATAGACATTACTCTGTAGTTTGGCTTGCTGTTGTTGTTGTTGTTGAGAGTGTGATAGTTTATGTTGTTCACGTTGTAACTGTTTTTGTTGCTCTTTTCGCTCGCGTTCGAATTCACTGTTGAATCCTTCGAAGTATTGATGCTGAAGAAGTTGACCGCATGTGAAACGTTTATCAGGATCCATTACTAAACAACTCTGAGAAACACACGATACATACCAACAGATGAGAAGTTCTTTTCGCTTACTTTCATAAAATCGAGACTAGGTTGTGATACATAAGGAAACTTCTGTTCTAATGGTTCAATTGTATCAGGCTCAGGAATGTGTATATTTTTATAATGTGGATTATTCTTCAATATAGTAACATGTTTATCAATAAGATTCCCTTGATAGAGCATCGAATAAAGAAAGATTGAGAGTGAGAAAACGATGTCTTACCCAGAGTTTTGCGAATTAAATATAACTGATCGACATCGGATTTGCCCGGCCAAATTCTGTTCGCAGAAAAGAAACGAATGAACGATTCGTCATTCCATTCGTCTATCGAAACTTACGGTATTCCCGAGTACAATTCACAGAAAACACATCCGATCGCCCAAACGTCAACAGCAGTACCATACTGTCGATCTCCAACTAATAATTCTGGTGCTCGGTACCATCTCGTCGCTAAACGATCGAATTAAGTGAACACTTATTTTGAAAAAATACCGTGGATTGCATCAACTCACCTACGTAATCGGTCATTTCCAATTGTTGACCTAAATCATTTCAATCATCACTATTTTTCTCTCTCTCTCTACTTCATCACGATGAACTTACTCATTAATCTGGCGAATCCAAAGTCGCATAGTTTAACAACGTTTTGTTTTGTTATGAGTATATTCTCCGGTTTCACATCAACAAAATAAACATTATTATGTAAAAAAAATCAAACACTTTCTTTTCCATTCGACTTACCACGATGAATACACTAAAGGGAAACAAATGTGTACATAATATTCTGACAACTACCTTCTATCTTACATTGTGTCGATGGCAGAAGTCAACCGCGTTCAAAACTTGATACGTTATCCTTTTGATCATTGCTTCTGGTACACTAAAATCGAATAGATCGAGTTTAGATGAGCGCAACAATGAAAATGTCTTACCCATTTCGATACGACTCGAGTTCATCGAGAACAGTTCGATCACAATACTCAAATACTAAATGTAATTTATGCTTCCGTTTGGTTTTGAACACCTCAATAAGATTAACCAAATTTTCATGTTTCAAATGCTAATAGAAGAGATCGATTTGTGCAAATGGAAGTTCTCTCTCATGCGACTTCTACCTTTAACATTCGAATTTCTCGCATAGCAATACGCTTTATTGCTGGATCATCATCCGATTCAATGAATTTCTTGATCGCAACCGTTTCGCCAGTATCTTTGTTTCGACATTTGAACACTTGCCCTAGAAAGTTGCCGAAAGATTCGACTAGTCCGAAAAAGGTCGTTGCGTATGTTTTACCATAGGAACCTTCGCCGATTTTTTTGATTTTTTCATATTTATCCATTGATCGTCAAAGCAAAAAAAGTTATTTACTTGAAATCTAAATTTTTTACAAATGAAATAGCATAAAAGAAGAAATGAAACGAAGGCAAAACATTTCACTGGATTCATTAATAATTTATCGATGTTATTATGCGCAGAGAAAAAGAAGAAAAGAAAACATATCATGCATGTTCAGTCATTCATTAACCATTCAATTGTCAATGTCACACCCTCGTTTCGTCGTTTACTTGCAGATAGACGTTGATTCACTAATGCATTTCAGATACTTGACATCCCATTGGTGAAAACTATCAGCCAATCGGAATTGTGCAGGAATTCTAACCAAATTGTGCTCGATTAAAGCAAACAGTAATCAAATATTTTACTGCTGTGTAGTTCAATTTCTCACGCAAAATCAAATTACTTGAAAAAAGAATGTATCCGGCTGTCGTGATATTTTGCACAAATATTGAAAACAGGAGATTGATGTGAACAAAAAAAGTTCAGACTAAGTATTGAAAGAATGATGGTGAAATGATTATAATGCACAAAACAAGCACGATGATGTATGGTAAACGCACTACTATGTAGATGATTATTGTAATCGTAGTTCTAGTCACGTCTGAAAATGTTTAGTTTGCACGTTATGCTAAATGAATGACGATCAATTTGTTGTATGTGTTAGATGACCTATTCTTTCAGGAATTCTCGTTTGACGAGTGAGTATTATCGCGAAATCGATGATACCATACTTCAGTTGATTCCGCCAACGGATTGACACAATTAAAGTCAATGTCAAGACTGGATTTATTTTCGAACTGACGGGGGTGGATGTTGATATTGAATAGAATCATATCTTGAAAATACCAGTGTATATTTGTTGTTTTGAAGTACATTTGAAGTACGTCACCTCATGATGTATTTGTACCCCCGCATATCACGATATGGTTTTCCTGTCGCGAATGGTAATAAAAACGAAATGTCTACAGCATATGTACTGTAAAATTCAAAATTTGTCATGTTTTTTCCTGGTACGTATTCGTTTATATACCAGCAGAACTCGTTTCCTATGTCGTGTGATGCACCAGACGGTAACTGCTTTTCATTGTAAGTCAATTTTCGATATTCGATCTGTGTTTGCTCGAAGTCAATCATTCGTTTATGATATTATAATTGGTAAAGAAAGGAATTTAATCATTCGTCTTTTGTGTTTCTCACGAAATTTGCATTATATACCGAATATATTTTTCTCTTTCATTTTGATATTTCGAAATGAAATCAAGTTTTCATTTCTATGGTTCGATTCCTTTGCTTCTCTTTCCATTTTAAGGTTACCCGATTGGCCTAGTATTTTACTCCATTGTATTTGCTTTCTTCTCATTAAGAATGTAGCCTTACTAAAATATGTGCTCTTCTGTCATCTCAGAAGTTTACTTGACGGATAGAGACATATAGCAGAATGTCCGTTATTGACAAGATTATTCTCCTTGTCGTTAGTCTTTCCATATACAAGAGAACCAGCGGGAATCAATGGAGATTTGACCTAAATTTGAAGTACTATGTACTCATGTTCTGAGTTTAAATATTAATTTAACAGTTTTGTGTTTTAGATTTTGATTCTATGTATTTCAAGTAGACACAACTCGAAACCGTCAAAGTTTGCTCATCTATTGTAATAACAGCACCGACAACGACGACAACAACAACAGGCGCGAACCTTGAAAAACAACAACGCGTAGTAGAATAGGCTTTTTTATGAAATATTGATACAACGAAAGCGAAAGAATTTATTCGTCAGTTAAATGAATCTTGAAGTGCGTATGAATCAAAGGTAAAAAGAAACATATTAGACGAAAAGATTTTCTTGAGAATTAAATCAACATATTAATCAATTGGTAAATAATCTTGAGAACACCCCGTTTTTTTTTCCTAGTAAATTGAAATATGTGAACCCTGAGAGTAAAAATGCTTTTTTCGATGAAAAACCATCTGTGAATCATTTGTTAACATTCTATACATGGTAAATGTTAATTGTTGAAAAAGTTTCAGTCCGTTGCAAATAGGCAGTTCTCTTTCTATCCTGGTTATTTATAATTCTACAACGATTATGTACACTTATTCATCGGTTCTTTTTTCTCTTCTCTCTCCTTCTCTCTTGTTCTAATGCACACTAAACGAACAGTTCGTCAATATCAATCTTTTCAACAGTATTAATGTTTACTAATGTTTGCGGCTTTTTTTGCTTTTCTACACATCCTCCTCGCGATTCGTGTGACGTTCGAGCAGATTTTTCTAGTACCCTGAAGAATCAAATAATCTCGGTGAAGTGTAATTAACTAATTCTTCAATAAACTTCTTCTCTCCTTCGCTCGTCATTTCTTCGTGAGTAAGAATAAAAAAATATTTATCGATAAATCTACGTCAATGAGATATTTGACTTTTTCTTTTAGTCTGACTAATATCGATAAGAAAAGTATATATATATGTGTAGGTCGCAAAGCAGGTACGGTGATGGATTATCTGGTTGTATTCAGTCGATAGTTTAGTTATTTATTTGCTCTATAACTATCTCGCCACCCACATAGCACATGTTATTGAAAGCAGACAAACTTATAGTTGCCCTTTGCTTTGATTCGTACAAACATTTTTCATCGTTTCGTTCTTTTTTATTTCGGATTTCTTATCGACACGAGATTGAAAGAATGGAATACAAATTCATATCAGATGACGTGATAGAGCAATCTGCTTGTTTCGTACAATAAGAGAAAATTGTTGATTTCTCTCTCTCCTACGGATGAATTTATTATTTATGATAGCAAAAATCGATGTATTCGTTTGAAAATTGGAGAAAAACTTATTAAAATTTATTAAAAAAAAAGAAAGAAAGAACAAGGAAGGACATATCTCATTTATTATTTACGTCAATTCCTCGAAAATGCCGATTTCTTCTTGTCAACGGCAATATACATCACATTTATTCTCCTTTTTTAATGTATGACTCGATTTTCTTTCTTTCTTCTTCTTCTCCTCTCCTCTCTCTCTCTCTTTTTCACGTTGTCTAGTTATGTCGAAACAAAAGTATTTTATTAGTGGTTAAACGGGAGAAAAAAATGTTGAAGGAGAAAATAACAGGCAACAGCAGCTAACTAGCGTTCCTTCACGCTTTATGACGGTTAAACATAGAAGTTCACATGAAAAAACGTTGACTAATTAGAGTGCTTTTCTTTTTCAGATGTTTTCGTCAACAACGCAAGAGACGTTAGTTGACGACGAGGGCTCGCCAACTCATACGACGCTCATGCGTTCGATATCAGCTCTAGATCCGCGTGATTTTCATAATTTCATTGAAAAACATTACGGAGCATGTTGGGGAAAATTGAAATTTGAAGATTCATTAAGTGATTATTCAAATGACGTACGTATAAGTATGATGTTTGATACGAAACAACTTTTTCGATTCTTTCTTGACATCAATTGAATACTCACGAACGGTTTCTTTGATCCTTTTTTAGGCTCGGCCATTTCTTTATGTCGATGACAATATCGATTTGCATGTATTACGTCAATTTATGATAAACGAATGGGAGTTACAGTCGGCAAATATTGTCATACCTGTACTAAGTGGTGTGACGAATAATAAACCTATCAAAAACCAAAAGATGACCGAAACATTGAGAAATGGAATTAAAAATGTATTTTCAGAACGATAATTCAGTTTTAATTTAGCAATCATTTGATTTTATAGGCAGCCAACGCATCGGAAGTATGGTTCATAACCAATGGAATCGATGCTGGTGTTCCACAATTGATCGGCACAGCTTTTCGAGAAGAAATTGTATGAGCAAGATTTCGTCCGTTCACGATCCGATTGATTTTCCGTTGAATTTAGGCGTTGCGACGAGCAGACGATGCATGGGCAATCCAAATGGGTCGTACGCCGAAGAAACGTAAAGCACTCGTCCTCATTGGTATCGTCTGTGATGATGAAATAAAAGATATAATTGATTTGAAGTCCTCGAAAGACAAAAGAAAAATGGTAAATATCTCTTTCACATGTCAATGCATAGTTTCGTCGAATGGCTTTTTCCTAGGAAGTGAAAGTTCCAGCGCGTAAGCGTGATCAACTTTCGCTGAATAGCGATCATACACATTTTATTATCATACGTGAACATCCGATTGGTGTGAGTTCGAATAATCTCGGACGAAAATCTGTGGTTGCTGAAACTGGAGAAAAGCAATTAGAAAAATTAACCGACTCTGCCGAAAGTGCAACTAACAAGTTTCGTGATCGATTCGAAGATTTTCTACACCAAGAAACGTTACAACAAACAAATAACGAACCACAAACAGTCGGTAAGAAGATCGACATCAACCTTGCTGTCTAACCTTGGAAAGCACATACGTGTTGCTTTGTGTTTTCTTGATTGTGGCAAAATATGACCTGAGAGATTCAGCTTGTCAATCTGTTCTGAATTAAGTAAACATTGACAATGTAATTTTAGACCTTCTTTCAACAACGCCATTGTTAACTCGAAAGAGTAATCCATGGAGTGAGGATGGCTTTCCGATGGTGTGCACATTAGTCCGTGGCACACCGGGAACAATCGAACTGTTATATCAAAAGATTCAACAAGAAGTTCCTTGCGTCATTTTGAAAGGAACCGGTTCAGCCGCTGATATAATTGCGTTTGCTTCCGAAGAAATCAGTGCCAAGTAATGTTGATAGGGAGATTCAATGTTTGTTATTGTTTAACCGATTTGTACCTTTAGGAATGATAAAGAGTATGAAGATAGTTATTTGAAAGTGGAACTGTCTCGGCGTTTACTCGATGAATACCCAGCTTTGAAAGATAACAATGTGAAACGGAATGAAATTCGGGATCATATCATAGCGATTGTGAAGAAAGCAGATCAAGGCAAACGAAAATTCTTAACTTTTGTCGATGTGAATAGTACAACAGCATCATTAAATGATTTTCATAAGTTTATTCTCTCAGCTCTCTTACAATGTGAGTGAAAACTCACCCAAGTCAACCTTCCTTCTATCGTCTTATCTCTTCTTTTCAGCACAAAAAACTGTCACCGGAAATAAGGTCAATGTTCAATTGAAGCGAAATCTTCTGCTCACATTAGATTGGAATCTTCCAGATTTAGCCTTATCGGAAATCTTTCAACGCGATGATGATATGAAACATTCAATCCAAGCCGATCTGTTTGATAAAGCTGTTCTAGGGAAAAAGCTCGAAGCATTTGTTGATTTATTTCTCGATCGAGAATTTGCATTACATCGATATTTAAAATCAGATAAATTAGTTAGTTTATTCAATCAAGCAAAAGACCGGGAATTTTTAACTACAACCTCACTCGAAGGCATTCTTGGTTTAACTGGTGTAAGTAGTGCTAAGAGATTTGTTATGAAATGAAAGAAATTGTTTTTCAAGGATGAAGACGAAATGCCGAAAAATTTTGTTGAACATGGCCTGAATATCATTGTGAAACGCTTAACAGGAATTAGTCATTTTTTTAGTAAACACGAAATGGACTGCAATGCAATGGGTATTTACTTCGGTGATAAAACGGATAAAGGTGTTCAACGACAACGAATACGGGCGGAGAAAAAAGTCGGACTTTCTCTCGATGGGACTGAACAAAATGAAGATTATTTATATTTTAGGCTCTCCGGCATTTGATTATCTATGCTGTTCTAATGAATCGTCATCAATTAGCAAAAATTCTTTGGAAACGCTCGTCAGAACCCATTCCACTAGCATTAATTTGTTGTATGATGTTCAAAAAACTAGCACCGTATTGCCACGAATCCTATCAAAGATTACTGATCGAAAAACAAGCAAAGTAATGTGAATTTGTTACTCATCAATGCTGATTAGCCATATGTATCTCTAGGGAATTTTCCGATTGCGCTGTTGGTGTACTCGATAAGGCGTTCAATGAGGATAATATGCGAACATTCGAGATGCTTGATGAAAAACATCCCGATTGGAATCATATGGCAACTGTGGAATTAGCTTACAATGCGGAAAATAAGGAATTCATGGCACATGCTGCTTGCCAAAAATGGGTTACTCGACAGTTTTATGGAGAGATTACTCCGCGAGAATTATCCTGGGGATTGTTCAAATGTCCAGATTATCTTAAAGTTAGTTTTGCAATTCTGTAACGTTTATTCCTAAAATTCCTTTTCGAACAGATCATTTTCAGTGCTATCTTAATCTTTCCAATGTGGTTCTGGATCAATTTCTCCCCGATTGGCCAAGCACCATCGGCGCCGAAAAAGGCGAGTGATTTACAAGATACGAAGAGCACAAAGACTACGTCCGAACCAAAACTGGATGGTTAGTCAAACTTTGACCTTTTCTTTGTAGATCATTCACATTTTTTTTAGAAGGGAAAAAATTGGGTGAATTTGTCGGCGAAGTGAATATCCGTGAAGGGGTAGGTGAAACACTTGTTGCGATTTGTTCCTGTATCTTCTTCGTATTTAGAATAGCGTATTTCAACGGATTAGACGTCGTTTCCGTAATGGTCTGTTTAAGAAGAAACCAAAAACGCCAGTAGTTAATGCAGATTCGGATGAGAAGCCGATGAATCATTGGGAAGAAATCGGCGTGCTATGGACAGCGCCAATCACGAAGTTTTACACGAACTTCGTTGCTTACATCGTCTTTTTGGCGTTCTTTACACTAGCTGTAATGTGGCCAACATGTGGTAATTTATTACTCGATTGTTTTGTCTGGTTTTGGACGGCATCGATTGCATTTGAAAATACACGTGTCGCTTATGAAAAATATTGTGTAAATAGTCAACTTTGTTCACCGATAGAATCAAAACTCGTTTCGCTTGTTTAGTCGCAAAGCAGCTTACCATTGCAACGTGCGGTGATAGAAGTCATTGTTCAGACAATCTTTCTGGCATTGTATCTGGTAGTGAGAATCATCGGTTTATGGAATTTTGGAAGTATGACCGTTTGATGACTTAAGTTGTTTATACTCGCTTCTTTTTCGTTTCAGCATGTCAAGTGTTAACGGCCAAAGCAATCCTAGGCATTGGCTTGATTTATTATTACTATCGTATATTGTTTATTTTCTTACCAATCAGTCCTAAACTTGGTCCGATGATGATTCGTCTTCGTTGCATGGTAAATCGATTCGATACGCTTTCTCTCTTCTGCTTCATAGAAACTTGCGCTGTTTAGATTATGGATGACTTCTTCACGTTTTTACAATTGTTCGTGATCTTCATGATCTCATCAGGTGTAGCGATAACTGCTGTACTGTACCCACACTATCCGTTGGGTATAGAATTGTTTACTAAAGCATTTGTGTTCCGTGGTTTAATGGCACTATTCAGCGGCGAAATGTCTGATTTGAAAACACAACATCTCGCCTGCTCAATCAATGCTACAAGTCAGACAGAAAGTGAATATTCTTGTCTTCGATTGTCCCATGGCTTATCATTTAAATGTAAGTCGCTCGTTGACTTCCTTTTCGAGAAGGAATTCTATTCGTCAACAAATTTCAGATGATAATCTCTATGCGTATAATCGCTATGGTATATCTTCACCCAAGTGCAATCAGCCATCGTGGATAGCGTGGTTTCTATTAATCCAATATTTCTTCCTAGCCAAGCGTTTTCTCACCTCATTGTTGACTGCAATGTTTGGGTATGTCAATGCGAAGATTGTGAACCGGAATGGAAAGTCTTCTTTTGATTATACTTGTAGTTTAACTGGAGCGAGAGTACAAAGTCAATCGGAACAAATTTGGATGTACAATCGTTATGAAATCGTCATGGAATATGCTAAACGGCCTCGGTTACCACCACCTTTTGTGGTTATTTCATACATTGGTTGGTTGACATCGAATTTCTTACTGGAAGTTTCGAAAATTGCTTTTTTTTCTTCGAAGGAATGTTAATATCTAATGGTAGTCGGCAATGTGTACTTAAATTGAAGGAGTGTTCCAATAAGAGAAATCATGCAGCACACCAGTCGCAGCATCGTCTAGCCGAACCGAAGGATGTCATCGTGGATAATGAGCAGAATCCGACTGCATTGAATGTGAACATTGACGTGAGTACAAGTCAGTTGACAGATGCCAATGAAGATCGATCAGTGCTCGGACGATTGTTGAATTGTAAACCGTGCCGTCAAGTGACTGAATCTCATCAACGAAAACTAGTACGTGATTGGAATTGCATCTAGGAAAAGGTTAATGTTTGAATTTCAGGAAAAAGCAAATCAGAACTGGGAAGATAGTGAAGCAAATCTTTACTGGAAGTATAAAGCTGTGGAGTTCTATAACAAAACTCAAGAGGCAGATAAAGTTCAAGAGAAACTTGACAATTTATCGAATAGGTATGATGAAAACCTTTACACTCGATCGATTTAATCCGATAAACATATTTTCAGTGTAACAAACATGCAAAAAGATATGGATGTTCAACGAAAGTCACTCCGACAGATCAACGATCGAGTTGTGTCATTAGAAAAACTAATGGTCGATTCTCATATTTTATTGGAGAAGATCCGAGCAACTATTCAACAAGAAGATAAATCCTTGCCGGAAGGTCAAAAATTCATTCATATTCTATCACGCGAATCGCCATATATTTATACAAATGAGCCAAGATTTCCTGTGACGGAAAGATATATACCGTGGAAGGTAAATCTCGACAAATGTTTAACCAAATCTGCATATGTTATTTTAGATTTCATTCGATTTGTATGACCCCACTTTGATCACTTTACCAAAGGAACACAACTGTTTTCGAGATGACGAACGACCATTTGTGGAACCGAATTTGTAAGTCAGGCAGTATTATTCGAAATGGATATTGTTGTTTGTTGTAGATTGAAAGTCAATTGCACGGATGATCCATCTCAATTGGATGTAGATACATATGTGACACCAGCCACTCCAATATGTCAACCTGGAACGTTTGGAGCTATTGAACCGGCAGTGACACATGGGACAAGTGATTTCACAGTTCCGTTATCCGACTATAAATGGAATCAAATTGTTGAGTTGCAATTACCCGATGGCAAAAAGGTTCGTTCGAAGTCATATCTAAGCCTGGAATATTCGAGCACTTTCATGGTTTAGATGGTGGTTGATCGTACAACTTGGGTAACTAATCCAGTCGATAAATCACCCGTGATCTATCGATTAGATACTCAATTGTTAATACCGCTGTATGTAACTTTTCTCGTTTTGAAATCATCTGGATGAGTTTTCTTTGTGATTGAAGGAGTCCAATGGGTCGAACGGGTGTTCGCGGACGTGGTGCATTGATTCGATGGGGTCCGAACAAATCCATCATGGCTATCATCACTCGATGGAAGAAACATCGCGGACAATTCGCAATTGTTGATGGCCAACGCATATTAGAAGCGATGGTTTTCAAGGATAAATTTACTAATGACTGGAAATTGCCTGGAGTAAATTGAACGATGGAGTTCTTTATGATTATATGTATATTTCCTTTTAGGGAAAGATTTTAGGAGTTGAATCAGCGTATGGAGCTGTTTGCCGTAGTTTTAATAAACTTGCCTTTCAAGATGACGATTCTGAGCATAGTTTATCTCTTCAAGAAAGAGATATGATTGAGGTACAAATCGAGTTGTTTGCAAGAATGAAAATTTGAATTCTTATCTATTCTTTCTAGCATTTCGAATCATTTGCTCGTTCGTCAGAAGGTACAGAAAAACCAAATGGTTTTGAATCTCACATGGTTTATCGAGGTAAACGCACCTGTCTACATATGTCGATTCATCTTCATTGAATTTTAGGTTACATTGATGATGTCAGAAATACTGATAATGCTTGGGTTGAAGCTGAAATATGGAACTTTCATTATGGACAAACCATGTCGTTTCCAAGTCTACGTACTGATGTATGTGCAACGATCGATCTGTTGAATTGTTTTAACGAGAATAAATTTCTTCTTTGTAGGGTATGGCATTTTGGAAAGATGTCACTTATAATTCTCGAGGATTTCTCATGCAAACGTCGATATTACGAGAAATCGCCCGGATTCACGATGCCTATTTTGAGTGAATCATGTGATAAAAATTTCAATATTATTCAAATATATGTTCCATCGTTCACATTCTTTTTTTTTCTATTCGTGTTTGTACATATACATAAACTTGTGTATCTGTTTTACTTTTTGTTGAAATGATATTTTCATGCTCATTTGTGTAGAGCTTAAGTAAAAACAAAAACCAAGCGATATATTGAAAAGAATGTTTGTGCTGACAGAACGCTTGATCAACTAGCGACTCGCATCATTCATCAATGATTGGTTGGTACTTTAACCAAAAACACCTAACAGTTTTAGCAGAACTTATTCATGTTGTTTTTCTGTCAATAGTGATGTCATTTGACAACAATCATCGTTTGATTACGAGTATCGCTTGTAGATTGAGTGCTTTTTCGTAGAGATCAGCGACGAGATTCGAGTATGTTTGTCGAAATGTAAGCCAATCTGCAGGACCTGTTTCTGAGAAGATTTGCGTGAGATTATGATTGATAAACTTCAATGCTAGGTCTTTCAATCGTGTCGCTGTATGTCGATCGGCAAGTATTAGTAATCGAATACAATTTTCTTTCGTTAATATGAAGTAATCTTCAGCAAGGACTTTTAAGCTTTCCACGTGATATTTATCAGCTAATTCAAGGATCTCTTCCGCTTTCTTCTCGTCGTTGAATATACACGTATCGGAATAGAGATATTTAAGGAATAGATCGATCGACGATGAGTTATAATCATTGAGAATCAGACATGAATTCGTGATTTCAATCGTATCTTGTTGTTGGAACATCGTGAGGAAAACATCTGAACGAGCAGCGAGAACCGATCGATGAACAGGATAAATACATTCTCCAACTTGAATGATAAAGTCCGAAAAGTAACTCTGAGATTTCAATGTCAATAAATCTCGATTGAGCGATCGAGTTAGAACAGTTTGATTGCAAGGACAGTCCGATTGACGACAGTTAGAACGACGACATGATTTTGATGACGTTGATAATGACATGAATAGAAAAGCAAAATCAAACTGAAATATTTAATATTACTCAATCTCTATGACAGCAAGAAAAATAATTTTTCTATCCATATTTGCTTTTTAGATTATGTATTGTATAAACTGACGCATTTTCTGTATGACGAGATAACTCACTCAACAGCTCGTAGGTCATATTCATCTTTAGAGAGACTTTTTTCTTTTCTTTCGCGTTTTTTCTCTCTTATCTATGACGTCGACAGTCGCGTAGGCCGGCATCAAGTGAAAATTATATAGTAACATGAACAAATAAGAGATTGTTAGTTCCCGAAGAAAAGAAGAAGAAAAAAAACGACAGACGAAGAAAATTCTTCCTTTTCTTCTGCTTCTTAGTTGAGATCGTTTTTTTTTTTCGCCATTCTTCTTTTTTTTTCCCCGTCAGTTGTCGTTGTTGTTTTCCCTGACAAAAACATTACTAGTTTGGGTTTTTGCTTCTAGATAATCATGGTTTCAGTATCTCTTTATGTTGTCCTTCTCTCCTCCCTTATCGTACTCAGTACCGGTCAAGAAAAACATGTTAAACATCACAACACTCAAGAAGTGTTCGATATTCTCGATCGAATTCATGACAAATGTCCGGACATCACTTACATTTACGATCTACCATTGAAATCCGTACAGAAACGTCCATTACGCGTCATCGTCTTTTCGGACAATCCAAAACATCATGAAGTACTCGAACCTGAATTCAAATACGTTGGTAACATGCACGGAAATGAAGTTGTCGGACGAGAATTATTGTTAGTCTTGGCAGAATATCTCTGCGACGAATATCAAAAGGGCAATGAACAAATCAAAAACTTAGTCGATAATACACGTATTCACTTGATGCCAATTATGAATCCAGGTACGATGACTAGTTCTGAAACTCGAGATATCCAATGACGGGTTTGTGTTTTAGATGGTTGGGAAATTGCCGCGCAAAACGCATGGAACAGCACCAAATCGGGCGAATTCAAAGATATCGAAACAATGTTACAAGAACAAGGTGCACTTGATTGGCAAGTCGGACGAACAAATGCAAATGGAGTTGATCTTAATCGAAATTTTCCAAACTTGGATAAATTCATTTACGAATATAATCGACATGCAAGCCACCGAAATAACCATTTAGATTTGGAAACATTTCTCTCGCTAACATCTGGAAACGATTGCCATGATCAACCAGTAAGGAATGATTTTTTTTTTGCGAGTGTCTCATTTTGAAATTCTTCTCTGTATCTAGTACCAACCAGAAACAGTCACAGTCACCTTCTGGATCATGCAAAATCCATTTGTTCTATCAGCTAATCTTCACAACGGTGATCTCGTTGCCAATTATCCATACGACGATTCAGCAAACCACCTTCAAATGTATTCACCATCACCCGATGATTCGTTATTTCAGTACGTACTTCTTCCCTCGCTTATTCCCAATCACCATTCACTCTCTCTCTTTCAGACAATTGGCCGAATCTTATTCACACACGCACTCGAAAATGCAATCACCCAAGAAGCCATGTTCATCGGACGTTTTCCCCGAAGGAATTACAAACGGTGCAGCTTGGTATCCAGTCTGTGGTGGAATGCAAGATTTCAACTACTTGGCAAGCAATTGTTTCGAATTAACCTTAGAACTCGGCTGTCAAAAATTTCCACCTGGTAAAGACTTAGCCGGTCTCTGGGAAGACAATAAAAACGCACTTCTCAATTTCATGTGGCAGGTAAGACAAGATGAAAAGACTTAAACTTTCTTTCATGAAAAAAACAACATGTTTTCATCTTTAGACTCATGTTGGTATCAAAGGAATCATTGAAGACGAAGACGGCGAACCAATCTACAACGCCAGTATCAAAGTCTATCAACAAATCAATGATAATTGGAAATATATCGACCATGACATTACATCAAGTAAGCATCTCAAACTGAAATTTATGTTTTTAATAACTGTTGTTTAGATCCTCATGGTGATTACTATCGTTTACTTACTGATGGTTCATATGCTATTCAAGTGAAAAAACCAGGTTATGAAAGTCAAACACAATACATCAATATTCATAATAAAGAACATCAAGTTGATGCACACCGTCTTGATTTTACTCTTCAAACAACATCGGCTGAACGACTCGATCTTCAACGAATGCTCAAACAATACATGAACAAAGTAAACATATGCTAATGTCTTCGTCGACCACTAACATGTATTCTTATTTTTTAGTATTAAACAAAATGAATCTCAACAAAATAATCAAATTCCTCTCTCTCTCTATATATATATTTTTATGATCTCGCATTCCTGAACGATTCAAAAGTCATGAACAATGTCGATCAACCAATGAAATTCTGATCATTTCGTTTTGAAGTCTTTTCTTTGCCATTTAAACGTACCAACAAATATATTTTTTGTTTTGTGCAATAATAAAATCTCTATATACGACTTAATAAAACATTCAAATCGACAGAGAATGAAATTAATCACATGAAAAACTCTTCTAATCGATTTCTTTGTTGTTCTGTCGCTATCAAACCGTTGCTTATTCAAAGTTTAATAATAACCATTACACGACAAATAAGTTCGATTCATTGTCTAGTGGTCGATGAAAAAAAAACGAAACTTTACTTGTTCTCTTTCTTCACTTACTCTTATTTTTTTTCGTCGTTCTCCATCGCACGAGAATGACTATGCGTGAAAAATGACCGCTCTTACACCCTCAACATTTGAGTTATACTCTACAAACACATATCCTTTTAACACAGGCAGACAGGCAGACATATACTCACGATGAATATGTTACTTTCACTCTCGCTATGGACTTTCATATTTGTTAGTAATCATATTATTAATGCCTATTGTCCGGATGATGAAGATCTTCAACGTCAACAATGTACATGCAATTTGAATAAGAACTATATTCAATGTTCGGCATTACCCAAACAATGTCGCACGTGTTATCGTTACGATGAAATGTATTTCGATGAGAAAGTCGATATTTTACCTGAGGAAGCATTTCGTTACTACGAATTCTTTGGAAATAATCGCAAGAAGTCTTTTAAGGTTCAATTTGCTCACTTAAATGTCATTTCCTCGAATGCATTCTCTCGAACCGACCTGCGCGCCGAACGGTCCTTAAAAATACAGATCGTCAAATATACATCAACGATTTTACCATCGCGAACATTCGAAGATTTAGCTCTTCAGTCGAACTCGAACATAACCATTGACATTTTCAACGTCACTTCATCGTTATTAACCATTGAGCAGTACGCATTTGATGGCATCCGATTCAATCGCGAGAGTCGATTTCGTTTCGCGATACTCTATGCAAAAGATACGATACTATTCGAATCCAACGCAGGTATTCCTTAAATCTTCTATTCAATGATAAAAACATTCATTTATTGGTTTGCTTTTAGGATCGAATATGTTACCATCGTACTCGCATATGGACTTAATGTTTGCGAATTTTATTCAAGTGATCTTCGAGGAGCATAGTTTCGATCATATCACTCAGGAACATTCGAGTGAATTGATGCTCAGTTTCGATCGATTTCAGTATGCTACACTGGCGCATAATTCTTTCTATGACTTTCATCAACTTGATCTTGCACGTTTTCAACTTTCCCTGGCGAATTTTCAAAGTTTAACCATCGAACAAACGCTATTCGATACCATAACACAATGTAAGTGGCCAACTTCTTCGTTTCGATATCGTATCTTTTGTTTCCATAGTAAAATCAACGTTGATCGTGTCGATTTACAATTTAACAAGCGATCTATGCGTCCCGAGTCAAACTTTCAGTCAGATTAAGCAGGATGTCAATTCGACATTTCAATTCGAGATTAACTACGGACGAAACATTCTTTTTGCTTCCGATGCATTTACAAATATAAACCAAAAATTACAGTCGAAACTAGCGGTTAGCATTACGAATTCCTACGATGTGTATTTCGCTCGTTATGCATTGAATAATTTACATCAGGAAGATCGATCATTCGTGGATATTTGGGTAAAATATGGGCAGAATCTAATCTTCGAAGATTATGCAATTAACAATATCGATATTAACAAAGCAAGTATTCTTAGAATTGGCTTTCAGTATTCACGAGGAACTTTACAAATGGCGACGAATGCATTTGTGAATATCAACGAAGGTAGAGTCGTTCTTTGTACGAAAGAATGAAGAATTTCTTTCGTTGTTACAGGTCAAGGTGGTGAATTTATCTTTCAAATCATGAATTCCTCGGACTTCTATTTTCGTTTCAACAAGACAATCTCTTTAAAACTTTTGGAAATTGTCGATCGGTCACTGTCATCTCAAGATCTCTGTCGTGTTGCAAATATTCCATCTCACATTCCCATGAAACTCCTTCCGGACACGTCATGTTCCTGTACGGTTTATTACCTCTATCGTCACCTTCATCGCAAACTTCTTCAGTCAGATCTTAATGAACTGACTCCGACGTGCTATCGAGATATGTCTCTGGACGATCTCGAATATGCCGAACATGAATGTTCATTCGAGACGAAAATTAACAACTGTCAACAAATGGAGGGTGAAATACAAATTGATATTCCACGTGGTATCTGCGAGAATAACGTTCGACTGATGAATAAGAACAACAACAAACGACAGCCATCGAAGAAGAAATCGTCGTTCACAACGGCGATCTTCTTTCTCATCCTAATCGGTTGTATCATCTTCACTGTTAGTTGCATGTACGTTCTATTTTCCAAAGATAAACGATTACCATCATGGGATACGCTTCAAAAGTATCTCATGCACTATCGACGACAGAAATTGACAATTTACTCGGCTGATTCTTATCAACAGTTGACACATATCGATCAACAAGAACCAACGACGAAGCGAAGAAAACTTCTGGTACGGTACAATTCAACAACAGATCGAACGCAACCGTACTTAGATGTGGACAAGTCGGACTTCATTGTTTCAAACAATGCCAAAGATGATGATGATGAAGAACATGATGAAGATTTCACACTGAAACTGAATACCAATCCCATGAGTGATATTGAAGACAATGCGGTTTAACTTGTCTATACATTCGTGATTATTTATTGAACTTTATAAATAGTGATAGAACGTTTTAGAGTTGTGTTCATTTTTGCTTTTCATTCTTTGTCGAAGTAAATAACAGTGTCTGCAAAGTTCAATTATGGAGTCAGCAGATAGGGTCAACTGCTCTGAAAATTAGTTTACAGCTGCGAAATTGAACATGACTGAAATAGCGGACGGGATAGATCATGATTCATCCCCATGTCGATTCCTTCCTTCGACGTTCTTTGTCTATCCAACCGTCTTATATGAAAACGAAAAGCATCACAGTTCATTTCTTTTCTCTTTCGGAAGTGAGTGAAATATATCATTTCATTCGCGCTTGTCTATTCAAATCATACAAAATGCTCGGGGCACTCGGTCATTGTGAAGATCCAGCCTGTGTACAAAAAAACTCTTCATCATCGCACGAGCTTATTCGCTTGTTTCGTTGTTCTATTCATTGCGACAAAAATCTCTGTTTGTCTCATTTGAATGCTCATAACGTTTACTACGAACAAGAAAGACGACGAAATGACGGCGTCATTCGAGAACTCGAGGCCGCATTTACCACTTATCGACAACTATTTGAACAACATATCGCCACATACCAAGAGCTTGTTCGTCAAGCATCGACTATTCTCTATCACAGTTCAGCGACGACGATTCCAACTGAACAAATCCGCAGTGTGATATCCAATATTCGTCAATCGATTAGCATCTTCGAACAAGAAATAAGTAAGTCAAATAAATTTGATTAAAAACCTTGCGAATGTTTCGAACTCGATTTTAGTTTTGCAACCTGATCCAGCATTGAATATGACACTATTACAATTGAAGAGTGAAGAAGAAGAGAAAAACGTTATTGTTCTCGATGACGAACACGGCCAGACGAAGAACATGAACAAAGAAAACGAAGTGCCGGTGAACCCTTCACTTTCAAGTGTCAATGCGAATAACAACTCGACGATCGTTTCATCAAATGAATGTCACAATTTTGTGGTGCGAATTCCACGAATTAGCAACATAGACACGGAGTCATCGATTGAGATCATCCGAAGTAACTCACAACGTGAAACATCACCATCGACCAAAGGACAGAAGCGAACAAGTGAACATACGAAAAAGAAAGTAAAAGAAAACTTATCATACTTATCAACGATCTCCTTATATGTTTAGGCGAAATCGATCAAACGATTCAGATGAACCACATTTTTCGGTCATTTAATGAACTAATTTTTGTTTGTTTGTGCCATATAGATCGTTGTGTTTTTTGTTCGAAAACGTTTAATAAAATAGTTTTGATAAAACTTAATCTTACACGCTGTAAGCAAAGTCAACGATCGGTACATTCTTTTATCGTTCGTGAAAATACTATGCATATTTTGCCTAATGATGCGACTCAAAGCCAATCACCCTCAAGTGATTGGTTGCCATAATTGCTGTTTGATATGTATTGTAATTGGTTGAAGTACAAAACGATTGACTTGTTTTGTATTTCTTATCGAGAGTTACTTTTATTGCGAACAATATAATTTGCTTGAATAAGTTTAATGAATCATTTACTTTTCGAACCAATCTTCTCCACGCTCGACGATAATATTAGTGGTTCTAGTGTTCGTTCTCTTTCCCTAGTATAAAAATCGACTCAGCCCAACAACAAGAAAACATTGTTTTTTCCTATTCGCTGACGAACATCATAAAAACACTATGGCTGGCAATGGCACTGGCGCTCTCGAAAACATTGTGCGATCTTGGCTTGATAGACATCATAACCAATTAGATTTACACTTAACCCACCCACCGATTACTTTCAAGAAGAGTTCTGATTATCCATTTATGTTCACAGCAGACACCGACAATGTTCGCATTACTATTGGTTTCAAGACCGAAAGTTTGAATAAAGACTCATCTCTTGATGATTTTTACTCCAACTTCAATTACATTGCTCTTGATCATCTTCCCCTGCCTGGTCTTCATGGTATCCCATCTGAATGGGATGTTTACCCTCAAACGCCAATGTCATCATTTTCCGATGGTGTCCGTTTCGAACATTATGATCCAGCTTCGCAAATCTTAAAATTAGATATTGAAACAAATTTCTTCGCAATCTACGGTCAACTTCCTCAACAACATTACATGGCTGATGCTTCACTACCCAAAGGTAGTTACTTTCAAGTTCGACGCGATATTCAAGCCTCAATCAAACTTCATGCTAAACTTAACTTCAATTAAACTCACATATTTTATGCAACGAACACTATAATAGATATTCATTTAATAAATATATTGCATGTGATTATGCGTGACTATTGACTGAATATGATGAGTTGATGCGGCCTGAAACCTAGGAGGAAAAACATAGGATTTAATCGAAGAGAATTCTGTTCTTCTCGCGATTGATACACATGTGGTTCCGACGGATATTCTAACAAAAACAACAAGCAATCTTGCGTATTGTTTTTGGGTATAATTACATGAAAACAATGTCGAGACGTTTTCTGATATCGAGCTTGCCTCTAGATATTTTTCTCCAAAGAAAGAAGTTGAATCGATGATAGATTGGTCGAATCCGATCGATATTTATGCACATCACGAGGTGATACCGTATATGTCAAGAGCATGAAGACATTTTCAGAGGGTGTGTCGACATGAGTCATTGGGAGAAAGACGACGATGATTTGACACGAGCATTTGCTTGTATTCCAATATTTATTTATAATAATAACCCAAATGAGACAAACAGTTTGACTGGAACAATCGTGAGATCTCTCTGCTGTGTTTCAGTGATTATTTTCTGAATTTCGAAAGAGAAAAAATGAAAAAACAATATCGACGACGATTCCACACTAGACATGACACTAGACAAGAGACAAAATATACGAATATATATGTATGTGTATACATCGCGAGTGCAATCGACAAAGAAAGAAGAAGAAGAAGAAGAAGAAGAAGAAATCAAGTAGTCTGTTCAGATCTATCTGACACATGAAGAAAAACAAAAACAAAACTGTTCGCTTGATGATTAGTTGGATAGAAGTCACTCTGCTCTTGCGTCGCACAGAAATTTACATTGATTGGGGTGATAAATGATTCAATTCTTTCGACGATAACGTTGCTCCACTTCCTGGCCGACGTAATTGATTCGTTGTACTCAAATGTCCTTTGTTCATGGCATTCTTTACCGCGTCGGACAGTGACGAAAATGAGGCAACTGTTTGAATTGGTTTGTTTATTATAGATGCTTTGCCGGAGTCAGTTGAAGTTTCTGAATTAAGAGCAGACGATGATGCAGTTTTCGGTTGATCAGCTAAACGCTTCATTTGTGCGAAGGGCAACCAACGTTTCGGTATTTCGTCTGTTGTATGAGGAACTGAAAATGGAAAATAGATAGTTGAGTCAATGCGCATGGTTATATCGATTTACAATTTACCCTCATATTGATCGGCAAACATTGAATTATCTTGGTTGATTTGATTGCTAACATGAACACTAGCAATGATAGAAGACACGAGCTTTTGTTGGAAGAGCAAAACAAGTTGACACTTACCGATAGAAATCGAATTTACCCGGTTCGGTTGGACTCAATGCAAAATCGTAGCCAGTTTGAGTATTGTCTGTTGTCTTTATGGATAACGGTTTCGTAGACGTTTTCGAGCTCATACTTATCGAATGACTGTGATCAAAATAAGTTCGGATGAAAAATACGAGTATTGTTCTCCTATTAAATGTGCTCTAAAATCAGCATACATGCGTTATATCTTTATTTTCTTTTCTCGGTCCTATGAAATAAAAACATCCGCAGTAGTATGATTGTTGGATGGGTAAGAAAAAAAGGCAACAAACGGCTTTTTTCTTCCTTTTTTTTACTCATTCACTGGCCTTGGCTGCATACTAACGTTTTTTCTCTCTCTCCATCCTTCATAGCAACTCTCCCATCCAGCTTTTTCTCTCTCTTTTCCTCTCTCTCGCGCTCGCGCGATAACTACTGTATGTACAGGAGATGAATCCAAAACGAAACTAGACATAGAAGCGTGCTAACCAATCCGACCTTCAGCAATGCGAAGAAAACGTAGAACTCATTCGACGTCAACTTCAATTGTGAGGTAAAGACAAAATGAAAATTTCTTCACCTATTCCAAAATCGAAAGAAAGAAAGAAAGAGAAAAAGAAAATGACGTAATGATGACACATTTTCAATATTCCAAACGTGTGAGTGCATATCGTACTCATCGGTCACACCATGAAATTCGTTCATATAGACGAACGAAAAAACAAAAATGTCTCCTCTAATCCAGAAAAGATTGGATACATAATCTGGTTTTTGTTATTGTTTTTTTCATCTCAATGTACTTTCCTTATCGACTCTCTCGAAACGCAACGATTCTTCGTCACTAACAACATGACGCGACAAATATTTTGTTTTTCTTCTAATCAGACATGTTTTTTTTCAAAAAGAAAACAACGTTAGATATGCAACAAGCGAAAAAAAAAACTGGAGATCTGCGAGAGACTAATTCTATTGTAAACAAATATTGACTTGAGTCAATCAGTACATCTGATAGTTCCATGAAGACAGAAAGAAGGAAAACAACACGCTTACGAAACGATCGATCGTTGGTAAATAAATTATTCGATTGGATTGGAATCTGGCCAATTTAAGTCACATGTCAAATTTTTGAAAAATTATTTGCCATTTTTCTCTATCATATTTCTGATGAAAAGCATCCGTTTCAACGAAAAAGAAATAAAATATTTGATTTAATTCTGATATGGCGCTAGATTCGCCAATCAGTTCTTTGTTCAATCACAATCGATTATTATTCGTTCAAAAAGAGAAGTTATGACTCATTGGTAGCTACGGTGGGCAGGAGGAGAAGAGGTGTGGTAAGCGCTGTTCGGAAGCTGTAGAAATTTTCTTTTTTTGTGATATCTCTAGAGATGAAGCTAATTCAAAAGAGTCACTGCACAATATCCCAGCACTCGGGAAGAGATTTTACGTGATGAGAGTTGGTAATAATCACACTTTGATATAGTTCTCGTGTTGCTACTGGTATATACTTAAACATGCATGTGCGTTAACGGATGATCGTACCATTAGAATAGAGATATGCACTCGTGAATCTTTCGCTGAATAGCAAAGAACTGCTTATCAATAAGTAGTTTTTATTGCTGAACATGTATATAATATAGGTAACAAAAATAGAGAAGAAAAAACGAGAAGATAATTATTACAAAAAAAAGACATAAATTACAATTCTAAATGAAATGTATATGTATAGAAAAGAAATCAACGCAGGTTATGACTCGTGTTTCGATATTTGGTACTATCTGACAGCATTGAAAGTATTATCAAATCACACAATACTCTCCGTGCGAGAATACACTTCTGCTGACGATGGTAATACATGTCGCCTTAGTGTGCCTGTTGGACATTGAGATGAATAGTGGTGGCAACAGATCGGTACGACGACCGGCGGATTGGATGATGCTGATTCGTACGATGGTTTCGAGGGATCAGAGTGATGAAATATGTTGGTACGAGGATGATAAGGACGAATGGTATGTGTATTCGATTGAAGAACTGGCTGAAATGCACTATGAGGAGTGCGAATCGTGTAGGTCGATGTTTCGGATGGTGGTATAGTTTCGTAAACATGATAATCGATTGTATCATTGCGAATCTGAGGTGTATGATAACATAATATAGCTGAATTTGGGTTTATTTGCGACGAATTCGGCAGATGCGGAGGTGAAGATATCGTTGTCGTTGTGTCATTTGATTTCGATTGTGATTGTTTGGAAGAGCAGGATGATGTTGATGTAGATGAAATCGTATTCGTTTGTTCATGGTATAAATGTTGCATTAAACTACGATGTAATTCTTCATGTGTAAAAGAAGAATTCGAATCATTCTGAGTTTTACATTGTGATTTACGTTGAAGACGTCTAAAGAGGGAGAAAGGTTTTAAATGAAATGAAAATCAAAGTTATTCTCACTTTTTGCAGATATAACAGACAACGATGTTAACAGATAGGACAACCACACATATCCCTCCGATAATGGCGGCAAGAATGCTTGAATCGATTATATTCACTGGTCTTCGTGATTTATCAATCAATGCAGTCGATGTTGATTCAGTACTACTCTTTGGTTGAGTATATATCTCTCGTTGTTCGGATGGAGTTGTCGAATGGGAATAGATAATCGCAGTTGTAGTCGAAAATGTCGTCGATGAGATTGTGGTTGATAGTGGATTTCCACAGCGAATAATTAAAGGTAATGATTGGCGACTGATATCTCGTTCACAAATAAATGCTTGTTCTTCCGTACACGGACGTTTCATCCAGCCATCAGAAGTCCGTAGTATGCATTTTCCTACGTTCGACGATGATCGCCATGGCCACCATGAATGTACTACAACAATTTTGATGAGAAGAGATGTTAGAAGGAGTCACATTCTTACCAATATAGTTTTCTTTCTCTTCCGCTATCCAGAATGAAGTTGGATACTGTTGGTTTGTTGATAGGAAATATGTCAGTTTCTTTTCTTGGATAATATCATGCAAATGAATCAATTTCGATCGAATTGACCGGCATTTGTTATGAGCAAGTGTCCATGTTTGTTTATCTGAGAATATCTTGATACACTTCGAGCCGAGAACGTACTCATCATCGTTACATTGTTGATAGCCTGAAGAGAAAGATTCTCAATAACAAATAACTTTTTTTTTGCGACTTCGTTTTTTACCGTGTAAACGAATCCAAAAGCCTGACTGACTTAGAGTTTCATCAGTTTGAAAATTTAACGAAAGCGGAGATTTTGATGTTAATAATGATGCACCGAATGGAATCGTTCCTGAAAACGAGGCTAATCGATCGTTATCTTGCAAATTAAACGAAAGATTCTTAAAAAAAAAAGGCAAAACGAGGAGAGTGATGAAAAAACGAAGCAGAACAAATTTACCTCAACATCAATGACGATATTTGTTTTCTTTTTCGATTCAATTGCACAAGTACAATTCACATTATTTGGATACTCATTCGGAAACATTGGACTAATTAAGTTTACACCATTCGTCGATGTCAAACTTCGTTTCGAACACACATCCACAATTGTTGAATCTACAGCGATGAAAACAATCCAAATTCTTTTCTTTCAGAATCTTTTCAAACATACTTTTAATACATTGGTACGAAATGTAAAGATACGTCGCTTCGTCAGAACATTTATGTATGAATTGCTGCGTTAGAACGACTTCACATTTCGATACGCCATTACAAAGTTCAGCTATCTTGTGCGTATAATCCATAATACAATCATTTTCCGATGGTTCGCATTTCGTCGATGGATTCGTTCGTTCGGGAGACTTCTTTGTCCCATAATGCGACCAACCGATGAGAATTAATTCATTCGGATTACAATTGATATCCATATGATTTGCAAATTCTTTTTGAGTACATTGAGATTTCGAATACCATTGATCTGCCAAGGTTAAACGAACAGCAGGAAGCAGAAGAAGAAAAAGGTATATGATTGACAACATTCTATAAAATCTAGGAAAGAAAAAGACATGTCAAATACGAAGAATAATGACTTTTAATTAATAGATCATCAGTCTTCGCGGTAAGCTTTATTAAAAAGAAAGACGAATGGAATATGAGCTGTACCATGTGACATGCCTTAAGGACGACAAGTATTCGAAGCATTGAGCCGTATGGTAAATTAGACGCGTGCATGACCAGCACTGTCAACGCAATGTTCATCATTATTAAGGTGTAATAAGTCTCTAAACATAATCAAACCGCTCTTTACGCTTTCATGAATTCGTCGAAGATTTCATCGCTTTTTTCACCATCAGTATCAAAAGTGTGTCAATGTTCTCATACGATGAGAGAGAGAGAGAGAGAAGGAATAAAAAGAAATTCCAAATGTCAACAGTGGTTAGATGACGCAACTCGAACTTATTTCATCTCGGTGTTAATCAATATCTCAAGTCACCTTAGAACAACATTCGTTTTCTTTCAATGAGTCAATAGAAGTTCGATTTCTTCGCGCTGGACACTCGAGAATGGATTACTATTAGTTACTGAGAGAAGGCAAGTACGAGTCGTCGCCTGACAAGTATTAGACTCAAGTACATATATGAACAGACAGACAGACAGATTGAACAGCTAATTGTAAATGCATACTTCACTAAACTAACTGACAGAANCAATTGTTAATTACAATGTAATCAAGCAGAACATTGATCTCTAAGTTAATTCAACAAATTGTCGTTCATGTCTCCTCTTGCTTTAGGAGAATGCCGCTATACTTATCCAAAAGCTTTCCACTCGCTAATTTTCAGCATCTGTGAGTAGATTTCTTCTTTCTTCACGTCGTCGAAAGCTATGTCGGCTAATTCCGGTACACGTAATCTACATAGAGAGCAAAAAGAAGAAGAAGAAGAAGATTGCGTGAGCAGCGGAATTGTACCGTTGGCGGCACACCGTACAATCGTGTTAGATCTCCGTTGGGAGAAACACACATTCAATCAATGAACAAACGAGCAGCATCTCCGATGAACGAACAAAACAGAACGAATGTACATGCTCTAGTGAAGAGTGTCAATAGATCCTTGATGCAATCAGCATGATAAGTAGCTTCTCATGATGAGAAGAGTAACAACAAACACCTGTCAATCACTCTGCTCTATAAATCACTATCTATTTAGAGAATATGTAATGTTAAATAAATGTCCTCTGAACAAAATGAATCATAAAGACTTACACAATCCTTCTGATTGAATTACTAATAAGTCACGATGATGTAAAGTTCATTATACCTTGTTGAACATCATACACTTGTGCACATAGGCAAGAAATTCGATCTTCTAGTTGTGATTAAATAGAAAAAGAACAGCGGAAGAGAAGAAAGAGACATTTTATCTTTGACGAAGTTATTAACATGTGCATGTGTGTTGTAGACAGTTCCTTAAATATACTGCAAAGTATGGGGAAAGTGTAATTAACTCATCGTTGATATATGTATACATATATAAAACAAATACACGTACTGAATCGTAATAAGTCTGCCAAGGTTAAAACGATTTCTCTAACTGATGTTCTCGCTAGTTTTTTAATATGTTCGTGTGCCTTTTGTTGACACTTTCCATTGGAGAATGTAGAGAGATAATCGTTATGGAATACTATTGAGAATAATTATCCTCGACTGCTTGTTGTATCAACACAGAAGATAATGAACGGAGGTCGAGTATGTTTGTCTTCGAGTAGAAGTTTTGAGTTTATGTTCTGTTTAAAGCAAGAGGAGACATGAACGACAATTTGTTGAATTAACTTAGAGATCAATGTTCTGCTTGATTACATTGTAATTAACAATTGGAAAACCTTGGTTAATATCTAATGTCATCGTCATCAACGAAGGAAATCGACTGAATAGAAATGCCTCGGTTCTTTGCCTGTTTGACAAGGATGATAGTATCAAAAGATTGACTAGCAACGCCCAACTCAATTGTTATTAGACAGATATTCTGAAATCTTGTTGTTTCAATCTCATTTCATGGTCGTGCTGTTTATTTATCAATCAAGTTAAATGACTGTCGGAGTATGTCGCCTTGTCAATGACAAATCGAACGGTTTGTTCGAGAGTTTGAGCTTGATAGAGATCGGTGACATGTGGAAGAGCATTACCAGATGAATTTTTCGATAAGAACTCGAACGCGAAGTCAATTTTTACAGTTTCTCGAAGAGAACGTTAGTCAAAGCGTCACTTCTTACGAAGGTTAGAGGCAAGAGACGACATGTATATCAACGATTTGATGCATCAGTTCAATGATAAAGGAAATGAAAAGCGTTTCCGTCGAGAACTACAAGTAATTAAATGTATACAAGGTCTGCATGTTATGATTGCTAATAACTATACGTGTGGATAATCAACATATTAAAAGAAAAGAGATCCTCGAGCGATCGATAATGTTCGGATTTCTGGCGAAGTTCTCGATTGAGCTTTGCCTTCGCTATATGAAACTCAAGGTTCAAATATTGGCAAAACAAGCTAGCGTTGTCAATAGCACGGAGTACTAATAGATAATTCTTCTGAGACACGAAAGATGATTGTTATGTGTCGCATTCATAATGATCCAAAAGACAACACATGTCTCATAGACCTTTGCTTTTCAATGTTAATTCTAATATGATTGTTTTTATCGACTTCGAAAGACAACCACTTGGTCTATTCCAAAGACGTGTGTTCACAAGGTCTCAATTAGTTCTTGATAATTATTCTAGCTATTTGCTGTCTATTACATCGTGAGGCATAGTCAATGTATAAGATCCATGCGCAATACATGCTCCTTTTGTCATCATAGTACTCGCTTCAGATTCAACATCACGTTCGTTTCTTTGTTTATAATCATATACTCCATTAAAAAACGATTTTCTATACAATGAAACTACTTGATCGATTAGACTTTTTGCATATTCTGACATACGATAATCACGAAAGGGAGGAGTGAAAATAGTCTATTGAACTTTCTAGTTCTACTGGTTGTTAACTGTCTTTTGCAAATCTTGCACACGGGATACAATTGAGGACAGTTGTGTTTGTACTTGACTGTTATATTGATTTATTTGTTGGCAAAGTTTGGAAGCATCATTAAGAATCGATGTCAATTGACTCATCTCAGCCTGCTTTTGAGGCTTCAAACCTGTGATTCGTTCGTTCCATCGAGTTTCGAAATTAGCTATCATTGTTTGGAAGGTACTAAATAGAGAAGAACCAGATAAAATCATCCAATGGAGAGTTTCAATATACTAACTGGTTTTGTTCGTTTAACAATTCATCCAAACGTTGTTGGGATACTGATTGCTTTGGACACTCAGTAGCGATATGTCCCTCAGTACGGCATTTGTAGCACACTATTGGCCAATAAGGACGAATGTAATGTGCTTGATCGTGAATGTAAATTCGCTGGTCGTATAATATATTCGATACTGAATGAGTGGAAGAAAAGTCGACTCGGATCGAATTTAATTCATGGCCATCTTTGTCGAAATTTCGATAGACATCTTTGACGTCAGGATAATTTCTGCTCAAATCATTCCGTAGAGAAGCTTCACTTTCTGTTACCGCGACTTGTGACACAATCAGTGATGTTGGTGGTCGTCGTGTCGGCGCTGATGAAGTTGACGAGCGGTCAGAACTTTGTTTGCCTGGCATTGTATGGAGTAAAGTGAAACATTGATGAAAAAATCTAGTTATTTATATATCAAAAATTACATTTCTTTCGTGCAATTAACTGAGTAACATATTGTTTTTTTCCTTATTTTCATTAATTACACCATCATATGTAATCGTGACGTGTACGTACGTGTATCGTCGTCAGAAAGGAAAAAAACTCGATTGCATCAGCCATAGATACTTCATAAAAAAGGAAAATGTGGATTATGATTTTATTTCTAAAATTATAAGCGAAACGTTTTTTTTTCTTCGAAGACAGAATAACATATCTGACACAATCAAATGTGAGGGGGTGAGGGAGCGAGAGAGAGAGAGAGTGGTTAAAGTTCTATAATATATAGAATATGAATTGGGCGTATCAATCCACACACACACACACACCGAGTAGAATATAATGAAAGACGATTATCTAAGCAAACAGTTTCACACACACTCTCTCTCGCTTGAAAAGAATCGATTGTTTATTTATTTGTACGTAATGGACTTTGATTAAAGGCCGAGTTTGTAAATGAAGAAGATTCCGATGGAATAATGTGATCGTAAAGATAATGTTCGATTGGATTCGGATTGGTTGTTCTTATCGAAGAACAAGACGAAGCGGTGGAAGAATATTCTTCAAAGGTTTTAGGATTAGTTTTTGCAGTCTGAAAAAAGAAATTTAATTGTCGAAGAAAGAATTCCCATTGCCATTTACGGTCTCATTGATCGATAGCGATTGGGTCGTCAGATCGTCGAGTACAGATGTTGAATTATTCAGATGGTTTAGATGCCATGAATTATTTAATTGTTGATCGTGAATGCTTGAGAGAAATGCATCGGAGATGCTTTCCGAGGAGATTTCTTTGCCTTTACCAGAGTCCGGAGAATTACTGACAAGATCTTGTTGGTTCGATGTGCCGGTAGTCGAATTCGATGCCGTCAACGTTGAAAACAATTTCGGAAGGAGAAATAGATTTGTCGGACGAGATTGAAGACCCTTCGAGGAAAAGAAAAGCAAATGTGAACTTTTTCAAGATTTGATCTGCATGTTCACATCATACTTTCAACACTTCCAATGGTTTGTAATTACTATTGTTCAATTTCAATTCTAATTCATTTGTATAAAGCAATAGTTGTTGAATATGTGTTAATAATTCTCGATTACGTTCGATTAATAACTTGTTTTTATTCTAGAACGAAAGAAATGAGTTCATCCCGTGAGATTCGAGCTGTACACAAACTTGGGAATCGACTCTAGCAGCAATTTCGATGTTTAATTGTTCTTTGATTAATCTCAATTGATTGAATGTCAATTCCGATTCATGTTGGATTTGTTGTAATTGCTCCTGCATGAATTGCATTTGATGTTTAAGTGTAAATTCACTTGTCGATGGTGAATGGAGTAAACCTGACGAAGTTCGTTTGTTCACTGATGGAGACTAAACGAGAAAAAAACAGTTTTTCTATCTTTCATCAAAGAGACACTTACAATCGGTTGTTGAACACTTGGTAAATAACAATCAGCTTTTTCGGATGCATCTGAAAACGAAGTTTATTCGATAGGTTACCAATTCGACTGAATCTACGAACTTGTTTCGGAAGGAACAACGGCTGTCGTTGTCGGTGGTGGCGGAAGTGGTGGCGATTGTGGTACAGAGAGTTTATGGCACACTTCAAACGCCTGACCAATAGTTCGAACAATATGGATCGCTTCGTTCTAGAATGCGAAAGAAACTAGGTGATCATTAATCTTGCAGTATCGAGCAATTATTCGTTTAGACATATTTATCATTCTATGTTAATGTTTTCGTCAGGTACAAAACGAACGATCAAGGATTATTTGTCGTCGTTCGTAGAAATTATCCTTGATGACGGAGACTGATATGAGCTTTCACTAGTTGAATTTACCTTTTTATAAGCTTTGAAAACATTGCAACGAAATGTGTTGGTAGTATTGTCGCGTGTGATGAAACTGAAAATCTTCAAGTCTTGACTGTCGTGTGACACATAGAACACTCTAGAAAGAAAAAGAAATTTTCGAAATCGAATTAGTTGTCTTCGTTTTCTTACCGGTAGATCGGATGCTGCATGATTATCGCTCGATCTTCCTCGAAATAGACGTTTTTCTAGTGAAGGACAGTAGAGAATAGTGCAAGATTATTGTACTATGGATGTTACCTGATCTTTTCTCCATAGATCAACTTTGATGCCATCAACAGATATCAGTAAATGAACGGGACGTTTTTTAGCTGCTCGTGATTTAAATTCGTACTAAATTTCAAGCGTCCATGGTGATTTTATTGTAGCGATAAGTAACTTACACGAATTCGACGCATAGCAGCGATGATTTCATTTCGATTTGTTGGTTTGGGCACTTCGAGCGAACCAATAAACTAAAAACTCCAGAGAATTCGATGTCGATATCGCTACACATTCATAAAACATTACTTTAACTTTAAACTCAATTCCGTGTTGAAATGCTTCATCATTATGTAATGGTATCTTACTATCAAATCCGTCTTCAAACATGGGATTGTATGCGCGAGCTTTTTTTGTCATAAGCAAAGATCTAAACAAAGGAAGACGAAATTCGATCGATTTCAAATATATCAAACGTTGATTTTCTCATGTGTATGTATACATATATATCATCGCGACTGATAGATGTCATAAATGTGCAGAAGAGATCGTTTCACTGTTCAAGTTCTTATCTGATGGCTGATATAACCTTTCATTCCTATTCCAGATACGTTGACCTTCTTCGAAAGGTTTTGAAGGCACAGAAGAAAAACTTACACGAACCATCCGACGAAGAAGAAGAAGATAAATGTACGAACTCGTCTGATTTGCTAAACTCAATAACAACAGAAAAAAATAATAAACAATCGTTTTGCCATTAACTCTTAATGAAATATCGCTTTTCCTTCGCAAAAGAACAATTCATCATACCTTTTCAATCGCATTTTTTCGTCGTCCTACCACGTTCTCATTTAACCACTTACAATTATCGTACAAAAAAGTGATAAAGTAAAACTTCCGTTTCTCATTCTAACGCTCGTTTATATATACACACACATATGCATATACATTACACTTGTCATAAGCCATCTCTATATGATCCTATCATATAGATACAAGTATTGCATCGTGTATATCGAGTGCATATGTCATTTTCCTCATTATTTTAACATATGTATATTCATTTAGATGAGTGAATAGTTCTTACCAATAGAATGATGATATCATACGATCATATACATTTCAATCCTGTGCTTTACTTAATGACAAGACATTTAAATAATCATCGGCTATTTATCAGAGAACGTTTTCTCTTTCGACTCGCAATGAACGAACACCTTTGAAGATTATTCTTTATATTTTGATGGCCTTAGGTGAAAAAAAAACGAGAGAAGCTAAGCTGTTCTTAACACACAGAGACAAATGAATAACAACTGATTTTTATCATCGTTTGATTAAATGATCAAGAACAAGGTCGACGTCGTATGTGTAATATCAAAAAAAATCTATCTTTCATCAATCTGATAACGATTTCTATCAAGATAGAATGAAACTGGCAACGCAAATGCGCTTGTCCGTCACCTTGACTGACAGGAGAATCTTCGAATTGTCAGAACACAATCAAAGTGTATGACATGTTCTCATATCGATCAAGTCAATCTTCGTATATTCGATTTGACTTTCTCCTTAATCAAATACACCATCCGATCAAAACAAATCAATACATGTTGAAACTTACTTGAATAAAGACATCTGTTCAATTGAATGATCTTATCATGAAAGAGAAAAACAAGTCGTGGTCAACGACAAAAACATTCATCAACTTACTCGTCGATGATTTGATCTCAGCGAAGACTGTCTTACTGACAAGGATAATGTTACAGATGTATAATAGATTTTCTCTCGTTTTTTTTTTCTATCGCTGCTGGAAAACATAGGAACAATAAAAGCGAAAAAAAAACTCGTTTGCTTTTATCTGTTTATCTCATTTGGCTTCTATCGTGTAGGATGATGAATAATAGAGTTCGAGGGGAAAAGAATAATAACTAGTGAACATAATGATTGCATAAACAGATAAGAAACATTGTTGATCGTTTCGATGCTGGAAGCAAAAGTTCACTTCCTACCCAGAGTATCAGTTGACAATCGGATCTATTAATGAAGTCTATTGTATCAATTCAGCATGAACACAAGTTATTGTTGCAAAAGAGAGAGAGAGAGAAATCAGAGTTGTTACTCATAGATAATTTCCAATGAGATATATGGTGTCGGGCATACTCGCTTAAAATCCTATTACTAACTTGACATTTCGATGAATTTCTGATTAGATCGTGGTATTTTCTTTCTTGTCTATAGATTGTTCGATAGTACATTTCCGTACTTTATCAAAGGATACTTCGTTGAAATTCGTTTAACCATCGCTATGGAGATACATGAAAACAAGTGTTATTCGCTAAGTATGAGAAAATTTATTCAGAGATGAAACATAATTCACGTCGATTTCTTCGCCGACGCAGTTATCGCCGACGGTGCTTTGTTCAGACGTATACGTTGAAGATCTGTTGCTAGTTTTAACTGTCGAATCAGATGGATTTGTTCTTCTTCCAATCGCTGTTTCGATTCATTTAATGCACGGATTCGTTTGAGAAAGTCTTGTAATGATTTACGTAATTGAAGATTTTCGTTCTGAATGGCAACACTTCGATCGTACAAAAATTGTTCGGCTTCCTATGAAAACCAAAACAAAATAGTATGATAAGATAACATTGCTTTTCTTCACTGACTTCATCGGCTTGTCGTCGGATCGCTTGTACTCGAGCTCCTTCGTCCATACGTTGATCATGAAGAGCTCGTTCGAATGTCGTTCTCATTTGGGCAATTTCTCGGACATGTTTACCGCGAATTTGATTGATTTCTTCTTGTAAACGTTTGATTTCATTGTTCTGTTGTTCTTGGATGTTCTAAAAACAAGATTTTCATTTCCGAAAGAAACCTTCGAACAACGAACTCGATATTCTCCAATAGCTTCCAATTCACGGTTAGTTTGAGCTAATATCTGTTCTTTTTTCATTAACTGAGCACGTAATTCTAGAAGAAAACCATTCATATGATGTAAATATCAACTTTAGTTTGTAAAAAACCTTCTTTCTTCTTTTCATAGTCCTTTAACATATTCTCTTTGTCTCGATTGATGTTTCGAATTTGTTCGTGATGATAATCTGTCAAGGTAATCACTTGCGTTTGCCGTGTGTTCGTCTTCTTTGCCATGTATTGCACGTATTCAGCCTAATATGTAAATAAAAATAATCCATTTTGAACTACGATGTCAATACGCACTGTTTCCGCGCGAACTTTACTTGCTTCTTCATTGAGCCAATGATTTTCTTCTTGCCTAATAAGAGGATTTGAAAATATAATCGGATAAGTATGTCGTATTACAGAACTTACGCTGTACGAACACGCAACTTGATTTCTGCTAGTTTCTGAACTTTCTTGTCGAGTCTAAGATCGAAATTATGCATATGCAGTTAATTGAAAGAGACTTACTCCTCTTGCAGAACGAGTTCTTTGTCCGACGGACGGAGTTTCTCTTCTTTTTCGGGTGCATCTTTCTTCTTCTTGTCTGATTTGCCCTTTTTCCCTTTTTTCCCTTTTGGTGGCATTTTTAAAATCGAGATTATTTTAAGTAAAACGAGTGAAATGTTTTAAAGTAGCCATTTTTGATCTGGTTGCTATAGTAACATTGACATGAGAAACAGAGGGCGTCAGTATAAGTGACCTAATTATCGTATCGATTAAATTGAATTGGAATCGAAGTGAAAAAAATTTAACGAGCTAAAGATTTTTTCAGAAAAAATTTATTCTTTCGAAATCTGTGTTTTGACGAAGTCTGAATGCAAAAACAAGGTATTTTCAGTGGTTATTTTTCTCATTCAAAGATAGGAATGTTTTCGCATGTGTAACCCACGTCAGTATATGATTCATGGGAGGCCTTACATCGGCATTATTGCACAAGCCGAGCACACGTTGGCAGAAAACGAATCATTTCATGAAATGAGGTCACAATTACTGTTCGTTCAACCCCGATATAAAACTGATCGTTCGAATAAGAGAAATACATGATCTGTGCAACGAAGCGAAACAATTGTGCTAAGCATTATTGTATTTACGATTATTTTGTAGACTTGACGCATCGACGAATTTGTTTGATCGTATCCTTTTTTTTTTCTTTCAGAACTTTCTATCGCGTTTTCGATATACAATGTCGACCGAACCAAAAAAACCAGATGCAAACACCGGTACTCAAGGTATCCCTCTAACAAGTATTGCACCACAAGCAGGCGACAATGCAAACCGTCGTTATGAAATCGTTGAACGTGGTCAATTACACACTCTCAACTATCGTTGTTATTTTCGCGATGTGCAAACAAAGGCAATCGTTTCACCTTTTCATGACATTCCACTCGTTAACGAACAATACACGTCAACAGCAAATGGAACTACCGTCTATAATATGATCGTTGAGGTACCGCGATGGACAAATGCTAAAATGGAAATAAACAAACAATTGAAATTAAATCCAATCGTTCAAGATGTCAAGAGTGGTTTGTTGAGAGTTTAATGGAGAATAATCTCGATGTTGAACTGTTTCCTTTTTCAGGCAAACCTCGTTTTGTGCACAATGTGTTCCCATATCATGGTTATTTATGGAATTATGGTGCATTACCCCAAACATGGGAAGATCCGAATCATATCGATGAAGATACAAAAACTACTGGTGATAACGATCCATTAGATGTCTGTGAAATTGGTACTAGCCTACATGCAACTGGTTCGATTGTACCAGTTAAAATCGTCGGTGTTCTCGGCTTAATTGATGAAGGCGAAACTGATTGGAAATTAATCGGTATTGATGTCCGCGACAAACTCGCTTCACAAGTAAAGTGGTATTTATTCAGTTTTCGAAAAAAAAACTTTCTTCTTTTTTCGATAGATCAACGATATAAACGATGTTGAGAAATATCTTCCAGGTTTACTCGAAGCAACACGACGTTGGTTCAAATACTACAAAGTTCCAACAGGTAAACCTCCAAACAAATTCGCTCTTAACGAACAATATGCTGATCGCGATTACGCTCAACGTGTCATCGATGAAACACGCAAATACTGGGTAAAATTAGCAAGTGGAGAAACGAAAGTTGAAGAGAAGGTTTGCTCGATCGCAAATACAACATTGAACAACAATGGTACAATCAATAAAGAAGATGCCGACAAAATCGTCGAAGATAATGAAAAATACAATGAACAACCAGCGAAAATCGATATTACCGTTCACAATTTATCATACGTGCAAGATATTTAAGATCGTTTAACGAAAGAAAAGAAATTTTAAACAAATTCCGTCGACTTGCCTGTTTTCGTTTTAAGGACAAGTCTTTCATTACTAATGTATTACTAACTAGTTAGAACACAGAACATCTCATCTATTTGTTGTAATGCAAGACATTTCTTTTGAATTTTATGATAAATGCTCATAAAACAGTATTGATACTTTCTGTCGTTGCCAAACATGTCAGTCAATATAAAACAACGATCAATATGTGAAAATCAGGCTTGACAAAGAAGATCTTGTCATGTTTCTGCATGAATTCAAATGTTATATGATAGACTATCCGCTCGAATATTTATCGAGTATCATGTCGTTAGTTTGGAAGAGGACAGACAGAGATAATACATAGTCTTAAGACAAAACATAAGTTTTAACTCATTGTTAGTCTTGGTAATATGGCAGCACTGTCTGTAGGTGATAAACATTGCCCACCGGTTGATGCCAACTGCAATACAAATGGAACACAAAAGATGAGTCTATATGCTATGAAGTCTTCAATCTTCCTTCAGAATCAACGAGCACGTCGGATAACATTTTGTTCGTCAACATACGATCAGTACTTTTCAACGAAGAAAGGCGGCGCTTTCTGCGTTGAATCATATATACAGGTTATTGGGTAATATACTTCTTAGTGGGTTTGTCGTGACCGCTTTCGCGTTTTGTCTATCTTGTATTGCCAATGATAGGGAATTGTTTGGAGATTACCCAGGTGCAAAACGGGCAGGCCACGATGGTCTACTTGTGATCATTTCTTGTGTTGTTGATGTGACCATGGCTTTTCTTTTTATTTTGAAGAAAGTTTAAGCAACACTAGTTTACTCATCTATAAAACTCTACTCGTGAGGCAGTTTCATCACCACATTATCTAAACTGCGGAGCTTCTCATTGAAAATACATTCAGAAAACGGATAATTCCTTTTCTTTCGAATAAAAGTTCAAACTACTCTGGAAAATGTGCATGTAACATCTTCGAGTATGCATAAGATCTTCCTGACTTTCGGTGATCCGTACGTATATTTCTTTCCTCACATCGTATATCATAATATAAAAAAACACTCGAGAAGTACACTCAATGATAATGAAAATATATTTCATGCAGATAATATTTTTGACTCCTCATTGATATATACAAATGGTAATGTGTTTTGATAGGTGGTCTCTTCATCACAGGTAAGCAGATGACATTAGTTCGAATCGTCTAAAGATATTTAATTATCGCTTAATCAACTTATAAACATACAGAAAGGAAAAAAGAAACTACCTGAAATCTATTGACAAGTTACTTGTTTCGTGTTGTCTTCATTACCTGCATGAGATTGTTTGGCTAACATACATACTTTATTTATCATTTGATTACGAAAACAAAATTTACAAAATGAATAGAAACCTAACGTAGATAAACAATATGAGGAGAAAAGATGATGCCTCAATCAAAGTTCAACATATTTTCTATGGCTTCATCGAATAGGTCGGGATCGTCGAGATACTGCTCGAAAAATGAGAGCATGTCTTGGTTATGATTGGATAAAAGCTCTTTGATTGGATCATTGAGACAATTCTCGACTTCACTTTGCAAATTTGTCTTTCTTTCTTGAAGTTGCTTAAGGTAACTTTGTAGAGTCAAATGCTCACCTTCGAGTTCTTTCAATTTTTGGCCTAACTCTTCCTCGATCAGTTGTCGACGTTCTTTTAGCTTCTTGGCCGCTTCCCGATTTTTCTCTCGTCTTTGCTGCCGTTTGAGAGCCTCTTCGCCAACAAGAACTAGATGCTTCGGCCGACGGCCAGTGGCAATTGTCGGCGCGGGTTTTCGTATTTGACGAATCTTGATTGGACCATACTCTACGACATTCGAATCTGCCGCATACGCTTCACTATCGTTCGAATCCACAGATGAAGCTGAATATTGACTTGAATATGAAGGTACTGACTTGTCTGAGAACATGTTTGGTAACTTGTCGAAGTGATATGAAAATCGAAGAGACACGTCGGTATATATTCATCTCCTGACGTCAATATGTATTTATGATGCGTGAAGGAACAAAAAAATATCAGACATTAACAAGCCGAGTGTAGGTTTTTCGATCATCGTGACAACTGATCATACGATTAGATACATACTAACGTTGAAAGGCATCGTTTTAATGAAGGTAGTATGAAAGTATGATATGTGTATTTTTCATTCGCATATCCAAAAATACACTTGCCGGTCAATATCAACTTGCGATGATATTAATCATATGAATTTTCTTACCACCGCTTATCATAATAATTAAGTCGATTTTCTTTGAATGCTGGTCACGACGATCGTATTTGTACATTGGAGACAGATGAATAACCTATATGTGAGGAAGAATGAATCTGTTCGAACGTTAGCTCAGAATTGTTTTGACTAATCGATACGTGAGGGTCATTGCAATGAACAATAACGAAGTTGTTGGACGGCTAAATACGGATTATCCTATAGGATTTATTCGAAATGCTGGGCGAAAACGCCTTTAGTGAGCAAGTGACTATACCATGAATAAGAAACTTCATGTGTTTTTTGACATTTGGTTTAATTAACCATTAACTTTCTCGTTTATTCACTATTTTATATCTGTCCCGAATGATTTGATCGTTCGCATATTCGTAAAAGATTAGGAAAAGGTATTTTATCTCTTAATTAATAAACAATACACAGGTCGCCGTGCCCCGAAGATTCATCGGTCTTGCATAGTGCTAAAAGAACACATTGAGAAACTGACTGGGCGCACAAATGTGACGAATGGTTACAATTCGATTGCAGAGTTGACATTTGTTCGAAAACTTTTTCCGAATTGACGCAAACGAAGAACTATCTCACGAAGGGATTTCCGAAGTGCATCGCCTTGACAATCTATGCAATACCTTTTCACGTTAGAAATATTCACTGATCAATTGACGACTATTGCAGAGTACTGAATTCATTCATATCGATACAGATGTCATGCAAGCTTCTGATTGACTTGAATCCTTGCCGGGTTCGTATATATGTATATAAACGAAATAGAGTGACCTTGATACGTATGATTCCTATACATGACAACTGAGTTTATTCTCAAAAGAAGATGAAGAGAAGCAATAGCATGAATTAGATTAGATCGAATGCTGACACACATCCGTACTGGAAAATAGGATCTTGTCGATCGTGTCATCAAAAAAATCCGAATCATCGGACAATTGTTCAAAGAATAAGAGTGAATTTGCATCCGTATTTGTGTTGGATAATAAGCTATGTAGGGGATCGGCGGGAAAACTATTGATTTCTTCTTCCAATACTCGTTTTTTCTGTTGAAGTTGCTGAATACGAGTTTCAAGGTCGGAGTTTTCACCTTTGAGCTCTTTCAGCTTTTGGTCGAGTTTTTCTTCGATCAGTTGCCGTTTTTCTTTCAGCTTACGCGCTGTTTCACGATTCTTTTCACGTCGTTGCTCGCGTCTGATGGCTTCTTCACCTTCGAGAACAAAATGTTTGGGTCGTCGACCAGTGGCAATTGTCGGAGCAGGTTTGCGGTTTTGCCGGATTCGAATTGGGTCATAGTTAACTACGTTGTTAGCCAGAGACGTTCTCAGTTCATCTGATTCTATACGATTAGAATTCCGTTCAGACGTAGAACTCATCGGTAAGAAGCGAGTCAATATGTGCTAAAAGTACACTGATGCATTTATCTCAATTTTTTGCAGTATAAACATAGGATATCCTTGACGTATAAAATGATAAAAACAGCAACTATAATTAAACTGTGCTTTAATCATACTTACTAATACAGATAGTGTGATTGTATACTCTTACTGAAGGACAGATATCTAGTCAATTGGAGATGAAGGGTATTTTGCGAATGTTCGTTTGAGATATGTCTTGGTTAAAACAATGAATCTGTCATGTGAATATCGATATGAGACGAAAGTAAAACAAGATAATAGCGTTCCTTGTCGATCAACAATCATAATTTTCCTTTGTTTCTTATCAAGGTAGCTGTTTTTCCGCAGCATGAAAAGAATTTACTTTTTCAAACGCCTTCGTTGCTTTCGATCGGAGATGATACGAAAGAAAAGATCTTCATGGACAATCTCTTACGATTGTTATAGGAAATAGTCAATTAATTTGTTCACTAGTTGATTGGGTTCTTGTTTAATACAGTGCATGCATCAAACTATAAGATAAATTAATTCAGATCTTGCTCAACTCAGCTGCTAATGAACGATGTTAGTGGAAATAAAAGGTTTGATTACATACGGCATGCACTATTAAACAGAACAAAACGATTTCTAATTCATTCGCTGACTAATCGCGACAGTACATTGCTTTACAAAATGATTGTCATGATACGATATTCTTCATTCATGCGAAAAAAATCCTTCGCTGTCGGTATATGGAACACATTACGCAGAAAAAGTACTCACGACGGCCGATTATATCAAAATTTGATATCCTTGATTTACTTGATAACAGTACACGTTCGACTTTGAGTATATCACGAGCGTCATCGAGCGACTTTTAATATCTGACATGAGCAAAACTTAGAAGGTTCAAAATATACTCTACTGATGTGAGCCAATAGTGCAGTCAGTGTTTTATTCGGTTCAGTAGTAAAATTTAAATTACTGTAAAAAAGCTAAGAGTTTATAAACTTACATCCGATCCTTCTTGAAGGATATATGATAACCGATCGAAAGAAAAATTAATCGAAATGAATCAGAGTTCATACATGTACACATTAATTGTCTGTCAAGTCTTGATTAACTTATCAGAATAATTGGAAACGTTTTACTGTGTGATTTTTCTTTAGGTACAACGAAGATTTTCGAATTGAATCAGTGCTCCGAAGCTTAGCTATTAGATAATCGGGTTTAATAAACATCTTGAGTGATCTTTGTCATATTTACTCAACCCATATTATTACTACAACAGAAAGAAATAAACCGTTGTCAATATACAAAAGATTCAACTACACTATTAATTCGACTAGAGTAAACAACTATAAAATAATTGTATCTCACATACGACCAATCTTTTCGTCAACCAATTGTCGCTTTCCCAGCAGAAAGATATTGACATCATGTATTACAAAGAAATGGCAATACTATGAGAATTCATTTTGTTCGATCTTAATCGAAATCAGGTGTTTTTGTTCATATGATTTGACCAGTAGTGTAAATGTTACTTCGAAATGCGTGGTATTCAAACGATAAAATCTCGTAGATTTGTGTGAATGGATATAAAAAGTTGACGTCTCCTAAGTTTTGTTCATCTTCTCTCGGAATATGAAAACATTTGTACTCTACAACTGTTCGTTTTTTGTTTGTATACAGAATTACATGAAACGTAACCAATTTACATCAGAGAAAGATTATGAACCAATTCTTTTCTTGTATTATATTTCGATCATCGCACACACTAATTTCTTAATTTAAGTCAATGAGGTATCTGAGAATGAAAAATAGAAATAGTTGTTCTCATAGAACATCGGTTAATAGACAACACTATAATGAAAAGTGTTTGGACGAAATTCACAAGGCAGTAACCTGTCTATATACAATCAGGCACTTTGTGTGATGATCTGTAGCAATGGTGCTGCATTGTTTAATTGGGAATCAGTGATAGGATCGATTCGATTCGGTTCGGTTTGAATTTAAATTATTCCTAGTGAACCGAACACAATTTTTCTTAGCGTTAATCAATAAGAGCTGCACAGAAATATATAGTCAGAATAAAAATATGTCGTTCGATGTAGAAACAGTGAGATTCATTTAATTGGAATGTCTCATAATTAAATTACACACAATATAAAAGTGGAAAATAAACAATACTATTTAGTGTTTTGTTTACACATATTTAACAGTTGAGATACGTAATTGTTGTTATTTTCTATCTACTCCTTTGTAAATATTTTCCTTAATGTAAAATTCTGAAAAATTCAAATCAGCTAGATGTCGAATTAGTTACTTAGATCAAGTAAATTATATTTATCACAATCGGTAGAGAAAAAAAAAAGAATTATTTTTCAATGGATTAGTTCGAATTCCTTATTGCATAGAATTTTATAATCTCATTCCATATAAGAAGTTCGCGAAGACTTCTAACGTTATCGATGTTGCAAAATTTTATAAGGAACTGCTAGTGTGTCTGATGAGTTTATATAATTTCAATGTCTAAATTTTGTGTTCCGTTCAAACTTTTTCCAGGTGATTATAAATCTAGTTTGGAACTAGGGGTTTACAAAGTTCAAAACCGCTCATTTTCCAACAGTTCGTTTGAGCTGAATTGATCGTTTTGTTTTATAATTTACTTGTCGTTAATGCGATATAAATGAATGATTCCAAAGGTTCGATCAGTTCATTCAAAAGAACTGTTTCAACAGTTCAATCCGTCCATAATCAACGATTTTACAGTTCTAAAGTTCATTTGAGTCGGTTCTCGAACTTGTGCACCCCTATTTGGAGCTCTTAACAACTTTTAACCCCTCAGCTTAATTATTTTTAAACGTGGCTATGAAAAAGATGCAACTATTTCGTAAAGAAACGTTTAAATAGCTTTTACAGTATGACTAATTTTGACAAGGCTCTTCTAATCGAAGGTTTTGAAGAAAATTTCTAGTATTTGGGGTGAGAATAATATATTTCGGTTCGATTTTGCAAAAACACGAACCGATCCCAATACTGTTGGGAATAGCAATAGATGTTGAGATTAGTTTCGACAGGTTACTATCATTCAGTACTGAATTCATTATTCGTTCTTTATTTGCAATGATGTTTAATGAAAAAAATCCATCAGGTAAATCGTCGCTTTCATCTATTGCATTTACGAATGATGACGATGTTGGAAATATTGAAAACTCTATTCAATCCGAATTGGCTAGTATAAGCAAAAACTATGTGATACGAACCAATGTATCAAATATTTCAAAGCACAAAAGTTGGAGTACACTAATTGAATTTGGTCACTATGATTCGCGATAAGTTTCCTGTGACATCGGAAATAAAGTTACGCTAACCATGTTGTTATTTGGTAAGTTCTAATCTTTTACCAAGCTTTTTATTTGACCTTATAACGTTGATGTGTCGAATCTATCATCTAAAAGATTTGTCAATTAATTTATCGATAGATACACACGGGTGAAGAGGTTATGACTGGCAGGTCATCGTAGATTTTTGATTATTTAAATACAGTAACTCTACAGTTATAAAATTTTGAAGCGTGTTATTGATATACAAAGAAAAAGATAAGAAATCTCTTCTTCATGTATCGATACTCATATACTCTTTGGCAAAAGAATGACTCAGAAGAGAGGAAAGTATCGATTTTTTACTACGATTCTTTGAATACCAATGTAAAGACTCATTTTTTTCCTCTAGAAATTCAAAACCGTGAGTCAATCATTTTTCTTCAACTCATCCTAGACATAATGTGCTTTGACAAGTGTTACAGTTATTTAATAGGATATCACGTTTTAAATCACACAGGTAAATGTTGAATGCTATACATAGACTAATTGAATGAGAATGTTATCTGATTAACTTATCAAACGAATGAAATAGGATAGACAGATTTTGATTAAGCAAAATATCTGTACGGAAAAGCGATGACTCGCAGAAACTTTTCATTTGTTTCAAAGTAAGAACATGTTTTAATACAAGAATGTTACCGAATTTTACATCAGAAAAATCGACAGAGATCTCAGACTAAGCACGCCAATGATTAAACTGTAGACTTGTCTCAAATGGTTAGTCAATAGTAATGAGACAATGTGAATGTTTTGCGAACAGTCAGGTCATATCTTGTTGGTTAGTTGAGGATTTCGTAGTTTCTTCTTCCGATAGTTGTTGAAGATAAGTTTGCAAGTTAGAAGTTTCTTCGAGTTTTTGATTGAGTTCAGCATCAAAAGTGTATCGTGTTTTCACTTGCATCGATTAGTACTGATTTGTGATGTATGAACATCCTTCATCGTGTCGCGGTGTTCGAACGACTTGAAGGGCAAAGCCTCCGCATATAATAGAAATAGATTCTCTGCTTGGGAACAAAAATATCGTACTGCATTATGAGGCGCATGATAAACTACATGTTCTTTTCGTTTGAGAGAGGAGTGCGCATATCGTGGTGTTATTTAATTAGATGCTGGATGATCATCAAAAACAATCTTAGCGGTCATGATAAACTTGTTGATTAAAAACTAGACAAGGTTGTTCTGTTTAACATATTAGCTCGCTGGTACTCTTTCCTGATCGTTTTTATGCTCAGTACTGATGAATTCAATGACTGGCCAATACTATAGAAGATGTCTCAGGTGTTTTTTTTTTATTAAAAGGCGATGATCATTTGATGTATATATGAGCAACTGTGCGATCTTGTAGAATAAAACGGAGTTTACATGTAGTCGATCATATTTATTATAAAGGAGAAAGAAAATTTAGAACTATACATAAACAACAAACAAATTGTGTTAACAAAAACCTCAGTTGGTGCTATTCGAATCGGAGTTTAGAATCCTTTGAATAGTTTCGTCAAACAATTCCATATCATCACTGAGATTTAATGCTTCGTAAAGATCTTCGAAATCACCTTCTAATAGATCCTCCAATGAAATAATGCCGAGATTATTCACTTCTTGTTGTAGGTTTTGTTTTGTTTGTTGAAGTTGCCGGAGGTGATTTTGTAGATTTGAATGTTCAGATTCTAGCTGTCTTAATTGCTGGTCGAGTTCGACTTCGATTGATTGACGTTTTTCTTTGATTTTTCGCGCTGCATCACGGTTACGTTGTCGTTTCTTTTCGCGTTTAAGAGCTTCATCACCGTTGAGAACGAGATCTTTTGATCGACGACCGGTAGCAATAATCGGCACTTGTTTTTGATAAGAGCGAACTTGAATCGGACCGTATTGGACAACATTCGCAGTCGAAGGTTTTTCCATATTGTTAGATTGCATTGAAACAGTTTATAATGTTTTAATGGAAAGAGTTGAAGTGATGTGAAAACCGAAAGTTTCACTCATCCTTATATACGATGCGAATACGGTATCACTATGACCGTAACCTTGATGGATAGATAGATAGAAAGGAACGAAATCGAGAGAGAAGCCAACCGTGAGAAAGAAAAACTATTAGACATAGCCACGAAAAATCGTTTGTATAGTGGAAAAAGTACGATAAGTAGAAGCTTATGGTAAGTCTTGAGACGACGGTCACGATGAACTACTGATAAAGATGTACCAATCATAAGAATAGCCCACGTCAGTTCACGACTTAAGTCAATGTGTTTTGTTTCGAATTAGAAGTGGCGTGTCACGTATTACTAGTCTTGGATATGGATGTCATTACATCAGCAGATATTTCATTTACATTCGGCAATGATTAGAACATATTAGAGATGATATTTATGTATTGAAGTGCAATCTCTTTCGATGTGTTTATTAGGACAACAAAGACAATGGTTTGATGAACATGCAAAAAGAAACTAATCACAAAAAAATGAAAACTAGTTATACAAAAAAAACAGAACGAGAGAACATAAAGCAAAAATCGTGATGGATAATTGAACTACAAATATATATGTATGTTTTTCGATCATATACAAACGAAAAGAAAACGAAGGAAATCTCTTATCACAATAAATTGGTCTTCGAAGTTTTTTCTTCTTCTTTTTTTTCTTTGTTTGCTTTTAAAGTGGCATTTGAGTAAACAGATAGGAGACGGATTCACCATTATGCGTACGACGAATGGCTTCGGAGAACATCATGGAAACATCGATCACCTAAAAAACACGTCAACAAACATCTTAGCTCGGAATTATTACTGTTACACTTATGGAAACTACGCCTGAGGAAACGTTTTTATAGCTTCTGCTAGATTCGAGTTTGTTCAACGATCATACCTGAATTTTATTGGAATTTTTCATATTTTCTTCTTGAGGAATTGTATTAGTAACAACAACGGCTTCGAATGGTGAATTATTGATTCGTGACACTGCCGGTCCACTGAATATGCCATGAGTACAAATAGCATATACTTTACTCGCACCTGCACTCAGCAATCTATTCCAAAAGAAACGCATCTTCATGTAAATATTTTATCTTCAGAGAAAAAGAGCTTACTTTTGTGATGCACATTCAAATGTACCACATGTATCTATTACACATCGATATGTATATGCTGAGGTATGTCATCTCATATGAAATCTTACCAGCCATATCATCTACCAGAATAGCGATACGTTTAGACACGTCACCAACAAGTACCATGGAATCGATTTCGTTGGCACGTTTGCGTTCTTTGTGAATAAGAGCGAAATCAATATTCAATCGATCGGCAATAGATGTTACACTAGATTTTGACGAAAATCAACTTTTCAGCAAGAAATGCATGCTGATATGTCATACCGTTTAGCACCTCCAGCATCGGGACTAACGATAACAGCATTTTTAAAATCCGGAATGTGTAAAGATATCCACCGGATAACAGCCGGCTCAGCAAAAAGATTGTCCACAGGAATATCAAAAAATCCCTTGAGAAAAAGAAGTGAAAAATGCTGTTATAATAAGACACAATCGAACTCGTACTTGAATTTGTGAAGCATGTAAATCCATGGTTATAATATGATCAGCACCGGCTACACTCAGCATATTTGCAACGAGTTTCGCTGATATCGGTGCACGGCTCTAAAGATAACACGTGATCTCTGCTTTGAAAAGGAAATATGTTTTGTTTACTTTATCCTTGCGATCTTGTCGAGCATAAGGAAAACACGGAATGACAGCAGTGACTCTCGAGGCCGATGCAATTTTACATGCATTGATCATGATTAATAATTCCATAAGATTGTCATTGATTTCTCCGCAACCACTTTGAACAATGAAAACATCTTCCCCGCGCACTGATTCGTTGATTTCCACACTGAAAAACGCGAATGAATTCATTCTAAATGTTGGATGTTTAGCCGTTACCTTGTTTCTCGGTTACTGAATTTTTTTGTTACAACACGTCCTGGCTCTAGTCCCAGTCGAGCGCAGATTAATTTTGTTAATTCAGGATGAGATGAGCCTCCAAAAACTTTTATATTTGGCATTCTTGAATGTAACGGTGAGTGTTCTTGGCTAGAATCAGAAGTCGTCTGTGCTTTTAAAGAGACGTTCTCATTATGATCAATTTGATTGTGATCTAAAAACATTTGAAAGGGCAATGAATTTGTTTTACCTATTCCGTCATATCAACAACAAATTTGTACAGTCACACTTTCGAATTCGGCCCATTTTTATGTACTTACTGGTGACGATATGATGATTCATGTACATCTAGACAAAGTACGTGATCGACAGTGAATGATTCGTGGAGAGAAATAGAAATACGCATTTTTGTGTTTCTAACGAAGGGAACTCCACTAATGTAAAAGAATGACGTCTTCGCATACGACTCTTGTTTTCCTTCAGAGAAATAAAATTTATTATTCATTTTGTTTTCTTAAGATTAGGCGTCATAAGAAAAGGTTATCGTCGAGCATCGTAGAAACCCTCGAGCATCTATATCTTGAGGTTGGTCATAACGTTGAAGAAAACGGAATAACCATGTATGTAAGAAAAAAACAAAAAAAAAGAATAACGATAATTCGCCGAATACTATTCTCTTTTTATAATACAAGAAAGAGAACACGCCTTTCTATTTCTTCGACTGGCATCCCGAAAAACACAATCGGAAAGGTCTGTTAAATCAAACTCTGTTTGATTGGCCTTTTCCCAACTAGTTGGGGAAGTAGATTAAACTAAGTACAAATCATTCATGAACTAAACATGAAAGATAAATGATAATTCTTTTTACAATATTCTCCGAGGATCTTTGTCAATAATTTTTATATTTGATCGTCCTTGACTCCGTAATCATGATAGAGGGCGATATTTATCGCTGTAAGAATGGCATTCAATGATCGAATCGCGATGGTCTTTTTCGCACATGTGGTATGTAACGTTTCTCATCAGAACGAGTGATATGGAATAAATGCTGCCGTTTTCGTTGCTCTTCTCGCCGTTTTCTGTATTCTTCGAGTTTTTTCTCTTCGTCCGCTTGTGCTGCTTGTGCTTGTTGAAACAGTTTACGCTCAAAGAAATGATTCTGTTTACTAACGTATTCTCTGCAAGATAACATGGAATCTAACTCCGAATGAAGTTCATCATCCTGATTCCTTCGAATGGAGAACGAAGGAAATAGTTTCTTGTCATTAAAATCAACTTTTGGTACGTAACGACGACGAATCCCATGCATCGATTGCAGCTGATCGTCGTTCATAAACGGGTTATTCATGAGTATTTCCCGTTCGCAAACAAGAATTAAATCATCATTACAAAACCAGCCAATCTGATCATCGTGTTCGACTTCAATGAATGACATTTGAAATACAACTAAGAAATCGCCCTAGGCAACGAAAAGTCTACTTTCTGTAAGTTGTAGTTGTATTTAATAAATAAACGAAGTTAGGAATATACAAACAAAAAATACGCCAGTCTAACGAACATCATTCGAAATGCACAATACTTTAAACATCAAGAAGAAAAAGTAGATGAAATGGTATCTCCTATGAACTAGTTTCATAAGAGCTGAGATGTATTTCATACAAAACGACAACAACGAGAACTGTCATTCGAGATATGTCAAAAAGAATTTGAGAGTACATTTGTAGTGATTTAAGTGACTGATAAGGTTAATGATTTGTACGGATTTGTCGATGAACCATGAAGACCACCGGCAATACCACCATCGGCATATGGATCATCGAATAATAATGCTTCGTCTTGATTTTCGTTGAGATGAGCACGGGATGTTTCACCTTGTCGATGCGTACCAGAAGAATGAGTATTTGGATTGTTCGATGAGGTTGAAAAGAATGGAAATCGGCCGCGTTTGGTCACATTGTTCCATCCGATTGATTGCAGAACCTGACGAAATCGATGACGAAGATTCAACGGTTGATGCCGTTGTTGATTTGTGATACGATTGTATGTTACAATCATTGCAATGATCAAACATGTTGTTAGTAGACAGCCAAGAAAGAGAAAAAACAAACGACGAACACCACCACCAACAGCCACTGGTTTAACTTCATCTAAATTGGAGTTTTAATTTCGAATAAAAAGCGCACCGATATTTCATATTCGTACTTTTTATTACCGAGCAGTTGGGATCGTTTGTTGGACAAGAGACTGTCGATGTAGCTGTTGATGTTTCATTAACATGAGTGAGATTTTGTCCTAAACAAAAAAATAGACGTTTACATTGGTAAACATACAAATCAATTGTTGCCTTGCGTCAAATGATCATTGAATAAAAATGTAATGAATAGAATCAAAATGAAATCTTTCAAATGCATCTTGTCGTAAATGATTAGATTAGATGTTAATCTTAACTGAATCACATGAAATGAAATGAACAATGATGATTCATCATTCGCTCAATGAATGTTTTTATTACATGCATACGTCATATCCAATGATAACGATTGTAGCGACAAGAACAGAGGCCAGGGCGCGTTCCCTCATTGGTTGGACTTATTCATAAGCGCAACTAAACTACTGCGCAAAATGTATATACATATATCAAGTACGAAATTTTAAAATTATTTCCTTTTTTTCATTAGCCCTTCATCTTTATTGTGTGAATCTTTTTCGCGTTATAGGAAGAGAATAACTGGCAATAAATTATGGCAAAGCTGCCAGTATATTTTGGTATTTATATGCATGATTGAGTCGAAAGGTAGTTAGACGTAGAGTGTGCATAGGTGTTTTTTTTCAAATAATAGATGAATAACAAATGGACGTCATTGAAAATAACTGTTTTTACCTCTCTAGTCATTGAGTGTAAATAACAGCAATAATTTCATGTAGTTTAGCGAGAAAAAAATATTTATTCAGATTATGATAAGAAATTGATAGTTATGAGCAAAATACATAGAGTTTTTCTGTTTGGTTAGTATGAAAATGCTAGAAGAAAAACTAAATCGAAAGCTATGTGAATAGAGTCATAATAAACCGCTTGTTGTAAAATTTAGCCTGACATGGCAGCAGTCGCCACTGGCGTAGTAGCTGTGGTAGTTGTAGTAGCATTGATTTGGGAAACTAAAATATACAAATGAAACGCGTGATATATGCAGAGATGGGCATCAGTTTTTACGTACGATCAGTGCCGCTCGAAATTGTACCAGTGACGGAAATAACTACAAAGAACGGACCTGATGAGGCCAGAGTTTGTATACTACCAAGGATGCCAGTAAGTAAACTATATGTTTGAAGGGATGGGAGTGTTCCAATTAAGCTCTGGAGTGAACCACCAGCCTGAAGAACAAATTGACTGCCATATGGAACAAGGATGTTTCCCCCACTAGCAACAAATGACAGTGCACCAAGAACACTAAGAGCAACAGGAAATTTGAATTTAAATCCACTTGCCGAGCCAGGTGTGCCTAATCCCATTGTAGCACCAGAATTAATTGTTATAGTATCAAAATTGATATCCAAGACACCATTGAGATCAGCAGTAGATAATGTAACACCTGATAAGACTTCAAGAGAACAAGCTGAATCCGAACAATCATCGCTTGTTGGTGCAACACCACCACAGAAGCTCGATCCAGTTTTGAAGGATCCTGATTTGACAGCAAAGAATGCAATCTTAGCAGCTGTACGAACAGTGCCATCAGGTAAGAATGCACAAGTCAATGGGCCACTGGTAGTAGTTATAGAAGTACTAGCTCCGACGCCTGATGATGTATAAGTCTGAATTGTAGTACCTGAAGCACCAAAGCTTCCACCAGAAAATGCATAAATAAGTGAATTTACGGGAACAAGGATGCGTTTAGTTGTTGTTGCATCTTGAAGTATGCCTCCTTTGCGAATTTTGACGTTGATGGCATTTCGGAATGTAAATGCTGAGTTGCCTCCACCAATGATTAGTATTCCGTAGATGGTGATCATCTTGGCTTTAATACCTAATCCAGGAGTTGCCAGGGTAACTGTAGTACCGGCAGCGATAACGACTTCACAAGGGCCACCTGGAAGCACTTGCTGATCCCAGATTGTTGCATCAGTAAAGTCGCCACTTGTAGTAGTAGTGAATACGATTGATTTGGGTGGGCCCGGAAAGCCAGATGGTTCTAAATACCGGTTTTCATTCATAGAACACGCAACTAATAAGTCCTTGTTCACTTACTTGTAGTAAAGATACCGTTGGATTTGCACGTAAGACCAGAGATTGTCACGTTCCCTAATGGACCGCCGAGGATTAAAAGGTTAATATTCGTTGAGGAAACTTTTTGAATGTCGGTTTTGAATTTCTTTCTCACCAGGAGACATTGTGTATTACAAGTTTGTGCTATAAAGTTGAATACGAGGAGAATTTTAATTGTGACACTCCGTTTGGTTCGTGCACCAAAACTACAATAAAAAGAGAGAAGAAGAAATATACGAAAAGACTCCAAATATGAACGTACAAGCTACGTCTTCGTCGAGAAACGCTGTTACTTGTTGAACCCGCTGAGAGGTTAACGTCACTGGGAAGATTCAAACTTTTTCCGATCTATAAGAGAAGTATACGCTACGAAACATAATCCTCAATGGTCTCTATATACTTCATCAAGATTTCCCACTTCACCTGGCATACCACTGCCTGTTTCATCGTCGCCTGATAACTGCAAGTAGAATGGACTAGTTGCTAAAAAGGAAATCGAAATTGGTTTAGACTCTCGTTTCAAAATACAATCTTTCATACATTTGTTATCATCGACCGAAGGTGTGAGATTTTTAGTTGGCAAATAAAGAGGAATTAAAGCCAAAACAATTGCTGCACAGATCAAGAATAGAATTAAACCCAAACAACACACCGCTGCCAATGGCCAAGCAGCTCTACAACGAAGAAAATATGTTTTCAAAAACAGCACTATCTCGATAGCAAAAACAATCGCTTACCTTGACGTAGTCGCTGACGTAGTTCGCATCACTTGTACTGCAATATCCTCTCGTTGATTACCACTGATTATTTATGAAATATCAATCCCTTTTATATCGTTTTAACAGAAAGGAAAAGCATGACTATTATTCCTTCTGTTACTGAACTATTCATCTAGAACGAGCACTCGAAAATAAGGATATATTTTCATTTATTTTGTTTTGCGCTGATTTCAACAATAATTTTTGCTAATTTGATCCTTGACGCAGGATGCTTCGAATTGGTTTGTGACAGCTTATCGAAGCGAAACATGGATGATAGTACCTACATTCTCCTCCTACTTGATCATTAAATTATGAATTATCTATTGAAAAATATGCACAAATCAAGCAAATCGAGTCATTTATTATTCATAAATAAGCGCTCAGGCAAGACCATTGCTAACGTATTAAAAGTAATCAGTCAATTTGCTCACCTGGACAACAGATGATTCAAAGGAATATATAAGATTCAGGTACTCAAAAGGTATTCGTGAAAAATTGATTTTATTTATACTGAGTTGCTCGATGATGGTGGTAGAAAATGTTTAATTGCATTAAGTCGGGGGCAAAGGTGAATATATTGCTAGAAAAGCATATTTTCTATAACGTTGATCATTATTTGCCGCATGTAATTATCGATATTATCGCAAACGTTAACTGAGAATTGCGTTTCGTTAAATATGCCTACATTTTTATACAAATACGTTTTTCTTAAATACAAATAACTACAAACAAATACAGAAAAAAAGATCTGACACAACATTCAAGATTATCACCGGACATTTCCGAATACACGAAGGAAAACTATGTGCCGTCTACTTTTCAGCTGTTGAGCTTGTGGCTGTTGTTTTAAAGTCGTCAATAAATGTTTCACTAAATTCAAACGTGGCTAAACCGAATAAAATCTTGAAATGTCCCAGTTGAGGAAATTCTAAATGACACGAAGTATGTGGTGTGATTTCTTTATCGATGATATTGAAGATATGTGAAATGGCTGTCATTAGTTGGTCACGAGTCAGACCCAACTCGTTTTGTAACGAATGATAGTCTAAAGTTTGCATGTTGAATGATGATAAGGTCGTATTCGGTTCGATGTGAGTAGAATTTCCGTTTGCTTGCAGAGAAAGTGACAGTGCCGATGAGAGATTCGGCTTTTTGATACGTGAGAGACGATGTCGACGAGCAAATGTTGTATCGAGGACAAAGAACGGCTCTTTGATGTGATTAGTCGTGTTGTCCGTGGACGAATGATCGATAAGAACAAACGCACCAAGTTCAGGTAACAAACATGGTTCGAATTTGAGTAAACGTCTTCGTATCATTTGAGAAAGAAGTGACCAAAGATGACGAAGATCGTATTCAGATAAATGTCCGTTGGTGTACGATGATGATGTTGAATCATTATCATGTAAAAAAGAAGAACGAATATCGTCATAGGAGTTGGTTTGAGAAATCAAACGAAAGAGTGTATCAGTGGTAAAACGCCGCGAAGATTTCGTTAAAATTCGAGTCGATGCTGATGATGGCATGATCTAAAAAGCGAGACATCTCGGCGTGAGAAAAGAGTTCAGTTTGCTTTTCCATTCCATCGTTAGAAAAAAAAATGATAGAGAGAAAGAATGAATCGTTTGTTTCTATCGATGACGATAGAAATTGATCAATCGTCGCATTTGCAAGACAGATGACACCAGTTTCTGTTGATGGAAACGAGTCACTCAATGAACCTTGTTTTGATTCTATCCATAAACGCCGGTGGCTACTTATGACTTTTTCCATACGAATCTTTTGCATATAAAATGACACATTAGTCCACGAGGAAGAAATTTTTCCACAATTTCAACGTACGCATCCAGTTACAGAATCAATGTTCGAGGTAAACATTTCTCTTTGTTAGCCGCTCTCGGACAATGTGTACTGGCAAAATGTTCTATTCAATTTCCATGTTATTGCATGAGGTAAACACAAAATCAATCAATAGTTTTCTCACATTGATCAAAAACAACGACAATTTTCACCGATTGACTCGAAGAGAAAACATCATCTGACTACAATGAATCTTGATGAGAATTATTGGCATTCGCGAGCGATAGTTTATCAGTTAGATGAATTTGTTCATCTGTTTTATGATTTGATCGTTGTTGAGAATGTAGTTTTGTTAGGATGGATGTTTGATTTATTGTTGAATAATACGACTTCGATGGCAAAGGTTTCGATCGACATAATAACATATTGAATAATTCATGTCGTCCGTGTTTACCACTAACAATTGAAATAAAAACATTGAAAGCGTAATTACATAATTCCAGCGTTTTCAATAAATGTGGAGCAAAATGCGTCAATGAACAATGAGCAGATCGATAAAAGAGATTCATATAAAACATGTGCAAATATCTACGAAAGATCAATCGGTTGATTTTGCTTTCGAAAAGCTTCTCGTCACTTACCGAGGTGAAACAGTTAACAAGAGGATACACGAAGAGAAAAATATCATTGGCGTTATTTGACGATGTTGCCCATGTCGAACGAGGAGTATCTTGTTGGACTTTATCGATTGTTGTTCACTCTGACGAACGCGTAGAAACAAGAGAACATTTGTTGTCAACAGTAACATGAATGGAATAGCAATACGGAAGATAATGATGGACATCGTATACATCCGTTTGATTTCTGGTGTTAGAAAGAATCGTGCTGGCGACTCGGCAGTAGCATTCGCCGACGAGTTTTCGTAGAAGCAGATTACTGTTCGCATTTGTTCGCGGTATTCTCTAAACAGAAGAACATTGTTTTTAATAAATGCCGACCTCTCGTTCACTCTAATTATGTTTATATATAGGATCCATCAACTTTTCAGTGAATGTTAATCAAATGAACTATTTCTGTACTGAAATCTGTCGAGTGAAAAGTTGTTTGCTTAGACATCTGTAAGTAATGATGTGCTAGAATTGGATAAATATTTTTCTTTCGAATTTGTACAAGCACTGCATTAGAATGAAAAGATCAAGAAATCCTGTTGGTTCTAACCTTCTACGATAGAAGCCGGGTTGAAGAAAGAGTGAATTAATTGCACATGATGTCAGAATAACAGATAAGATGATGATTAATGCACGTCGTCCTTTTGTATCTGTTATTGTTTGTAATGGTTTGAATGTGACTAAGCATCGTTCGACAGTCAATGATACAGTTAACCATGCACTTATTGAACTCGCCAAGGATTCAGAGAAGATCTGTGTTGAACATTCGAATGAATGAAAATGAAATTTGAATACTTTGTAATCGAGAACTAAGAATAGAAACCAAATATTCAGTCGTAGAACATCGAATATCGCAATTGCGGAAAAGTAGTACGAATAGACTGAACGACGAAAGTTACGAGACGTAGCGAAGTAATACAGTGCAATAGGATTGAAGGTTATTCCGAATATATATAAAATAATTCCGGGTATTAGATGTCCGTAGAGATGAACGGTCGGCGTCCATGGAGTGCATTCGTCAGTTGCGAAAGTATAATTGAAAACGAAGGAATTGTTTTCCATAAAATTTGCTTACTCCCGCGAATTGCTGAATAAAACACAATTGATTTCGAAATATTATCTGAAAGAAAAAAGATTCGAAATGCAAATGTAAGCGATCGTAGGATGGACTGGGTGATAAACAACTGTCGTCATAGTTGATGATTGGCTGACGACACATTTATTTAGAGACTATAATTAAACTAATAATTGTGTTTATTCTTCTATATACAGTTAGATTAAAAAATAGCTGATAGTTGTTTGAGGCGATATTATTATTTGGTCTTCGTTTTCTTGTCAATAAGTTGGGTAGTCTAAAGAAAAAGAAAAAGATGAAGGAGAAAAACCGGTTTTTGTTATATCGAAATATGAGACGGAGAAATATAGTAAATTAAGTTAATAGAAAGGAAGGAAAAAACCTAGCAGTCGGCTTTGTTCCATTCATTAATTCACCATGTCAATCTTCATAGAAAAGCTTAAGAAATTAAACGGAAACGTCAAAATCAATGAAAGAAAACTTCGGACATAGTCGCAAATTTTTTTTTATTATTCAACGAGGAACCGATACACTACATCGTTATAAATGCTTCAGTCATTGATTAATATGTCACCAACTGCTATTTACGTCTGATTCTATAAGTGTTATTGCTTGAGAGTAAAAAAAAAAGTAATTAACATTCGATGAGTAGCGACCGGATTATCAAACATTAATAATTTGTCTTACGAAGCATTACTTTTATCTGATAGGAGAGAAAAGATGAAAAGAAAGTATCTCTTCACTTAGTTCTTGGATTTGTTTAACAGGAGAGCAGAGAAAGAAGAACATCGAACAAAAGCCATGTCTTTCCTATCTACAAGTAGTCACGAATGTCATCGTTTTCCATCTATATTTATATATCTTAAGAATGAAGTGAAACAACTTTATGACATTCGTTAATACGCAAACGACTTTGTTTTATCTGATCTCGCAGGACAAGTCTGATTATACATGAATCAATACATTCTCTGAGGACTTTCTCACTTGGCCAAATTGAAGACTACGATTCTTGACTCTTCTGGTTTTCAACGATTCTTTCATAAATCACACAACGAAATGGAAATGATTACTTACGGTCATCCTTTTTTCTTATCTGTCGTTCCATCACATTATCGCGTATATCTGATTGATTGAGTCGTCGAAAAAGTATTGAATTACATTTGAAAAGCAAGAGGATTGAAATGCATTGCATGTAATCTATTTCTCAATGATCAAATGAGTATTTGTTACAGCTGTATGTAAATTATCTCTGTCGATAAAAGAGAACGCGGACGTTTTTGACCTAGCAATAGAACGACGCGAGGAAACTATGAAGATTATTCTATTAACATGACAGACGTATGTCACGCAACTTGTTGAGATACAAATCTCCCTTTCTGTGTAATTACCAACGTATTATTTGTTATTTTTTGCATTGTTTATGCAATGCTTCCTTTTCTCTTCTGTTTATTGCCATTATGATTGCTTTGTCATCGTCAACAAAGTCACTCGCATCGAATCACCCTGGATTCTCATCTCGATTTCTGCTTCACCTTAGTACAAGAGCTTGTACGGAATGTGGATTAATCGCCATTTGCAGCTTGATTATGTTGGTGTAAGACTCCGTTGATCACTTAAACGCTAGACATTCGATTTCCGTTCTCGAGTAAATCAGATTAAATAAGTACGATCGCAAGAGAGCTATTCGATTGCTGTCGTATAATGATTATATTTTTGTCACATCGGAATTACTTGACAGATCATTTGATGATTGCTATCAGCTATATATCTTTCGAACAGGGTGATAAAATACAGATACAAAACTGTACTCTATCAAATATCAGTCAGCAGTTATTTTGCTCCTTACTTACCAGATTTCACCAGCTGTTTGGTTAGATATATGCACATGAATTAGCATGATGTTTTTACCCAAATAATCTGTATTATTATTATTTTTGCATTTAATTCATGGGGCAAGTGAGGCTCTTTTATCATTAATTAGGTTTTTTGCTGGCAGGATACGTGAGGGCTTTCTGGTAACATAAATGATTGACGTCGACTATATTTATCGAGTACTAAGAGAAACACAGACATCGGAAGTGATCTCATCTTAATAAACTTAGTCTAGATTAAGACGTGGAGAACTATGAAGTCCATAATTGGACATTCTATTTTTATTTAGTCATGTTCGAAGTGTACTGACACATCAACTCAACGGTATTTCTAATGATTTGGAGCATTCCATGAAAAGCCGGGTGCTTCTTGAACTGATTGATTAATACCATACTGTTTGACAGCATAGGAAAGTGTAAGTGGACCATTGTGTTGATAGTTCTCAATACGAAAGACAAATAATGCGCGAATATTGTCTCGGGCTATGAGTGCAGCATATGTGTGTTCACTGACAACAGGAACAGTGGCAAAAAACTCATTGTCTTCACCAACGGTGTTATTGAAATTGAAGGCTTTCGATGCTGTCACTTCTTTCAATGGAACATTACCGAGATCAGATATGACACCGAAGTTCGAGCCGGCAAAGTGCACTTCAAAATAATCCTTCGAACCGCAAGCACCATTGTATAAAAGTTCAGGTTCATTTTGTCGTGCACTATCATCGGTAAGGAAGAGAGCGCAATCGCGATACGCTAATGGAGGTGGTTGGCAACTGTAGGAATACTTGAATGTTGTTTGTTTGATGACATTCAATTCAGGAAGGGTAACTGCTGCAGTCACAGACACGAATAATAAAAGATGAGCGAGTCGAAGCATATTTTAAACGTTAGTTTCGAATGAAGTGACTACGATTGGAATCGCTGGGCTTTTTATTGGCACCGATTTTAATGCCATGAGAAGAAGTTAATCTGGTGTTTTTCAATGAGTCAGTTAATTGTTTCTCTTGCAGTGAATAATCCTAGACTTTACCCGTCAATATAGGGATAATTTTATACACAAGTGATTTTCTTAACTTTAAAAGGAAATATTTAACCTATATACTACTGACGGATACAAACAATACGAATCTCCACGACGTATGACAATCGTCGTGATGCTAACGATTTCTCGACAATAATATGAATCATATAAATATACATCAAGGACATTCTCTATTGACTTTGTATAATTATGTTTTCTATAGAAAAGATAATGGAAATAATGATGATTGCTAAAACTAATAAAAACATGCCGCCTATTCACATCACAGCTGTAAAACCAATGATGAATTGCTACTCTAACGTCATTTCAATCTATGATAACAAAGCATTTAGATAAAATAATTCAATCAGTTAAGTACATACTTATTTTGCCTTTGTACTCACATCTGAAGAAATGAGTGTGCGTGAAAAGTCTATTCACAGAAAATGACAACACTTGAAACTATTAGTGTCATATGAATGTGTTGGAAGAACTTGTATACTTTGAAACATTCGGTGAGCAGTTTTGATTGAATCAACGGGAATGTTTCTTCCTCGATAATCACAACAGAACTGTTCTAACTCTTTTCCTCGACTCATAATTACAGCACCTAGTAGGCTAAAGTTAATTGATGGCTGTTCGCAGAATACTTCGATATGCAATCGTCTTAGTAGAGGGCCAATCAGTACGCGAATATCATCGTAATTTAATTGATGGAAACCGATCCGTAATGATGTAAGTGTCTTCTCGAATATCATCGTGTTCCAATCAGACAAATCGTTTGCAATCATATCGACACGCAAACACTTTAAGGATGGCAGAAGTGATAATAACTGACTCAACGTCTTTCGCGAGCAAGTCACACCGGACAATGTACGAAGTGTACGATTTGGCTGCCACGTTACTTTCGAATTTGGAAAATGAGGAAAGTAGAAATGACATGAATGAAGATATAACCATGGTTTATGGCGATTACTGAATAGACAATCGAATATCATCTAGAAGATTTTTTGTTTTGTTTCGACGATGAAATATTCGCAAAACAGTCTTACCATACTCGCTGGACTGGCGAGATGTTCAAGCATTGGTAAGGTTGTTGATTGAATCAAGTTCATTTGTGCATCGGTCGGCTCATGGATGGTAAGCGAACGCAAACGAAGAAACTGTTGCAATGAGATCGATGGACACATGTTGTAGATGCGTAGATGAGTACAATTAGCTGAAAAGTAACGAATCATTGTTAACGATTGTTTATCTTCAACGAAGATATCGAGTTGTAAACGGACGGATTGAAGAATGAGGTCAAATCGATGATTTAAACGACTGAAAGCGCGATAAATATCATATGGATTATGTACACATTCCAAGATCTGAAGAAGAATTTCATTGCATAGATCTTCCAAGGTTGTTTTCATTTTGCTTTCGGCAGTTCCATACTGAGCAAATGACATGTGTCTTCATAGAACTGTTGGCTTAATAATAACTCATCAGCTACACGAATATGAAATATGTCGAATCACGTGTTATAAGATGCGAAAGAAAGAAAAGAAATTTACTTCATCTTCCAGGTAACATAGAACAGTGAGTAAAACAGAACGCATTTCTACCAGTGTATTTTTGCCAGTCACAGTGTTATGTCGACAAAGCAAATTTTTTGCTCTGTCATTACAACGCGATGTCGTAAGACAATATTGAAGGAATAGTAGACTTAGCGTACGATTTGTTTTTTTTTTCTTTGCCTCATGTCTATCAATAATACAATTGCGAGTCGCCGAATTCCGAGAAAGTATTTCTTTTACATACAGGAATTTTTTGAATTCTGATTCGTATTGGTATGATAAGAACATCGAATTACACCTGTTTAGTTATTTACGACTGGCTTGTTCAAAAGGCGTGCGTATGATTACCTGTCTTTCAAAATGACAATTCTATTGTTCTCGAACTACATTTTAATCACAAGAAGAATGAAAGTTATTTGTTCGCGTCAGTTATCATTATCAAAACGAAAGGCAGATCTTGTTCGAGAGGCAAACCTGACGAGGAAGAGAGAGATATCTTTAGAAAGTCCAACTGAAGAGGTAGACGATCAATGCTGATGGAAGATTTTGCTGTACCTCGATCGATTCGATCTTTTTTTTTCATCGATTAGACGAAGTGATTGGCCGAAAACTAATCGAAGATATGTATCTCACTGTTGAATCAGATTGAAGTGTGTATCTCGACGAGAAAAACAAGCGAAATATCCGAATGTTTGACTGCAAATAGGAAAACTTTTCGGTACGAATTCGTTTGACTCGTTGTCCTTGAATATTGACGTGATGAAACAATGAGGAGACATACAGTGCGTATATTAAATGTATACAACAAATAACAATACAATTTATATCCTATTGTCAAAAAATCATTCATTTTCAACATTATTTTCTGACTCAGAACGAGTCTATGGATATAAAACGATGATTTTGATGGATATTTCTCATTTGCGTCCTTGTAGTTCGATCACTATCTATTACTTAACCTGTTTGCTGCCCTCATTATCGTAATGAAAATTTAAGTGTAGCCGTTGGTAATTACATAAACAAGCTACATGCTGAATAATAAGGATAACCAATTTTCACGCAACCTTGTGTTCTTTGACATTCCAAAAGAATCACCGATGTAATTTCGTTTGTTATTCAAATAAACACCTATACACTACTCGTTCACGAGCAAAACTGCTCGGACGTTTTTCCTATACCTATACGCACACTTCCCGTCGCTTGATGTCTTATTTATGCATATATATATATATATGTATACATTGGGAATCTTGAAACATACCAATTTTCTCACCTTTCAATCACATCTGTCATTGTAACCTTCAAGCAATTTTTGATAATTAGCAGTAGACATATTTTAGATTTTGCCATTAACATGCCAAACTTCGTGTCAAACTTGTTCAAAACACATCTATCGCATTTTCGTGCAGCTATCTTAGCCAACAACACCAATCGAATTTGCCGAATTCTCGACGTCAAACGTCATTATATCAACAAACAAATGGACAGTGCGGGTAATACCGCACTGCTATTTGCCATCAAATATGCGTCGCCACTCACTGTTGAACTTTTGCTTCAACAGGGTGCACAACCTGACCAGCCCAACTTTGCTACCCTCCAAACTCCACTGAGTATACTCGCGTCAAGAACATACGACGCTGATCAAGCATATCAAGCAAAACTCGATCTCGAGATAGCTATTCTTCTTCTCGATCACGATGCTTATGTTGAAAAGACTTCACCGTTTAAATGCCTTGAGGAAGAAGAAAAAGAATGTATTGTCTATGAAACACCATTGATGACCGCGGTAAGAACACGTAATCTGGCAATGGCAACATTGCTTGTCGATCGAGAAGCCAATGTCAACTATGCCCAGAAACACTCACGAAATCGACCGTAAGACCTCCTTCTTCATCTCACTTCTCTCATTTCTCATTTCACGCTTTTTTAGAGTTCACTATGCGATCATGAATGGTGACGAAGCCATGTTCGATTTGCTCGAGAATGCAGATGCATCATGTCGCACAGTTATCTCGGATGGCGGTAATACTCTTCTTCATTGGTTCTGTAACACTCAAAATAACGACAGACAAATTAGTTTACTGAAAAAACTGCTCGATGCTGGATGTGACATAAATGCGACGAATGATGTTCAACAAACACCACTGATGCTTGCTGCTAAACTGAATATGGTGAATACTTGTGAAGTACTTTTAGATGCATTCGCTGATACTGAGAAAGTTGACAATCGAGGTCACCGTGCCATTGATTTCGCCAAGCTCGGAGGCGACTGTTTTCGATTGTTACTTCATGTTAAACAACATCAAGAAAGAAAGTGCCGAATTCAATCGCGGACGGAACGAGTTTTATGTAAGAAGCCAATTGCTTCTCATCGACGAATCTCCAATAAATTTTCAAACGATACTTACGAAACACCCTGTTCTCCATCAGTCGTTTCTACCTGCGTGTATGCGAAAAGCGAAACTGCAACAATTCTTTCATCTAATGATACCGATCCATGTATAGAAAATTCTACCATGTGTAAACGTATGTGGTCCAAATTACTACACAGTAAACAAAGACTTAGTCGCACAAAAGATTCTTCTTCGGGGAGAACGATCGATGATCGTTTGCTAACCCTGCACGATGCGTGTTAGAAACATTACACCTTTTGATGAATCGAAATGCATATGCGTCTTATATTGTTACTCCTAAAAGGAAAAAAACGATTTCAGAAATTCGTTGTTTTTCCTTTTCTGTCAGTTATTTTTATACGTTTGTGTGCTATAGAATTGAATAAATCTATCGTATATTCGTTTACTAATACACTTACAAATACTTCTGAAATGAGATTCATTTTCGTCTCATCAACGACACCGGTGTAGCTTTCTTGTGGATCAGCTATTGTTGTCACTCGAAGATGATATAGAGATATATTCCGAGAAGTAACGATACAATTGAAATCCTATTAAAAGTTCATTGTGATTTGGCCCTGAAGAGTATCTTATACTCCATGTGATCAATTATGACTGATAGTATAAAATATGAATAAAAATGCAATCGTCCTCAAGCAATTCAACTGACATTTCGTATTACGAATGTTGCAGACGTCATCAATATGTCAAAAACGAAGAATAACGAGAAAAAAATGCCGATATCTCCTTCATATGTTTGATTATTTCTTGAATTATATTGAATCCGTCGACTAATACGAACGAAAGATAGAAAGTACCTGTGCAGAGATATCTGACGGGTTCGACGCCGAAATTACGACTGAAATAGCTTTCTCTAATCATTTCTAAATATTTCGCAGATGAATTTTTAATCATCCATTTATCAAATTGCTTTTCAATCGAACTAATAATGCTTCTTCGTACCAGGTAAACACGTGGACATGAGAGAAAAAGAACAAAAACAGTCATCGCATGGGTATCCCGTCCCTAATATGAAAGTGATTGTACATAAATTCGTTTAAAACTTGCGTAAATATATTATTAATGGTAGTCATCATCGATCAGTATGACTAAAGCCCGAGGCGAGCCTATCGTACATTCTTTTATAATGATAGCAGAACCATATTAAACCATTTACATCTATTCAACTACAAACGCTCTCGAAAGAACATTAGTAGTCAATCTGTTTTTCTGAGAAAGTCTAATCATTTTTCAAATATTATTCTAGATATGTCGAAACTCATTTTATCGTATCTATTCAAAAACAATATCTCCGCTTTGCGGGCAGCTATCTTAGCCAACAACACCAATCGAATTTGCCGTATCTTGGATAGTGAACGAAATAATATTACTAAAGAGATAGACAATGCCGGTAACACTGCATTGCTATTTGCTATCAAATATGCATCGCCACTCACTGTTGAACTTCTACTTCAACAGGGTGCACAACCTGACCAGCCCAACTTTGCTACTCTACAAACACCACTGAGTTTACTCGCGTCAAGAACGTACGATGCTGATCAAGCACATCAAGCAAAACTCGATCTTGATATAGCTATTCTTCTTCTCGACCACGATGCTTACGTTGATAAACCTTCACCATTCAACCTCCTCGATGATAACGGTCAAGAATATGAAACAAAAGAGACGCCACTAGTAACTGCAGCGAGAGTGCGCAATCTGGCAATGGCAACATTGCTTGTCGATCGAGAAGCTAATGTCAACTATGCCCAGAAACACTCACGAAATCGACCGTAAGACCTCCTTCTTCATCTCACTTCTCTCATTCCTCATTTCACGCTTTTTTAGAGTTCACTATGCGATCATGAATGGTGACGAAGCCATGTTCGATTTGCTCGAGAATGCAGATGCATCATGTCGCACAGTTATCTCGGATGGCGGTAATACTCTTCTTCATTGGTTCTGTAACACTCAAAATAACGACAGACAAATTAGTTTACTGAAAAAACTGCTCGATGCTGGATGTGACATAAATGCGACGAATGATGTTCAACAAACACCACTGATGCTTGCTGCTAAACTGAATATGGTGAATACTTGTGAAGTACTTTTAGATGCATTCGCTGATACTGAGAAAGTTGACAATCGAGGTCACCGTGCCATTGATTTCGCCAAGCTCGGAGGCGATTGTTTTCGTCTACTACAACATGCCACATCGATTCAACGAACAAAAGCTCAATCATATCAACACATCAATCGGATGATTTGTAGGAAATCGATTACATCTCATCGTCCACTGATGTCACGTACGAGTGAACCAGTTGAGCAACTTAAATTCGATAAAAATAAGCTGAATCATTATCCGTCAAATATCGTTCTTAAGGACACAGAATTCGACAATGAGACATCACTGTATACTTCCAATGGCACAATCAATGAAGAAGAAAATCTTACAAAATACAAACGCAGATGGAACAAATTACTGAAAAAGAGAGAGAAATTTCGTCAAACAAAACATTTATCTTTGCAATCCATAAATATTTTCTCATGAAAAGATGACATTAACTGTTTTGTAACTATGTACAACATGAAACTAATTGATGAAAGCAGTAAATTTCATGCTTTATTACGCGTTTTACCCACATAATTAATTTTCATCATCCAGACCTAACGAAAAATAAATCGGTCGTACTTAGTTCAGATTGACATTCACGGTGATATAAATCCTTTGGAAAAGGACGACCCTTGTGTGTCTCAAGTTCGTTTTCATTGTATGATACGTTTTTGTTTTTATTTTTCGTTCGAAAGAGAACAACACACACATAGAAGTTCCAGACAAAAGATACACAATGACAAAAGAAAACAATTCTCAAGTATGACTATCCAACATAACTAGATATTCGTAGTTATAATGTACGACAAACATTTTTAATCTCCACCGGCAGCTATTGGTGATTGACTAAACATTTGAACAGATAAAATAAGATCTAAGGAAGAAATTGTCGACATACTTATAAGCAGCATTGTTGTCAGCAGCAGCTGCTGCTGAAGATGATTGAGCTACGCCGTTTGTATGATGATTACTAGCAGCACTTGAACTGCGAGATCGACTTCGGCTATAAAGTTTACAATCGTTGATAAGAACATCTTTGATAAGTTTATTTATCTTACCCGTTTGCTTTGCCAGGTGATCTTCGTTTTGATAATGAACGTGAGCGAGAAGCTGATTTTGAATCGTGTCGATCACTCGAATGGCGTGAACGTTTGCGATCTCGGGGAGAACCACTACGTCGACGATAACGATCTAAAATTAGTCTAAGTTTGACCTACACAATCAATACGAAAATGAAAACTTACCGCGAGAATCTGAACGTGATCTTGATCGACGTCGTCTATGTCGCGAATTACTTCTTGATCGACTTCTAATCAATGACAAACAACAGAATTTTCACTTCTTAGCAAACACTCATTCATCATTCAAGCTTTTCAACCAACGAACCAATCATCTCGTCTGAGCCCATTACATACAAGTCATTAGAATAGACAAACCATTGGAAAACTCGCTAACTATAATTGGATATGAGAGCTTATATTAATCCAAATCGAACAGACGACAAGTTAGAATTTCTCTCACCTCGATCGTCGACGGCCACCACTGTTACGATAGGAACTGTGTGGGTATCCACGACCACCACGATTTCGGCCGCCATAGGTACGTGTACGTGCCCAACTGACACCAACACGTGTTGAACCAATGATTCTACAGGTACAGATGGATGTAATCTGTAAGAATTCGTTGAAGTTTACATACTTTCCATCAACTTCTCGAATGGCGTCGTTCGCATCAGATCGATGTTTGAAATTAACAAAAGCAAAGCAAGGTGGATTTGTTGCTACCCATACCTGAAAGCATCGCGTTCATACTTGTTGTAATTCGAAATTTGAAATTACTTCGTTGACCGTTCCGAATTTGTTGAAAACTTTTTCAATTTCTTTTCGAGAAATTCCTGCAGCTAGATCGGAGACATGAACACGATAGCCTGATTCTCCATCCCAATGTGATGATTGTGCAGCTCGTCCACTTAATTGAATGAAACGTATGAAATTACTTGTCTCATTAAATTGAAATAACTTACGATGAACTTGACGACATCGATCGAGAACGTGAACGAGAATGCGAACGTGAACGATGACGACCCATTCGAAATACTAAATAATCAAGAATTTTCAATTAGAAGAAATTGTCTTTGTCGCGAGATTATCTATTCTTTCTATCTGTTTTCGAATAAACCAATCGAGTGATTCTTCGGGCAAACATTTCGTTCGTTCCAGAGAAAAAGAGAATATCGAACATTTTTTCCCGTTCATTTATTTAAATTTAACAAAGAATATGTTTCATTCATCGATAGAACCTCGACGGAGGTCAAATGTATTGTTAATGGTCATTTTCAACCAATAGGATCAACGCTCGATTCAGATCGTTTCATTTCGATAATGACGGCAAATAGTGGAGTAGTGAAGCACGAAGTTGACGAAGAACATTCGGAACTGCCTCCTGATCATCCTAGAAAACTAATTCCTGAGCTATGTCGATTATTCTATCAACTTGGATGGGTCACAGGTGACACGAAAAAACCATTCGTTGAGATTTGATCGTAATTGTGCGATAATTCTAGGTACGGGCGGCGGTATTTCGTTGAAATATAATGATTTGATCTATCTTGCGCCAAGCGGCGTACAAAAGGAACGCATTGCAGCCGAACATCTATTTGTGCAAACGCTTGAAGGTGATACCGTGACCGAACCATCGAAAGAGCTTCGTTTAACTCGTAGTCAATGCACACCGTTGTTCTATGCTGCATTCGAATTACGTCATGCTGGTGCTTGTATTCACACACATTCTCGAGCTGCTGTCATGGTGACATTGCTGTGTGCCGATCAACATGAGTTTCGTATTACACATCAGGAGATGATTAAAGGAATCAGAAAAGGTTCAACAGAAAAAGAATATTATCGTTATGATGATACGCTGGTAGTTCCGATTATTGAAAATACTTGCGAAGAAAGAGATTTGACTAGCTCATTACGTCGTGCCATGGAATTGTATCCTGATACATGTGCTGTTTTAGTTCGAAGACATGGTGTTTATGTGTGGGGTGATACATGGCAAAAAGCAAAGACGATGTGTGAATGTTATGATTATCTGTTCGAAATTGCCGTAAGCATGCGCTCACACGGTCTCGATCCAGCGAAACAACCGGAAACATACAAGAGTCCTTTTGTTTGAATGCAAACAAAAAGTTTTTCTTTTGATTTTTTCCATCAATCAAACAGTATTAGTTGGAAGGTTAAATATATTTTCAAACTCGATCACACTGACTACTCCAGGCATTGAAAAGCATATGTGCACTCGTTCGAAGAAGGTATGTTTTGACAAGTTGTCGCGCATTCTATTATCATCGATAAAAGATGAATAAAGCGATCATTGGGGTATGCGACAGTTCTTGTAATGTGTTGATGAGCCTTATTATGAATAGCATTGTCACGCATTCATATGGTATTACGATCAAAATATTGTTCACACATCAGTGAGACGAACTATTTTGAATATTGAGATGCCATGCATCTGCCAATGTGAATTAATATCTTCTCATTCATTCATTTATTCAGAAATAACTTCTCACAGCTGCATGGCGTAGTGCATACTTTAAAAATCCGGCATGTCATGCTCGAAGTCATCTGATATATGATTAGACCAAATGCAGACAATTCATTCAATTTTAAGCTTGCGACGCGAGTTTCTTCCTTATTCTATAATGAAAGTAAAATGGTACGAAGGAGAGTTCGTTTCTCTTTGCACTCTATAGCCGAATCGCAACACAGACCGCCTAATGTCAATTCAATCAGTGAACACTATATTAACTTTCTTGACATATTCATCAAATCACAGAGCGTTAAGACATATTATTTCCAATGATTCACTTCCGTAAAATAACGTGTCTTGTCATATTAACACTTCAAGCAAATGAACGACTTAGATATTTTTCGTTCTTCTTCATTATTTATCCTTTTGATGAAGTAATTATATATTTAACCTGTGAAAACTCTATCCACTCGGTTATTTTTAATTACTTATCTGCAAATACATTCACTATGGCAGTGACAATTTTACCTTTCGTTCAACAAATTATGATTCGATATATCATGAGCACCTATTTCGCATTTGGTCTCATCGGTAATATCTTCAATTGTATTATTTTCACCAAACAAACACTACGACAACAAACACCCTGCTCAATCTATCTTCTGGCACTTTCCATCTTTGCATTCGTCTATCTTCTTTGGTCAGTTATACCACTTCTCTACACTCTTGATCATATCGATCCACAAGTGCAATCATTAGTTTATTGTAAAGTGCGATTGTATGGTAGTCATGTGCTTGGTCAATTCGTTCGATTCTCAGTGGTGTTCGCTTGTGCTGATCGCTTTTTCATTACAAGAACAAGTGCGCACATACGTGCTTGGAGCTCGTTTGATACAGCGAAAAAGATGATTGCTGTAATGTGTATATTTTGGCTCATAGCTGGTTCACATTTACCAGTATTCATGGATATTCGTGGTGGTGTATGCTGGATGTTCGACTTCTACAAGTTCTTCTATCCAATCTATCAGTGCACTCTAGTCGGTGTGTTACCACCGGTGTTGATGAGCGTGTTTGGCTTTCTCACTGTCCACACACTCCGTCAACGTCATGCTACGAACGAACATATTCGACAAAAGGATCGTGACCTTATGAGAATGCTCATCGCGGAGATCTTGATCAACATCGTCACATCCATTCCGTTCTCAGCTAACTTGTTGTATGGTACTGCCACGTTCTATGTCGTCGGGAAAAGTAGCGAACGAGTGGAGATCGAAAACTTCGTGAACTTTGTGTCCCAATTTCTGATTCATTTGCTGAGTGTGGCTCCGTTTTATTTATTTTTGATGTCATCGAAGTCATTTCGACGTGAGTTTGTGCATATCGTGCGCGTTTTCTGGTGCAACTATAAACCTCAACGTGTTCAAATTCATCCGACAATAAATCAAAGTTCATGAAAATCAGACATTGAAAAAATAAACGCTAAGACACCAGTTTTACCCGCTTAGCTTTTCGTATCCAGTATACCGCTTGATGTTTTGCTCCTTATTCTATTGTAAAACATGGCCGTATGACATATAATTATTCTTTAATAGAAAAAGGCGACAGTGGAGGTGTGGTAACCACTATCGATGTGATTTTCCTTTGTGCACAATTCGAATATTGCTGCCATCAGCAAAGAGACATACTGCAAAACTCGATCGGGTCATTTTTGTTAATCAAAACTCATTCGAACGAACGATGAGCCGACATGTGCAAATACAGTCAGTGTAGAAGACTACGTTACGATATTTTCCTTTCTGGAAGAATATTTCCTCCGTCTATTCTTTTCTATAAGCTTCTTGTCTCAAGCCGCTATCTTTCTTAAGTCCGATCGTATGAAGAAAATCGTAAAAAATACTCTTTCCAAGATTAAACAAATCAATACAGGCTCTTTTTGTATTCTTCGTCATAATTATTTTTAATGAATGACATATTTAGAAAAGACATTGCTCGACATATTACTTTCCTTGAACCTTTTAGTTATTAATGACGAGGGCACCACATAGAATATTGAACAAATAAAATAAAAGAACAGTATTAATCAATGTTACGATAAACGGATACCGGAATGTTTTCTTTTACATTAGAAAGCATCGCACGAGATATTAGTAGCGAGTTTGAAACGTTGACTTTTCTCTGCACTTTCCTAAGTGCATATTTTCTCTATAAGAACCGATAAAACAAAGTTTAGCAGTGTTTGAATCTATTCCAACACCGCTGTTACCGACCTGCCGTCTTCGAACTGAATCTACCAAAGGACAAATGATTTCAAACGCAAAAGCTTGCCGATCAGATATTTTAATATAAAAGAAGTGCATGTCTCTCGTCAAAACATTGAGAAAGTGGGCGACTTTTTGTCAACTTGTAAAAATAGCACGGTAACAATCCTATTAACTAAATGAAAAAGTAGGTTTTCATCCCTAAGCAAAGACCTCTTTCTCTAAATAAACATACATCTCGGTTCTTTTGTGACTATCAATAATGGCAGTGACTGTTCTACCTTTCGTTCAACAAATTATGATTCGATATATCATGAGCACCTATTTCGCATTTGGTCTCATCGGTAATATCTTCAATTGTATTATTTTCACCAAACAAACACTACGACAACAAACACCCTGCTCAATCTATCTTCTGGCACTTTCCATCTTTGCATTCGTCTATCTTCTTTGGTCAGTTATACCACTTCTCTACACTCTTGATCATATCGATCCACAAGTGCAATCATTAGTTTATTGTAAAGTGCGATTGTATGGTAGTCATGTGCTTGGTCAATTCGTTCGATTCTCAGTGGTGTTCGCTTGTGCTGATCGCTTTTTCATTACAAGAACAAGTGCGCACATACGTGCTTGGAGCTCGTTTGATACAGCGAAAAAGATGATTGCTGTAATGTGTATATTTTGGCTCATAGCTGGTTCACATTTACCAGTATTCATGGATATTCGTGGTGGTGTATGCTGGATGTTCGACTTCTACAAGTTCTTCTATCCAATCTATCAGTGCACTCTAGTCGGTGTGTTACCACCGGTGTTGATGAGCGTGTTTGGCTTTCTCACTGTCCACACACTCCGTCAACGTCATGCTACGAACGAACATATTCGACAAAAGGATCGTGACCTCATGAGAATGCTCATTGCGGAGATCTTGATTAACATCGTCACATCCATTCCGTTCTCAGCTAACCTGTTGTATGGTACTGCCACGTTCTATGTCGTCGGGAAAAGTGGCGAACGAGTGGAGATCGAAAACTTCGTGAACTTTGTGTCCCAATTTCTGATTCATTTGCTGAGTGTGGCTCCGTTTTATTTATTTTTAATGTCATCGAAGTCATTTCGACGTGAGTTTGTGCATATCGTGCGAGGTTGTTGGCGCAATTATGTACGTCGACGTGGAAGAGTTGGTCCACCGATAAGTCAAATCACCGCAACCATGCAACATAGAGAACAAACGCATTCACTTGTTTGAGTTTTGTCATTCGGGTAGAGTGCAGTTGTCAGACACTTCCTCATTAACCTTCAATTCATTCTAATAGTATGTTTAGATTAATAACCATTGTCTGTCGTACAAAAAACATGCTTTCGTTTGTTTGTGATTAAACAGAACGATTTGTTCGGAGGAATATCTTGTTGGTGGAAACAGAAAAATAAACAAGTTTTAAATGAACGGTACAACATTTGGCAAATTTAGATTTAAGAAAAAGTTTCTGATATCGTCACGTTTGTATTGTTGCGAAAAATGTATCAAGACGAAGGTTATATTTGGATATCTGAGAACATACGGCTGAATATCATCCTAACAGAAAAATTAGCTTTTCTCCAATTAAACGTCGCAAATTCAACTTACCCAAATAATATGTTTGACATCACATGCTCGTTGTGAATGTTGCTCACGATCAATAAATGAACATTCAACGATAATCAGACGAAATTCGAACAATTCCGAAGAATATGTCTCGAAAATAGATGCTGTTGTGTCGCAGAGAAAGGCAAACAAAGGAAAGAACTTTTCGTCGGACACGGAAAGATCTTTATTCTCACGTCGTAAATTACCGATTTCTTTACTTGTCAAGTGTTGATACTCTGCTTTTAGTTTCTGTTGTTTCCTGTAAAATCCGTAGCCACAACAAGGAACCGAGTGGTCCATATCAAATACACGAACTTGCATTGTTTTTTGAAATGGAAAGAATTCTCCGGGTTGAACACCAATTAGTTCATAGTTTTTCGTCCATTCACTTGGATCCGATTCAATTTGTCCAGCACTGCGAAGAATTTGACATTTCTCAAGGAAATCTTTCATCATTGGCACACCAGACACCGGAAGATGAATTCGGGGCGGACGACTTCGGCTTACAAACCGTGTCACATCAAGACAGTGATCCGAATGCGTATGAGTAATGAATATATCGCTCGGTCGATTCGATGTAACTAGACAACCGCAATCGAGCAAGAGATCTAATTCAGGTATGAAAAAACTTGTTGCATCTGCTGCTCTGGAACGACCAATTAAGGTGTAAGGTGAGATGTGCGACGGAAATTTCCAAGAAAGCACGTCGTTTGCATGAACCCATTCGCTACTCGAATGAAAAGGTTCGGGAAACATTTTCACTGTCCTTGTGAAATACAACGTAGTGTCTGCTCTCTTCTTGCAATTTATACGACCTCCACGTGCTGTGTTATTTCGATCATGACGCATGTAATTGGGCAATTTCATCGGTTCTATGCAGAACTACACGGTGACACACCGATTGCGTAATATTCGATAAACATTTCCCGTATCCATCACTATAACATTGCACCAAACACTACGCTAATTTCTTCATTACTGACCTAAATCGGCTAACTATGTTCGTTCTACAGAGTTATGTGAATCAGTACATATCCAGTCAAGATTCTTCGGCACGTGTCTATTTTCTCTTTCTTCGAATGTCCTGATTGACTCGGCTTCTATTTTTATCTCTTTCTCTTATTTTGTGCCATCCGTTCTACTAAATCCATTGTTGGTATATATATATATACCCATTCCACATATCCTCTCACTCATTTCATACTTATACTACGTTCGAAATTTTCAAAAAATGTCCTCATCAAACCAAGGCAAAGAATACACTGGATTAGAGACTGATCACGGTGATACGAAAAAGCAACAAGCTGATGAAAGTGCTCAACAAGGTATGTCCAAAGGTGCTGTCTCTGTTGATCATACTAAATCAGGCGGTTCATCTGGCGATATTGGTCTTGGTAATCCAAATGCGCAAACACACAAACCGCCTCATTAGATGTTGTTTTTCTATCCATTGTTTATTTTGGATAAAGATGTTAAATAAAAAGAACTGAAAGACAGAATGGTTTCTATATGTTTTATTTAAAATAATATCATTTAAAAAAAAATTGCTTCACGGAATGGAAACAGTTTTTCAGTTTATCCTCTCATTTGCATATCTTTCAAGCTTCCGTCAAATCATCATTATAATACAACATAATCGATTGTAAATAGCTGTCATCACGCATTTTAAGTCTATCGAAATCGGTATCATCGTCTCGCACGCCGTTTTCCTCTAATGTTTTGTCCATGTCTAAAACTTTACCATCGTATTTCCATGTGTAACTTGACGCATGTCTATTGTATTTCAAATATCGCTGAAGGATTTCATGCATATTTTCCTCGGAACAAACCTATTTGAAAATGATTGAGTGATAAAAGCGAAAAAAAGAGTGAAAGTTTACTTCGATGATGTGTTCCTGTAATGTAAGGACGTTCAGAATACGGATTGTTCGAATTTTTTTCGAGAGAACACCGATTTTATACTTGGGATCTTTCCACCATGGAATACCGAAGTCATTGGCGAAATCACTAGATGGAAACGGTGGTGCAACGTGAATAAAACGACCATGAGGTGTATAAGGCAGTAAACAATGAGTGACTGGATCGATATAATGACGAATCTATATTCAAAATAGAAATAATTCGATCTTTATCAAACAAAAAAGGTTTAGTAAATGAAAATCAAACAAATATGTTGCAAAAAGAAAAGCGGTTATTTGGTTATCTGAGTCTATGATTGAGTTTATATCTCTGGAAGAAAATTCAAGAGAACGAATGATTGCTATTCCGGTGAACAATCTTACATCGTGAGTTCGAGGGTCGAACCAATGTGATATGTCCAAGCCGGCAACGTCGATAATTGGTTTGAGCAGTACATCGCCTATAAATGAATTACCGATGAAATATCATTCTGTGAAAGATTAGCTACCCTAGAACGAACCACTATGTTCTTCCATAAGCTTTGATAAGTCGTAGACATGACCAAGAAATGAAACCCAAATGTCCGATGCTGTGTTATGGGATGAAACTTCATTTGAAGTAAAGTAACGTGGCCGAGGTACTTTCATATTAGCTTCTTTGTTTCGGATGTTGTTACTCGACGATGTTGAATATAAATAGAAAGCGTTAAAATTTTGTTTTCTGTCGATACCATTTTTAACACGACAAACGATACGTTGTCTAGCAACATCGTTGAATGGTAGAATGGAAAGATTTGCAAATCATATGTACTATTTCGAGAAACTAGAAGAATATCAGAAGTGATTTTAAAGAAATATTCAGTTGAGGATGAAAGTCAGGGAACCATAGATGTCGCTAAACATGCCGAATTTCGAAAACAGCGATGTTCAAATCAACGATCGAGATCTTCTTATCACAATTCACCCAAGAAATATTTGCGCAAAAGGTTTAGCGACACGCAATCGATACTTCCTCGAATTATGAGTTATCCGCAGTATTCTATCGTTCATTTTTTCTTCACTTCGATAATCCATCTCTTATATCTATGCTACACATACAAATCATCGTCGTTCTCTTTTCGATGTCAATAGAAATAAATGAAAAAAAAACTACGCACATATCGTCGATTTCTTTTTTCCATATTTTCATTCTACGTTAAGATCATCAGTGTGTAAATTTGCCATGAAAAGTCATATCGTTGAACTTCGCAACGATTTCCATGGACTTTCTCGATCCCTAGACGACCAATACATGCAACTGAAAACTGACCTAGATAAATGGCATACCACCATGTTCCAACGCATTCAAGACATGTATTTGAATACTTTAATTGAACTGGACACCTCCTACGAGCGATTGGATACATTTCGTCAGACACTTTACGTTCTCCTCGATGATGAACGCTTGACAGGTAAAGTTTTAGTCGATGGACATTGATTTTAATTGAATGTGAAATAAAAATTTTAGTTCCAATGACTTCGACAGATATAGATAACTATTCCAGTCGATTAACATGGCTGGAAAATGAAATTGATTCGATATTAAACCTTTTTTTTCATATTAATTGCACGGCGGTCAAACTAAATCATCGGCCATATCTGATTCATTCGAATACATCGTCAGCGACTCCATGTCGAGTGTTAATCAAACGTGAACATACGAATCTCCTCCCAGATTCAATGAATAATACACTTTATACGCTATTGACTCATGTGTTATCTCCGGAAGCGATCTTGATAACAAATAATGTGCAACAATTAACGTCTATCATTGAAGAAATTCTTTGTCAAACGAATGAATTACGTGTTTTAATTCACGAATGTTATGCACCGTTTATCATTGGACAGTTAGGTAGTCGCGCGAAGATGTTAAAAGAGAAATACGGTTTGACAAATGTGAAAGTTTATCCGGCCTGCGCCCCATTGTCAACCGAACGGATACTTCTCTTAAGTGGATCAAAATGCGAACACATTATCGAGTGTTTAACAGAAATCTATTTGAACATATGTCAAAGCTCATCAGCGGATCAAAATCAGCAAACGACATTTCTTTATTCACCGGAATTTTACGACATTTCCCTAGCAGATGATTACGGAGGTTTCATTGATCGACAAAATTCAAGTGCAAATCAACGTTCAATGACCACTACCAGCAATACTACGATCGGACCAGACGACGATGACTTAAGCTTATACGAAGATGAAGATGTGGAAGATTTTGATAATGATGGCACTACGCATTCCTCCGATAGTGCGGAGGCATTACGCGAACGACACTGGACACTATCCGACGCTCAAGCTGGTGCGTTATTCGGACCGAATTCTTCTCGTTTACATCAAATTCGTAGTGAATCCAATGCTTGGATTGTGATTTATGAAGCTGAAGGAAAAAGTACTCGAAGACCAATGTCCATTCGAGGCACGAAAGCCGAAATTGAACATGCAACAAAGCTAATTCTAGAAACGATTAAACGTCACGATAGAAAACTACCATTGAAACATAATCACAAACGTGGAAAGTAATCAAGGTAAGACTTCTTTGAATTCAGTTGGCAATGTTTTGCATTTCTGTGTGAACTTCTAGACGAACAAATGTCTCTTCGCTGATTGATTGAATAAACTTTAAAATATGTGTTTTGTTCGCTTGTTTTTGTACATAAATTCATATATATTCCTTAACATTTTATTCTATTTTCTTGTTTTGTCTTGCCAAGTAAAAAAAAAAGAAAACCGTTTCGAAAAAGAAAGTATTTATTGCCTCCACAAGACGCACGAAATTCAATGAAAAAAACCCAAGATAAATATATAAATAGTAAGAAAATTAACTGATAATGTTGTTGGAAGTGTCCTAAACGAGAAAGAAAAGTGGAAAGTATTTCGCACGAAAAGATTGACTTTGGCATTACCATGGATTGTAATTCGAGTAGTCTAACTTTGTTCGATTGTTCAGATAGTGTATCTAACGCTTCGTGAAGTTCCTAAACATAACCAGATTCCTCTTTGACTTGTTCGTGGTCAAGCGAACGAACGTACTTGTTTTAGGGTTTTGATTTCGTAATTTTTTCGAGATAGTTTCTGATTCATGTCTTGTTGGATCGTTTGAACTTTTCCTGTTGTATCATCCGGTGGGCAGTGATGATGAAGGTTGCTTGCTGGGCCACCAGTACGGCGAATTAGATCATTTGATTGAGAGAGATCAGCGTTCTGATGAAACAAGCAAGTCACAATGAATTACTGTAAACATGAAAGCTTTTGGAACTTACTCGACTGAGTTTGATCGTTGCATTCGTTCGTTTTTCTCTGTTGAGATTATTTTGAGTATCTTTTAAAGTGTTTCGGAGATGTAAGGTTTCATCGTCTCTGATTCGTTTATCAGTCTACGAGAAAACGAATCGAATTAGATATTCAGAAGGAAAACGAAAGACGGCGCATCATACTTCAAGATCTTGGACAATAATATCGCGTTCACGTAATGCAATTTCAGCTTGCCGAAGTTTGCCTAAGTCTTTCTCGTAATCTTTTAGTAGATCTTCTTTGCGTAGTAAACGATCGTGTAAAATCTATCAGGAGGAAAATAAGAAATGCTTGGATAAAATTCAAGTCTTACTTCGATCCTTTGTAAGAGAATATCAATCATACGTTGGCGTTGTTGTAGAGCAGCGTAACGTTCATTCGACGCTGCTACTGTCAATGGAGATGTGTGTAGTACTGTATCATCTTCGATATTCAACAATCGAACTACTTTCCGAGCGAAAGTATGGTACTAAAGAAGCGAGTAAGACTCGTTTCCAATTTGTTTCAAACCTAACTTACTAGTTCATCACATGATTGTAGAATATTCATGGTTTCCATGTGAGCTGTACGTTCTTCAATAACTTTTTGTGCTTCGGGTGTCAGACAAGATGTATCGCCCACTGGCTGTCCTGTTAGAGCCGGTGGATTTGATGTTGTTAGATATGGTAAATCGGTAGGTAGAGCTTGTCGAGCGCGCATCTCTGCTAAATCACGTTTCAATGAAACAACTTGTTGTAACGTTTTTTCATAAGAGGGATTAGCCGGTCTGGATTGTTCTAAAGACTTAATTCTCGCTCGTAATTCATTCAGAGCTTCACGTTGTCGACCAATCGTTTGCTCATGTCGTTCACCTTTACATTGGGCGCCAATCGCCACTAATTCATGAGTAACACGACCCTAAGAAGTTCGATTAGAAAAGAAATACACGTCATCGATGTTTCTTACTTCCTCAAAGTTTGTTTTTTCTACATGTTGGACAACAGAACTGGTCTGTTCAAGAGATTTGCTCAATCGATCGATATCAGCTTGACGTTGGTCGACTAATAGCTGATATTGATTTGCTAGAATTTTTGATTTCCTACGAAGTCAACTCATTATTAGGAATCTATCAGTCACGTATCAATCTTACGAGAGTTCAGTTTGCAATGATTCGATTTTCGTTGCTTGTTTATCGACGATGTCGCTCAATTTAGACAATTTCACTCTTGTTGCGCTCAATTCCTTTGTTTGATCGCGTATGGTAGTATCGTTCTTCTCCAAAGTTCGTTTTTGTTTATCACTTAATTCACCTTGAACGTCCGATAGACGAGCATTCATACCAGCTAGATCGCGTCGTAGTGAAACAATGATCTGTTCCTGTTCTTGAATACGAGTTTTATGCGCTTGTAATTCATTACTGACATCCGTTACAGCTGTGGTTATAACAGGGATGACAGGTACGTGTTTCGTACTGGAAGATGAGTGTGTTGGTGGTTTGCCTAGAAGAAGAATGTGTAACCCATTAACACAAGAATTCGATGGCGAAATTACCTTTGATCTTTTTGTTGGCGTTATCCAAATCTGTTTGCAGTTTCACGCATTTCTCTTGTTCTTCAGTTAGGTTTTTCTCCAGCTGAACGATCATCTTCGAGAATTGTCGTATTTGCCCTTTGTAAACTTCAATCTGTGCCCTAAACGACCAAATTTATATGCAGAAAAATCATGCGACTGAAACTTACGTTAAATCTTCGATAGTTGTATTCTTTTCCTTTTCTAGTCGATCCAACTCTTCTCTTTGTTTTTCATGAATATCCGATAAATCGCTCTGTTTCTCGTTCTAAAGGAAAACATCATCAAATAAAGGAAAAGGACAAATTCAATATACCTCTGCAGTCAATTGACGTTGACACTGACGTAATTTTGTCGAAAGATCATCGATTTGCTGAGATGATTCAGTTTGAAGTGTAGTCCATCGCTTCAAAGTAATCGGCTTGATTTCATTCAAATTGAACTAACACGGATTGCTTACTTGAAAGTATTCTGCCTTTTCTGCAGTAACACTTGCGAGACGATCGGATAACGAACGCACTTGTTCATCATAGTCACTTTGCAATTGAGCAGTTTGTTGACGAAGACGATCGCATTCATCATTGAAACGTTGTTGCCAAGAAGCACTAGACGTAGAACAAATTTGACAGTTATCCAATAAAATGCAAATTCTTTGTTTATACTCTTTTTCTGAAGTGAGATTTTCTAATTCCGAACGAAATCTTTCTTCGTGAGATGTACGTTCATGGGCAAAGCTGTCCTTTTCACGTTGTAAGTCTTCGTACTGACGACGAATTAATTCGAATGTTTTATTAGCAGCTAGAAGAAGATTTATTTGTTATGTTTTCTTTCACAATCAAATTAACTTACATCGATTTCCTTGTTGATCATCATCTTGGCTGACGAGATGGTTTATACCATCGATCAATTTCACATGACAATCGATTACATTCAATGCTGCACGTTTGAACATTCCAGCAAGTGTACCATCCTCCGCACCAGCTTCGAGATCAACGATTTGTTGTCGAACTTGTGAAAGACTTTCAACTGTTGCATGTTCTTGTATTGCATTTGTCTACGAAAGAGAAAGTCATATTCGATGAACGAACATCTGTATCGATAAGTTACGAGCAATTCAATGAATTTTCTGAGTAAATCGCGTAGTGTTTCATTCGATGATGCATGCTGTTCGAGTTGTTGACCAAGCTGAATCTGACATTGAGTCAAATGCTGTTTTAATTGTTCAATTTGTTCAACGATGTTGTGTTGATCTTCGTCATAGTCATCGTCGTCGTCAACGGCAAAACATTTCCATACCTTACTGCAGAATTCATTATACTAAAGTGAAGAAACAACATGACATGATCATTTTATAGAATAACTCTTTACCTTTTTCTCGGAATCTTCAAAATTAGTTTTAAGTTTTGTTTCACTTTGTTGTGCTTCGACCAGTTGTCTGCGTACAATCTCACCTTCTTCCTTTAATTTTTGTTCGTTTTGATTCAATCGTAGCAATTGACTTTCTGTATCTTGCAATTGAATTTTCAGTCGATTGACACTTTCTTTCAATTCACTGATCTGTTGTTCTGCAGCTTTGATTTTCTACAATAGATGAAAACTTTCATCTAGATTACGACAAGGATAGACTTTTACAAGCTCGTTTTCCTTCGTAACACGTTCTTCTTCGGCACGATTCCGATCGCGAAGCAAATTCAGCTAAACAAGAAGCACATACAGGACACAAACGAAATCAAAGTTTCTATTTACCTTGGCTTGTATGGATTGTAATCGAAGATCTTTATCTCGACTATCGTTTTTCATTCCTTCGATTTCGCGAGTTACTTTCGCTAGATCAGATTCCTAAACAAGAAAATATTGAATCAATTGACTGTCTAGTGTGTTCGATCAGCCATACTTTGATATGTAAATCACGCTGAAGACTTGTAATTAAGTTTGAAGCTGCTAGTTTCTCTCGTTTGGCCTTATCTAATTCACTCTTCAACGTGCGAACTTCATTGGTGAATGAGGAACTCAATGGTTCCAAATTTCGTAACTAGAGATAATCATACATTATCTCAAACAAGTAGAACGTTTCGATAAACAATTACTCGATCATTAATTCCTCGAATATCTGCATCACGGCCTTTGACTTCCCTCTCCAGAAGATCGACACGATTTGTTATATCACTTGTATCATGTGTAGATATATCTAATTCTCCAGTAAAATTTCCGTTGATTACAGACCGGCCATTATTTGAAGAATGGTTTATAGTCCAAGCATTACCTAAATTGAAATGACGATGGAAAAGATGCGATCGATTTGGAATACGTACTGCGAACTTGAGGATCACGGTTAGAAGTGGAATCTTGACTAGGGATGTTTGTCGTTGATGTTGGAGGTTTTTTAGCTCCTACACTCGAAGGTCGAGTTCTACAGAACGACAAAGATTGGAAAATCTATGAGAATCTAGTGACTGTACAAACCGAAGTGTGAATCCAGGATTTTGCGCGACATCGATTGGTTGCTGATATGTCGCTAATCCACTCGTTGCGCGTCGCGATGGAATGGTTTGTGATATAAGTTGAAGAGAATTGGAATTTGTTGGTTTTTGGTATATAGATGGCATTGAGGTCTAAAATGCCATTATTCGTAAAGATTTAGCACAAAATATATGTTCTATACTTCTTGAGTTTGTTCCATACGAAACTCGAGTGGTAAACCATTACAACCAAACCGTATAATATCTCCATTGACTAATCTTACCGCGGCATTTTGTACACGACAGTCATGAACATAAGTTCCCGTTGAGGAATTGAGATCCTTCACAATAAAACATCGTTGCTCATCATCATACTCCAACAATGCATGTTGATTATCAACCTGAGGACTCTATGTGACCAAAAGCTAAGATCCATTAAGTTCATAGGAAAAAAGCAAGAACATACATTGATACTAATATCACAATTTTCTCGTCCAATGGTCGTCACTTTTGGACCGAGAGGGAAAGCATATGCGCCGTCTTCGCTATACAATAAACCTTTCATTTTGTCTGGATGATCTATCGAATTGAAAGGGTATTGTTTTCTATTTGAAAAAAAGAGACTGACATTGAGAAGGATACCTGCATACGCTTGTGAAGTATTCTTTAGTCTCTTTCTTTGAAAAAGCAAACAGCAATGGGTTGCCAAGAATTTGAACCGAAATCAATTTGATATGTTTATTGAGTCATCAATCCATGCGAAAAAAAGCATCTTGAACGGTTGCTAGGATATTGGAAGTTAGTTTTCTCCAGAAATCAATGAAATTATTCCACTTTCTATGCGAAAAACCTCGAAAAAATAGATTCTTCGAGATGTTCATGCGAGTTCGCGTTTGCTTATAGAGGGCGCTAGTTTTTCCTCGAAATTAAAAAGTAAAATCAATCTGTAAAAAAAATTTTAATTTTGATGCTTCATCAATTAATTTCCAAACAAATTTGCATATTTAAAAATTCGATTGGTGAACTCGGTGCGTCCACTATTCAACTTATTTTCTTCGTCCTTTCTTCTACGCTGACTTTTTTTACAGCTTGTTTTGTTCTTAAAACGAGTCGAGTCGTGTATTTCACATTTTAAACGCTAGCTGACTTTATGGAGCGAATCTTTTCACCAACGAATGTCTATTTAGATAAACATGTTAAACATCGAATTAAAACATTTGTGATATGGTCAATAAGCAACAACGACAAATACTGATGGACTCATTTTCATATGATTAATTCCTAGCTATTTATCGTTTTCAAACAAAAAATGAGTGACGACGACGAACAGCAGCAGCGTCAACATTTCACGTAAGATCATTCACTCGAAGTCATACTCGTATTTCAACGATTTGTTTTAGTAATTCACACGATGGTGAACATCGACGACGTTTGTTAGAGATTAAAAATGAACTACAGACACTAATGCGTCAAAAAGTATGACAATGCATAAATGCACGAGCGAATGAGAATTTGCGTTTGTTTTCAGAAAAAATACGATGAAGAAAAACTCAAACAAGATGCTGATTTCCTACAAAGTGAAATCATCGAATTACGCAAGTCGATAGCTGATATCAACGACGAAATCAACCATCAAATCAAAATTGGAAAGAAACTGGTAAGTATGCCTGTTGTCTCTTTTACCTAATTTACCATATAATCGAGAGGAAAAAGGTTATGCCGTGTCGGAAAACATTACATCAATGATATGTACTTGTCAGTGTTAATTGAGTTTTAACGCTGAAATAACATCTGATGTTTTTCTGTTTTGATAACGATAGATAGCGATCTTTATGTTTTAGCGTGTTCAAATGACTAATCTTCGATCGCGGTCTGGGGTTCGATATACGAATCGAGCAGTTGCACTACGTGATAAACGGTAAGTACGATCATTTTTGTTGTTGTGTATGCTATTTATTTTTCATTTAGACGATATGAGGCAGAATTGAAGAAAGAAAATAAAACAGAAGAATATCGTGAATTGGCGCGCAGAGAGATCCGTGCGATCGATGCTGCATTACCTATTCTCAAGTAAGTGTTTGAATTGTAAGAAAGATTCGCAACTCATTCAATATTGTAGAGAAGAAGATGAATACAAAGTACGGTTAACAGAAGCAGAAGATGCACAACAAGCCGCAACGACAAGAAGAAAGGTTGATACGATTATTTCGAAAGATAATCATCGAATCCGTTTGATTTTAGAAACTTGAGGAAAATTTTAATAAAAATCTACGCAGACAAACAGAAATCAAACAGCTACTTAGTGAGAATGCCGAAAAACTACCTGAAATCGAAGCCAGTGAGTATAGGAGTAATTTGAGAACAATTCAATCTCATACTTTTCTTTTAGCTATCGAAAGTCTACGGAGCGAGCGAGAACGTCTACTCTCTGCCAATTCCGAGGCATCAACGAATCGCAGGAAAACCCGTCGTCGTTTATCAACTCTTCAGCAAAGAAACGTCGATTCACCATCAACTGATCCTCATACTCCTATCCAAACATCTATATCTCTCGAAGAAGCTTGGTAATTCACTCCATTCATTCTTTCTCTCTCTTCTTCTTTACTTATTCGTTCTTTTCAGTTTGGAACATGAAAAACAACAAAATGAAGATCAACTCAACAAAGTCAACACATTGATAAATTACTTTCGAGAAAAACTCAACGAGCATGGTCTTGCCAGTGAAGTCATATGTACGACACCATGTTCTGAGTTGACTTCACCTCTCTATCCTCCTATAACTCCTATGGAAGAACAATCTATTCTTTCATCGTACATGGAAGAACGCGGTTGTGATAATGCCGTTCTCTTGAAAACAGTGACGCATGAACCACCCACGGCAATTGCGATGAAACTACCTCGAAATTTTGCGACACTAAACTTCAATTCGCCAACTACAAATGAGATCATTCATTCACCTTATTACGATGGTAACGAAATTGAATATAAGAAAGAATTATCATCCGATATCATGAATAAATATGGTGGACAACCGAAAAAAAACAAACAACAGTCGTCTATAACCGGAAAGAAACACAAGAAGAACAAAAAAGTGAATATAAGACACTTTTCTTGAATCAGTTTTCTATTCTTTTGTTGTAGAACTTTGCCATTACACATAATCCTCAAATGATAGCGCTGTACAATAACATTCGAAGTTCAAGTGGTAGTTCTGATACTCTTCCATCCATGCCTATGTACGAATACGAACTGTACTCGGCTTTACAAGCTCTAGAATTTTTCAAACAAAGTCTGGAATCGTATTCCAGCGAATTATCCCGATACTACATTAAACCGACGATTGAAGACGAACAACAAAATAAATTCGAGTCCGGCGGCGATGATGATATTCCTGATTCTGCGTTGGATACTTATTCCGATAACTCCTCGTTGTTAGAATCCATTCAAGATACTGTCTTGCCTCAGCCCCAAAAAGGCAATCGTCTCGAAGGACGTCTCTCAATTTCATCTGATGATAAGAAGACATTGATCTCCTCGTCATCGAATAAAGATGAGTATGAAGAGAGCAATAATCATTGTGAAACGACGCATAAACCTAATGGTCAAATCGATCGTCAAATTTCTGACGAAGGTTATCGTTCAGTGAGACATGAACAACAACCACAAGTAATTAAAACGACTAGTAATCCTAATTCCCCATTGTTAACTAGATCGGAAAGTTTTAATTGTGCGGAAAAAGTTGGCCAATGGTTATCAAACACAATATCGACTTCCTCGGTACCAATGGCGCTCAACTATTATATTGATTTTCAAGTAAATCATTGCTTTGATCGAACGGATTGAAAAAAACGAGTTCTTTTCTCTTCAATTTCAGTCAACTGATAATGAAAACGATGGACGAAGTCGGAGTGAAACGACGACAATCTCGGTACCCCAATGATTGATGAAACTAAGACCGTCGGTACCAGACACAGTGATTTGGTTTTGTTTTTCTTCTCTATGCTCGCATTTCTTGCCAGCTTGTGACTCTTTTTCTTCTCTTTATTTTCATAATGTTCACTGCACGCGTACACAATTGACTTGGAAATCATGACTTCTACTTTTCTTATTCTCTTTTCTCTCTCTCTCTCTCTCTCTTGTTTCGGATCGAGAAATATCAACTGTTTTGTTGTTGTTGTTGCTGTTGTTTATGATCATACCTGTGATTGCTGATGATTTTCTTTTCTCTTTGCCTGCTAGAATTAGATTTTGTTTTTTTCGGGGCTCGATGTATTTACTCTTACACATGTTCAATGATGATTTTTCTTTCTTCTTCTTTTTCCTCTGTTCAGTGAGATTCTTTGTATATTGATTAAAACAAGCAAATCTATCAATAATTATTTTTAAATCATCTCTTTTCGAAAGCGGATTCGACCGAGTTTGCCGGTTCAATCAGTTGCTGCTTTAGCATCGAAAGAGCAACACATTTATTGAATAACATCAAACAAAACAATGTTTATCTTGTGAACTTCTTCTTCTCTTTTTCATTGCTCAAGTTCTTGAAGATCTTTATCTTTCGTTCTTGTTTTGGCCGAACGAATCCATTCTTCGACTTTGATTTTGAGCCTTTTTTACTTTGATAAACACCTAGTGAACAGAAATCAGATTGAATGAACCGAAATGTCAATAACACTCGTCTTACCGATATCAACAACCGGTGGAACATGAAAGCCGAAACTGTACGCAACTTTGACCAAGTCTAGTTTCTCCACATCATAGACATTCTTCATACTATGACTGGCATATGCTCGGACGTATGCTTTGTATGCTTCCTTAGCACTGAGATGAAGAAAGTAGTTCTTCTCAATCAATTTTTCCAACTAGAATTACAACGAATGATGAGAACGAAAAGACAAAATGAAAGGAACGAACTTGAGGTTGAATATCGGCGATCTTATTCCATGCAAATTCAAATTCGCTCAAAGTTACACGAGCTTGTTTGAGATAAAGAAGAAAGCCGAGTTCTTGAGGTGTTAGAATAAGTAACGCATGACCGTTGGCACCAGCACGTGCTGTTCGGCCAACACGATGAATGTATTCCTGAAGAAATTCAATAGATGAACTAATGCCATATCGTCCGAAGATCTACGAACTTTTGGATCATCGGGAGGATCGAATTGCACGATCCAGTCAACCGCTGGAATATCCAAGCCACGTGCTGCGACATCGGTACATAGCAAAATTCCCGTTTCAGCGTTACAGAACTCGAAAAATGTATGTGTTCGTTTGGCTTGTTTTTGTTTTCCCTATCAAATCGAAGAATAATTCAAAAAGTCCTTTTTCCATCTGTTTCATCTTACGTGAATGCTTAGAACAGGTATGTCGATGTAGTTCAATAATTCATTGTAGTATTTTACTGCCATACATGATGAGAAGAAGACCATCATTTTTTTCTTTTGGTTCTTTTTCAAAAAGGTGAATAAGAGTAGAAATCGTTTCTCTTGCGGAACGACCACATAACCCTACAAAATAGCAGCAGATTGTAGAAAACTGTTAAAACGAGACTGATGCACACGTACTTGTTCGAGTCCTTCAACAGTGGCCTGGTCACTTGTATCATCCACACCTACATATAACGGTTCTTTTTTCAGCGAAATTTTTGCTAAATCTTCAGTTCGGCGAGTTTGTGTAGCCGAAAACAACATCGTTTGTCGGCGTTCTAAATACAGTCAAAGATGAAAACTTTCCGCGCAACTTATTTCTCGAAACTTTACTTGGTAATAGTTGAATAATTTGTTTCATTTCTTCCTCGAAACCGATGTCTAAAATTCGATCAGCTTCATCAATAACTAAGCATTGTAAGTTTTTATACATAAAATCTTTAGTATTCTATGCGAAAACAAAAAATATCCAATGAATTATTTCGATCTTTTAATGAAAAACTTACTTGAAGATGATCGAGTAAACGACCCGGTGTTGCTACGACGATGTTCACACCTTTAGTAAGTCGTTTGACTTCATCTTGTCGTCCGGTTCCACCCATAATTAATCCATACGTATGATGGTGATGAGCTAATAATTCTTTCAACACGGAGTAGGTCTGCATAGCTAATTCACGTGTTGGTGAAATGATGATTGCACCAGTACCATTTCGAGGCATGAATTTTAGCTTATACATCAATTCGACCACGGGAATGAGAAAAGCTAATGTTTTACCCGAGCCTGTCTTAGCAGACGCCAGTAAATCTCTGCAAACGATAATGAATGGGAGTTTGAAAAGATAAAGAAGATACTCACCGTCCTTCAAGCAATGGTCCGATGGATTTTGCTTGAATTTCTGTCATTGTGGTTAATTTCATTTCCTGAATTGCTTTAATAGTTAAATCCGAAACACCACGTTCGCTCAACGAGTCGAAACTAACGGATGTCAAATGTCCACCTGACGGGATATAAGCACCTATGATATGAGAGTATAGATTAAAAAGTACACGAAGAAAAGAGAGGATTGTTTACCAGTTGTTTCGACTTTTTCTTCCTGATATTCAGTTTCTGATTTACTTTCACCTTCATCTTCATCTTTTTGTTCCTCTAATTTTCGTTTCTTCGCCTGTTTCTTACTTGCTGTAGGTGTTTCGCCTCCATTTTCCAACTTTCGTTTTTTCTTCTTCAATTTATCTTCTAAAAACAAGCCGAAATTTTCATTTGTTCATCAACTACATAGCACTACAGAACATACTTTTCTTTTTTTCGGGTACTTCGACCAAATTATCCATTTCATTGTCGCTGTCAGATGCCATGATAGAAACAAACTAGAAATCTACAAAAAAATCAGTTAATTCTATCTTCTCGAAGAAATAAACTTTACTCAAATGAAACGAACAAGTAAATTACTTACTATTTTATTTGTAAACGCATTCGACCAATCAGAAGTAATATAAAAATTAGCGACATCTATTTGATGTTAAATTACCAACTGATTTCTGCTGATATTTTCAAGAATTCATCGAATTTTTCGAAGAAATTGTCTTCGGACAGATCGCTATGTTCGTTATGCACGAGTTACTATGGTGATTAATCGCGAAATGGTGTTGATCACTCGATAACATACGCATTGAAGTAGTTGTTATTGTATTTCGGAATAGAATTACAAGTTAAATGGGTCCGAAAAAGAAAGGGAAAGGTAAAAAAAAGGGTGAAGGCAAAAAGAAGAAAGCAGCCGCCGAAGCTGCCAACACTGAGCCCATTATCCCACTTGAGGAGAATACGAAACAGTTCTATCTAATTCAAATTCAAAGTCTTCGCAAGAAAGTCGATGAGTAAGAAAATCTTTTTCATTTCATTTCAATATTGATCATTTCTTTTTCAAATGTAGGTTACAAGCAGAATGCGATCAATATCTAGCATCCCAACGTGACAACAATGATCGTTTAGCAACATTGAAGGAAATTCATGTTGGTTCGCGTGCGTTTCTCGGTCGTCAAATGGACGAGATTAACTTGGAAATCAACCATTTAAATCGCCAATTGAAAGAATTGAACGACTTAAAAGAAGTGGAACGAAATGAATTTCAAAAGCAAATCTATGAACTACGCACGCGAGATTTACAGGAGACACGAGAGAAATATGAAAGTGAAAATCACATGTTACGATCGAAATTGAATTCGTTAGATGAACTAAAGATGAAAAAAGAAAGTTTATTCAACGAAATTAGACAATTAGACGAGCAATTGGAACAGCAAGAACATGATCAGCAAGAAGAACTGTACTACAAAGAAAAAGAATCTATTCTGGCCAAAGACAAGTAAAGCCGAGAGATGATGAAACTGGGCAAACGATATCCCTTTGTTTTAGATTACGCAAGGAAATGGTCGCACGGGTCAACGATCTGTCCGCGGAGTTTCGTCGGGTCTCGAAAATGCAAGTTGTGCAAACAACTCGACAGATTATTCTCGAAAACGTCCGATTAAATAATCAAATGGCTATTATTGAAGCAGATTATAATAATGTGGAGATTCAGAACGGAAAAATACGTGAACAAGTAAGCAATTTCTCGGAGTCCTTCTATTCTCATTCGATACCTTCGGTAGAAAAAGAGTAAATCATTAGAATACAGCTTGCTCGATGAGCGAGAACGTATGATGGCACGAAAAAACCGTAAAACTTATCAATTAATCGAAAAATTAACAGAAGAATGTACAGCACATGAACAGTTCATTGGTACTCTTGAAGAAAAGATCGCCTCGTTTGATTACACACAAGAACTTATCGATCAACTGGAAGAAGTTAGTGCTGATACTGAGTAAGTACTATTTTCGATATTCGCTTGCCATGTAATCACACGTTCGTCTGTAGAAAACGTCGTGATCAAGTCTGTGAAGAGAATGAATTATTACGACGAACGATTAGTCAACGAAAAGAAGTTCTTGATAAATGTGAGCATGATATGGATAAAGCCGAATTTACCATTGCTAAGACAATTGCAGCATTGGAAGATGTTTTGCAAGTAAGTGTTCGTATTCAGATTTCTTTTTCTTTAGTTTGATTGGCTTTTTTTTCTGTACAAGGATACGACCGATTCGCGTCGAACGATCGATACTCGTCTATGTGCGTTTGAAAACATCTTTCGATTGCTCGATACTGCTACGCAACTGGGTATAGGACCAAAATTGAATGAGTTAGCTGTTAATGGCGAAGCTGATCTTGTAGCAACATCAATCGACGGTAGTCGATTACCTTCAGCATCACAACAGTTAGGTTCTCTGAAAAAAGTTAAAACAAAATCCGTCGCTACACAAACAAATATCTCCAATCGAGTACGTTCAGTCGTATTGAAGGTCAACAACCTCGGAGTTCATATTTGTCTTTCTAGAATCCTGTTCCGTATCATATTCAAGATGATTTGACATCGTATCGACCAAGATCATTAAAAAAACGTCCACCATCTTTAGTTACTACATAAGTTCTTGTGCAATACCATTCTTTTGCTTTATTTTTCTTTTGACTAATAAATATTTCTACTTCATCGTTTTAATCTAAGGAAAATGCAACTTATGTAGACTTTATTTTAGATACTGAACAATGCCTGGCAAAAAAGGTAAAGACAAAGGTAAAGGAAAGAAGAAGAAAGCACCAGCCGTTCCGGAATACGTTCCCGAACCGAAGTTAAGTGAAAATGACAAGCGATTTTATACGAAACAAATCGAATTATTGGAACGACAATATGAACGGTAAATTTTTCATTTCGAAGAAGATCAAATTCTATTTTCATCCGTCACTTTCGTCTTCTAGTTATCAACAACGATGTGATGAATTGAGACTTCGTCAACAAACAGAATTGGATCAAGTGAAAACATTAGAACAAGATTTCGAAATGCTTAAATACGCGAAGAAACAAGTTGAACTCAAAGAAGAAGAAATCGCCGATTTGAAAGATCGCCTTGTCGGACTGGGACAAGCGAAAGAACTGGAGAAAGATCTTTTACAGAAACAATTAAACGATCTGAAGAATGAAATCAACGATTTACGCGAACGTTTCGAAGTGGAAAATGGCGAATTAAGTCTGTATCACTTCTTCATCTAAGCATCTCACTTGACCATCATTCTTTCTCAGGAAATCAAGTAGCCGATTTGGAAATGTTTCGAGCGAAGCAGGATAGTTACTTAGCACGTCGACAACAACAAAAGGACACGTTTAAATTCAAAGAAGAAGATCATGTACGGAAATTAGAATGTATCGTAACAAAAGATCAAGTCGATCGTGACCGGTAAGAGCCTCACGATGAAATGATTTGTGAGTTTTTCTGGGTAAACTAGAATGAAACGAGATATGATTCAAAAAATGAATCATGTTGCTGCGGAATTTCGTCGTGCATCAAATAAACAAATGGCGGAAACAACCAAACGAACAATCAATGAAAATGCTCGAATCGAACAAACAGTCGATGACATGGAAGACATTACTACACGTGTAGAACATGAAAATGAGCATATGTTCGATGCAGTAAGGAAACTTTCTCCAACGGAATCCGTTCATCTTCTTGTGCTTCGAAGAATAATCAACTGGAAATGAGTATTCAAGCATTGAGAAACAAAGAACAACAACATGCGTTTCAACACGCGACATCCGCTGAAGTAAGGAGATGATTGCTGTTGAACGATAATGTTTTATTCATCACATTAAGATCATTCAATTGCTGGCGAATATGTTGACAAATCAAGAGCAGATTATTGTACAGAAACAAGAACAAGTCGCACAAATGGACGTCGCCGAACGACGTATGAGCGAGTTACGCTCATTAATATTTAATAACGAGTAATTGATTTGAACATATCAACATGATTTCTTTGAAAAAAGTCGTTTCTAGAAAAACCTATCCGAACCTTCGACAGGAAAATAAGTCATACACTGAACAATTGAACGAGTTAGATGAAGCGATCGCCAAGAAAAGCAAAGACAAAACCATCATTCTCGCTAATCTACGACGCGCAGTTGGATTGATTACCGAATCACTTAAGGTTAGTGTTTCTTTTACAGAACATGACATAAAGTTCAATGTAAGATTGATCTTTACGCGATCGATTTATTTGTTTAGATCAGAGACGAAGAAAAAGCATCAGGTTTCACCGCTGATCGATCAAGAGACTTGATTGCTTCTGAAAAGACGGGTAATCTTTTCAAACAACTACACGAGATTCTGACTAGCACGGAAAATGAAGTCGACTTGGAAGAAATTGAACCACAGTCAAGTGACCTCGAGAATAAACGCACGACCTTGAACGTTCGGTAATGAAATCGATGAAGGTCTTTCGCTAAATGAATCCGAGTGTTGTTTGTAGAGAGGCAGGTAAACGTCGTGATAATCTTTCGTACGCCCTCGGTGATATCGGTTTTGTTCCACGCCGTGATGCCATTTTATTAACAAATTTCGATAAAATGCAACAACAAGTTTATCCCGCTCGTGAGCGTGATATCGTTCGACGTACAGCAAAGAAATCTGTTGCCGTTCAAACACCTGGCCTTGCCCGAGTATGACAATCTGAAAGTTTTCACTTTAGCTTTCGATTTTTCTTCTTCTAGGGTTCGTTTGGTTCTGATGTTTCACTCAATCATCTCGGTCCGTACGATAACAATGTTCATGACTCAACACGCGAACAATTCAATCGACCGACATTTGGGCCTGTAGCGCGTGTTCCTCATGTAATATCAGCGACGAATCGTGTTGTGCAATATCTTTTTTGATATGAGAACAAAATAAATAACATGCAGACTTAGAGAACTAAAATGACAAACGAAAGAACAAGACAAGGTTCATATATAGATATGAATATAGAAGTGTCAATGTTGATCATTAAAATTCAAGGTCCTTGTCTGATAGTTACATTTGAAAAAGAAAAGAACGAAGACATTTACAAAAATCAATAAACTAATCTTTGTATTTCTTCAAAGAGAAAAACATACACACACAGAATTAGATTTCAGCATTTCCGTAGAAACGTTTTTGTTGGTGGCGATCGAAGCTTTGTTGTTCACTCATTCTCATTGACATTTCTTGAACTTCGCGTGTTTCGTGTAAACAACGATCGAGTCGAGTATTCAGCTCATCATCATCATCGTCACGTTCGTAGAATTTCACGGTAAAATTTGATGTACCACTTTCATCGTTCAAGCCGCGATGTTGATTATTCCCAATGGCGACATGTTCTTGATTTGAGTTGCGTTTATATTCAACTGTACGGACATTTTTCGAATTGTCATTAGGAATGTATTCAAATGGTAAATGTTGAACTCCTCGAGCGGATTCACTCAAAATTCGTTGATGACGTGGTAGAATAGTTGAATATTCGACAGATGAACTTGGCAGGACATCGGAATCAGGAATATGACGGACAGTTAAACGTTCACGGAAACGTTCTTTAAGCTTCTCTCGATAGGGTCGTGGTTCGGCACGACGTTCAATGGAGTTTTCTAATCGCCAATTGTCATCTTCATCATAGTAGTGCTGGTATTCTTGAGTAAAAACATGTCGTTTACATAAATCACAATCAGAAAATGATTTTGGTAGTGAACGACGACGATGTTGGTTAGCATTGTAATTCCTTCCCGAATAATCAATTGTACCGTATGGACGATAACTCTGATTTACTATAGGAGTTCGACTTCGATACGGCATTGAAGAATGATGGCTGTAATCGGTTCCATACATTGAATTGTGATGCAGATCGAAATCACTTCGACTTTCTCGGTGGTATCGTTCCATGTTTTGTGCAAACGAAGAATTATAAATTGGATGGTTTGTGCTTCGGGTGAGCGTTGAACGACGATATGTACTCATACCAGTGCCACTTGGCGGTGGTAAAGGTGTGACGAGTTGAGCACGACTTGATGTGCCACTTGTATCTAAATAACGTGATGTTGTCGTTTTGCTATTGAGGCTATCCAACGCTTTTCGTTGTTTACGACGACGTCTGAAATGGCAATACTTATTTGATTAGCATCTGTAATGTGAATAGTGACTTACTGAAATAGAAGAGCTAAGACGATGACAAGTAGTAAAAGTAGAACATAAGCTAGAATTATTGGAATCACAATCCACATATCTAAAACAAACAGATGAGCACGTTGAGTGTAAGAAATGTCTCTATTCACTTGTTATTCGTGTCCATCCTACTGACTGGATTCGTGTGCGGTTCGTTGCGGCTGTCATCGGTGGTATGGACGTTGTTGTTGGTATTGAAGGAATGGGTGGACATGGAACAACATATGAACAATAAGGAATGGTATAGAAGTAGAGTAGGTAATTGGTTAGATGTGGTGAATAGATTTGTCCGGGAAGAAAGGTAATCTTCAGTTCATAGGTCGACTCAGCTACTCGGTGTGCTGTTTGATTTCCGTTCAAGGTGATATTCAGAATGGTAATACCTTCCGATGAAACACTTTCAATTCTAATCTCATCAAAATTCAGTTGTCCTGTCACGAAGTAGAGCACTGTTTTATGATAGGGTCGAGCATAAATCGTTGTAAAACAGGGTATACGAAGCGTTTGCAAAGGATAGTTCCGCGAGTAAATAAAACCGTAGTCGTTGGTCAAAGAACCATTCTTACAGATGTCACATTTCGTTTGAATATCGCGCAAATTCCATGTCGGCACACAATGATAGCCAATTTCAGTGACGGCTTTGAATGCACATGAACTTCGATCACGTATTTGATATGCTGGAATGTCTGGACAGTAAGATTTACCATTGCATAATGTATTTATATAACGTAGATCGTAATTGTGGCACGCGTTGGATGGATCTGGTTGACATGAGCTTGCATCGAGACCAAGACGAGACGGAAATGAGCGAATATAGTCAATTGAGATGAGAAATGGTGGAAGATTCGATTGCCATGTTTGATACTCGGATGCTTGTGGACATTCGATTGAGATCAGTGAATTGGTTGGGCAAATTGTTACTGTTCGATTGGGCAATTCATATTCGAAATCTACATACGAAGAGTTAGGACAATGAGCCGTATGAAACAACAGAACTTACATTTGGCATTGACAACATTGCATAAAGCAATGCTCAATATGAAGAAGAGATATCGAGCCATAAGCTTTGATCATCTCATATTTGCTCTTTCCGTTCTACTCTTGACTAACTGACCATCACTTGTTGAGTGATTGAATTGTTATGTGTCAATGTCTTAACGTGCGTGTTCAATGCAAAATTATGTCAAATGAATGATCCTTCCGATGACGAGAAGAGATAAAGACAAAGAAGAAAGAGAGAAAAGGGCGCAGAGATGATGCTACTCATCGTGCGCCTACGATATGTGTATGCACTCACACCTCCTCATACATCTGTGCACACGTTTTCTCTTCTTATTACATCGACATTTTCAATGAGAGAAGAGAGAGAGAGCGCAAGGGAGAAACTACTACTAATCCTTTTCGACGAGATCAACTGTATCGGTAACAAAATAACGACGCTAAACCACTGATAGTTATTGTCCTATGAATAACTAAGGCACAAAAGCGAAAAGATATGTACAGGTTAATTGACGTTGTCATTGACATGTTAACAATTACTGCTGTAACAAACACGTTGTAGAGAAGAATTTCAACAATGAATGAGTCATGGTTTTTAGTTGAGTTTTGCGTTGTGACACGTGACCATCGATCAAAGAGTATTAATCATTGCTTCCAGACGATCATTTTCATCTTTCAAGTACCAAACGAACTATTACCTGATCTTCATAAAAAAAATAGACCACATATGACTTGTTATCGAAAGAGAAGAAAAAAGCATTGGTGTACATCGTAAACTTGCTTAACGGAGCACATGTTATGTCGGGTACTTTCTTGTTTCGCGGAACGACGAACGAAAGGAATGAGATTGTTTTTTTCCCCTTCTCTTTTTTCTTTCTCAATATTTTATCTGTTTTGTTTAGTCTCAGTTTTGTTGCCACGCGTCGATCGTCGACTAGTAATGCGATTGACATTTTTTTGCGCATATAGAAAGAACATTGAAACAACATCTCGATGGGTTAAGTTTTACATGACCAGCTTTATCTGGTGGATGTGAAAGTGCACATGCGGTGTTTTGCATCGTACTCATACTACTTCCGAATGAGTCATCAGTCAAGAAGTACGGTGCAATTTTTTGCTCGTAATTTTAGATTTTATAAATATTTTTGCGTAAAATACGAGTCAATAGTTAACAAGTTATGAGTAAAGATACCCCAGTACACTCTAATCAAGGTGAGTTTGCCACATCTGAACGAGTGTATGGATTGAATGCGTCACCAGTGTTGTCAACAGCTTATGTTCAATCGCGTAAGAATTGCAAACGTAATGAATGTGTTTACTTTCTTCTGGTTTAGAAGGTTCAGTTAAACGACAGAAAACTGAAGGGAAACATATGTTAAAGGAAGTAATCATCACCCAACAAATTCGTGCTCGATCATTTTCCCACTGGAATCAAGACCTGAAATTCCTTGCTCGACTCATTCAAGCTGGGCTGTTCAGTTGCGATAACAATGATCGTGTTATCTGCATTTACTGCAATCTGTTTTGTGAAAGATGGAATGTCGAATTGGATGATCCGTGCAAGGTTCACCGAATTCGTTCTCCAACGTGTCCTTTTGTGAGGTCTGTGCTCCATATTCAATCTTTTTCGCATCATATGGGTTACATTGATCGTGAAAAGCGTCTCGTATCGTTTGCCAATTGGTCTCATGCAAACTCGGTATTAAAGGAGGCGTTTGTTGATGCGGGATTCTTTCTTAATGGACTCGAGGTTACGTGTTTTCATTGCAATGGCTCATTGGAACAATGCAATGTTAAAGAGCATCCGATGGCTGAACACATTCGATCGTTTCCGTACTGTAAGTACGCTCGACAATTGTGTGGTGAAGCGTTGTATCAAAAACTTCGTCGGTCATTCATTTCCCAATCAAGTTTGCTCCATTTTAATTTCTTGTGACTAAAATGAAATGATTCATTTAGAAAATGCGCAAGCTCGGCCTGATGCGCAGAAGTTGGACGAACAAACAATCATACAATCAGTCGCTGATAGTCTCGATCTAATCAAATCTCAAAATTCGTCTCTACAGAATATATTTCAAGATGCTACCATTAGACATTGCTTTGAAAATCAATGGCGCTTGAAACGTACTGAACAATTTTTTAAGTAAATATTTATTTATTTCCGATTTTTAGAAGATACTTTCGTTAATAATGGAGACCTATACTCCGCATGCATAATTCATGAAAAACAAGCACAATTGCTTGAAAAAGGAGATGTTTGTGTTATTCCAAATGAAATCATGCAAATAATCTATGGCAGTCTACGAATTTCAAACAACGATGAGTCAACACTGTCGGATAAAGGTAAGACAAGATCATCGAACAAAATCATTGACTGATCCGACGGACAAATTATATCATGTAGACATTCAACGTGAGCTTGAGCATTATCAACAGACTCGTCGAGGTAAGACTGATACTTGCTAACGAAACGAAAATAATCTTCGATGTTTTCGTTTGTAGCTATGGGTCAGACTTTTGTCGAAGACGAAGCAATAACTATTCAGCGAGAAACATCATTGCAAGCTCTGCAAGATTCTACTGTATCTCGATCTCGTCTCACCAAATCAGGTTTGATACCGTACAACGATCATTATGAATGCCCACATTGTCACATGCGATATCGACCATGGGACGTCGATGATGATCCATTATCGATTCATAAACATTTGTCGCCTTTATGCCTATTCGTCCTCTCAACAAATCCATTTCCTCCAAGTTCGATACCAATGATCACAACCGAACAGCTCTTTACTGATGAAGACATCGAAAATGCAGATCGACAACCGTACAGAGGTCTCGTCAAAGCGCAACACAAACCGATGTCCCAAATTTCTGACAGAATCAAGTCTTTCGAAAACTCACCGGCTTATGCATCGAACGTCGCCAATGATTTGGCCTACTCTGGTATTTACTTGAATAAAAACAAGAAATTCCTTCATTGTTTTCACTGCAAATTACACTTGCGCCTTGGCATTCCAAATGCTAGCTCTGTCGAAAGCCTTAAAAAAAATCATTCAGTCATAGACTGTCGATATATTCTACAAATGAACGACAACGGTCTGCGAAATCCGAAAGGCCAAGGTAAGTATTCTTCAATTTGCGCTGAAACCAAAGACGTTTCCTTTATCGTTTTAGCATCCGATACATGTCCGTGGTGTATAGATGAAAACAAACAATTAATGGCATTACCGTGTCGTCATTTTTGTTTATGCAAGAAATGCGGCCAAACCAAAAGATTTTGCCCAACATGCGAAACAGAAGTTGACAAGTTTGTCATCATATACAGCTGACAATGTGATTGTTGCCGAGACCGCAATTAGTGGGACGATAGTTCCTACTTATGTCCGATGACGGACGCTTCGCTGAAGTAAAATTCCTCAAATGGAAACAATTTAATCAAGATTGGCTAACAGTCAACGATCGTTACTAACTCATCATCAAGTTACATAGAGCTTACAACTAATATCTGTTTTTTTTCTTCGAAAGGCAGGCAGTTAATGTTTGTACTAGTCCTATATTTAACATTTTCATTTTATGATCTGTCATGTGCTGAGAATTCTAAAAAATGTACATTTAATCGAACACCCTTAATAACCCCTTTACAGCTTTTCCACATACTGGACAAGTTTGAACGCCATGTCCACATGGTACACAAACAGAAAAATGACCGCAGGGTACAAGTGCAAGTGCTCGCGGTCGAAGAGAGCACACCACACATAGAGTAGCATTTGCAGATACTTGTGATTTGCTTGCTGGCTCGTTGCTCGCACTAGCTTGCGATGGTTGAGATTCGGTGTGGTTAGCATTAGATGTTGTACTTGAGGGTGTCTTATTACTGCCAGTCGATCCTTCCATAGTCGTACAACTGTGTCGGCGATCGAGTTCTGAAAGTAGAAAAGTAATAAGCAAATCAGTACGTATTCTCATGTTAGTATACGTGAATGGATGTGTTTATATATACATAAACATTGAATTCCCATTAAGGAAGTCTCAGTGCACTGATGTATGATGTCATTGCGAGGATTTTATTAGTAATGTGTGTGTGTGAATTGCATAACTAAACAACTGGGATAGTGAGGTGTTGTGGGAATCGTTTGTGATTCGACACGATCAGAGACAAAATCTGCAAGATTTTTTGTGTTCAACCGTACTAAAAGAATTTATTAGATGATGAGGTATCGATGAAATACTTCACCAAAAGTTATATGGTCTGAAAATCACATGTGTAAAAGATTTTCAAAGAAAAATGTGATATGTTCTGATACAAGAGTCCAGGAGTTACGATTTTCTATTAGATTCTCGTAAGATTTGATAGAAAATGTTTGATTCGGAAGTAGATTTCCGGTAGACTTAATCACCTAATCTAAAGTACCGATCGGGCCTGTTTTTTAGTAATGAATCCTCGTACAATGATCTAGATGGAAAAAGATCTCGAACACCATGACCTGTGATAAAGCATCTCCAGACATTATTGCGTAATTCAGGTTTATCGCTTCAATTAAAAGATAGAAAATGTGCTTCGTTTTTTATGTAACTCACAGCTTCATATATCTCGATGTTGGAATTTTCCAAGTGCAATGATAAATAAATATTGACGCAGGCAGACAATGTTTCGTTCATGGATTGGACCTATATGTACCAATCACAGACACAAAGTACGCTTTTTTCGAAAAATCTAACAATCGAGTCGACATTTCGTTACAGATCGTATGTGATTGTTCAAAAGTGTATACATAAGTGAGCCATCGATGTTTTACATGTATTAAGTTTAATTTCTGATATTGGAAACATATGAGATACTTAGTTCATCAAATGTTCGATGGAAAACTCGTGAGTTTAACTTTTTTTTAAACTTAAGATTTAGTTTATTCATCATCTAGATCAATCGTTGGTCTTACTACAGGAGAGCAAAGAACGAGTGATCTAAAAACCGAACAAAATCACCATAACAATATCTTTTGCTGAACAAAAGAAAACAAACAGTACTAGAAAAAAAAAACGAAAACAACAAGAAATTATTTTTCTTATGAAGATAATTTTGTAAGAATATCAAAAGCACCTGTACCACACCGAACCATACGTCCTGTAACTAAACGAGACGATGGCGATTTCATCTCTTCATGTTCACCTGAAACAAAATCAAACATTCGCATCCGTTGCATTACAGAATCTTCCAAACTCACCGTGTAACAAAGCTTCTCGTAAATAAGTTGTTGATGTTTCAAACGTGATCTTCTGTAACGGACTAGCATTTGTTCTCAAACCGAGACGATTACATGGCTTATAAACACCTTCATATGTCATATAATCAGCTAATAACGACAAATGACGATAGTCAACTTCGATACCATAAGCACCGAACACGCGATTGATTTCTCGAATCAATGTTCGATTTGCTGCTTCAATGCCAAAGATTTGCGCCATACGATGGATGTTATTCGTATAGATACGACGCAGATCGAAGACTTGGTAATACGTCATTAGTGCATTGATATTCTCACCTTCGGTAGATAGGATGTATTCCGGTGAAGCTGAATTATCTTTCGTTTTGCCACGATTTTCTTTGTTTTCGTTGATAAAACAATTCTGAATACCAACTATCGATGTGATTGTTGTTCGCGATGCTTCGTAACGAATAATAGATTCGAGATCGATACGAGGTTGAGTTGCAGAGAAGATCATCGTCAACCGACACCATAAATTATGATCAAGATCAGCTGTGTATTCATGAATATACTCCGCATGTTTGCAAACATTCTACAAAGAAGAGAATTAAAAGTTCTATTTTGAGAAAATCGAATACAACATACACCAAATCGTTCATTGTAAGTCGAATTTTCAAGAGAAGCACTTTTATCATGAAGTTTTCTCGCTTTTTTGCTCGGAGGTTCACCATCGTCATTATCATCGTCATGATTACCCGGTACTTCTTGCTCATCTTCATTTTTCATTTCTTCTTTGATCGTATCCAATGCTAAACAGAAGAGAGAGCTCATTGTACATGAAAACCAAACTATTTACCTTGTCCATCGTCAGCAGCATCGTCATCATCGATAAGATCTTCTTTGATTGTAATTTTCGATCCTTCGACTTGTTCATTATCATCTTGCATACGTTCTTCATCGTCACCACTTTCATTGTCTTTTCCTTCTTCGTCGTCATCATATTCCTGCTCGTCGTTTCTCTTCGCTTTTTCCTTGGCGACATTTGCTTCTCCATTGCCTTGTTCATCATCATCGTCATCGTCGTCATCATCGTTTTCCTTTTCTGCTGTTTCTTGACCATCCTCTTTTTCGTTTCCATCATTGATCGTCACCTTATCACGAATATGTGCCGATCTTAATAGTCCACTCGTGGTTAGTTCTTTTCGTTTCTTATTGATAGCGCGACATAAACGTGGAATGAAATACGTTTCGAAGGAGCGCATGATTTCTGCTAATTGTTTTCGACTGTATTTTTCATCGAATTGAAATTGAATTGTATAAGTACGTTTGTGATCGTTCAATTTTAATGTCAATTTTTCTTGAATACTTAAATCGGTTAACACCTGAGAAAATAATAAACGTGACCAACGACGTTGCAAACGTTTCGCTTTACGTAATGCTGATGAACTTTGAAGAATAGGTACTTCCATGGTTGGAGTTTTAACATTTATCGATGCAACCATGAGTAATTCTCGAAGACGAGGAACACCCAAAGTGACGTTCATATCACCACGACCAGCGAAGTGAAATGCTAAACACAGAGAACTTGCTTTTCTTGTCGTAAATCTAATCTCTACTTACTGTTCAATGTCATTTGCGTACTGGGTTCTCCTATCGATTGTGCCGCCAAAATTCCAACACTTTCACCTGGATCAATGCATGATTTTAGTGATTTAAAGTGCATCATTTTCTCAAATGCTTTCTTTTTCATTTTCGTTTCATCCAATTTACCATGTGCACTCATATAATTTCGAATTAGATCGTCTAACCGCTCAGTAATGGCACCCAGATTTGATGCTGGAAGGTAATTTTGCGTGACTGGTGAGTAGAATTTTACCACGCCGTGATTGTACTGTTCGCGTTTATCATTCGATAAATCTCTCCATGTTTGTACCATAATCGACCGTGCTTCATTGATATCTTTACTTTTCAACGAATTTGTCAATGTGTGTAAGTCGAAGAATCGTGAATAGTTGATAAATGGCGTCATACGGATTTTCGTTTCATCGCTTATCTTTAATCTTATCGCATCATTGAAACTGTTTTCATCATCAGCTAATTCGCGTGTTTTCTTTCGCCAAGCACGGATTTTCTTCAAATTTTTTATAATCGGCCGTTCTTTCGTCGAACCGCACATGTCAACAATACGTGAATATTCGTTTTCACGTAACACTGATGATTGATTCGCAACCAGAAATGGATAATATGCTTCTTTCAAATACGTACATTTATCCACAGCTAGACCATCTTCACCGTATTGAAATTGAACAACACTACCATCACTATCACGAACAGTTAAGTCATAATTAACAACTAAACCTTCCAAATGTTTCATTAAACAACGTTGTAGATAACCAGTACGAGCAGTTTTCACCGCAGTATCAATCAAACCCTAAGAATGCATGCATTGAGAAGAATTTCGATGACGGACAATGCTTTCTTACTTCACGGCCAGCCATACAGTGAAAGAAATATTCTTGTGGACGAATACCACTCAAGAAACTACCGTCGACGAAACCACCGGATCGAGGTGAATATTCATATGGACGAAATGATGGAAGTGTGCGACCACTCGGCATCATCGGTGGTCGTTTTCCTTCTAATTCTTGTTGACCAAGCAAACACGACATTTGCATAGCGTTGACAGACGAACCTTTGAAAAGAAAATTTTCAATTTCGTTAAAATTCGATGAATCTTGTCGTACCTTTGGCGCCAGATTGAATTAAGAATTGTAAATTATTATCAGGAAATTGTTTGAATAAATTCGACATGCATTGTTTTATGATTTGATTTTGAAATTCATCGATCGATGTTTTATAATTCATATCCATTTCTTTCGAAGTACGTTCATCGAATGTTTTTGAACAGAAAGCTTTGGCATATTCATTCATCAGTACTTCTTCGTCAGAATTTTCCGGTAAGGTAAACGTTTTCTGCAAGGCATTACGACCTGCTTGGGCTCGACAATCGTTAATAACGCGACGTCGATACGCGACACCAGGTGGAAGCAGAAGAACATCTTAAATGGAAGATAAGAGAATAAAGAATTATCCAGTATAAGATTACCTTCAATGCCAAGAGTAAATCCTCGATAATATTGAAGAAAAAGTGTGAATAATTTGGAAAACGCACTGACTAGATCAGCAGCACAACGTTTACCGTACAGTTCGTAGTAACAATGAACAACTGATGCTAATGTCGCACCACAATGAGCTTTATCAATTAAACCTGAGAGAAGTTGTCCCTGACGGATAATAACGTCGGTATCGGCCATTAAATCAATATTTGTTGCATTGGGTTTCGATGGCCATGACTTGAAATAGATGAAAGCTTTTTGGATTGAAGATTCAATGCGATAATCTTCTTACTTTCATAGAAAGCTTTGATTTGCTGTCAAGATTCAACGGTGATTCTTTTTCTGGTTGGATGTAGAGCAGAATAGTTGAGATAATCTACAAAATCTTCATTATGCAAAGAGCAAAACCTTTCCTAAACGACATTTACTTGTTTTCCAGTCCATAGCTGTTTCGGTTTGAGAATAGTTGGCGGTAATAAACGAATTTTCCGTCGAGAGTTCGATCCGATCGCATTATATACAAGTTGTTGATAGTCACCTCTGATAAATCGATATGACTCGATAAGAATCTAATTGAATGAACAAGTCAACATACTTTTCAAAAAAACGATCGCGCATCGTCAATGCTGTTCCGGCTACGACATGATCTTGAATAAGACCAGTTAATGGTGTGCCATCTTTACTCACAAGAAAATGTTGATATGTGATCACTAAACACACAGTATAAGATCAAATTAGTCGCTAAGTGTCACTCTCACTCAATTCAGCTGCTTCAGCTCGTGTTAATTCATTCTGAGGTAAATGAACGTTCATTTCATCACCATCAAAATCCGCATTATAAGACTTGCATTGAGCATAGTGTAGACGTAATGTTTTCTCACCAGGTAATACACGTGCCTAGAGACAAACTTCGATCGAATTAACGCAAACAGATTTTCACGTTTACCATGTGAGCTTGAATACTAGGTCGATGTAATGTCGGTTGTCGATTTGCAAGAACGTAATCGCCATTTCGAAGATGTCGGTAGACTTTTTTTGTGGACATCAATGTCGTTTGTCCGTGTTGCTTCTCCCGAGTTAATAAAAGTTTCGCTACAGCTGTTCGTTGAGATAAATTGTTTGGCAACAGACGACGAATCGTTCCATCTTCGAGTTCGACAAAGTTGGCGCTGAAAATTCATCTCTCGAGCTTTGTTCTCTAAAATTTCCGAACTCACCCTGGATGAACGTCAGGTCCGTTTAGAATCAATTGTCGTAGTTCATGAACATTATGTGGTGTGACCAATTCTGGATACGTCAATTTCTTCGCAAATACTTCCGGAATTCCTATTTCGTATGTAGCAATGAACGGATCAGGTGAAACAACCGATCGACCCGCATAATTCACACGTTTACCCATCATATGCATACGAAATAGACCTTCCTTCTTCTCGATCACCTGTCATATTTTCTTATATAGAAAGTTAGTCTTTGTACAAAAGAAAATCTTACTTGACGAATGCCTTTCGCCACTCGTCCAGCACTTCGATTATCCAACGAACTATCAAAGATCGAATTAATGGTAATTTGCATTTTTAACCAAAGATTATTCAATTTTTCTTCATTAGTTGACCCACGTAATGTATTGATTAACGACGAACGATTCTAAAAGTGAACAGTTCGTTGTTGTACTCAGACGAAGACTTTTCCCTTACATTATTCGATGCTGGCGCATCGGATGTTTGTTTATCTTTCAATAGGAGAAGTTCTTTGATTAACTGATTGTCTTGAATGATCGTTGAGTATCGAACTGTTTTCGGATTTTCAAATTTTTGATCATTGAACGAAAGAACCTTTAAAGAAATTAACCATTATTGAATTCTAATCATTATTCGACATACGGGACGAAATTTCGATGGAAGAACAGGTAGAACTTCGAAAAAGAATAAACTTATTGGATTATTATGCGTATTGGGTATCGATTGATGCGATGAGCGTAAAGTTGCAAGATACATCGATAAAACTTCTTTCTCATTCGCCCAAATTTTTTCCAAATGTTTTAGAACATCCAGTGGTGTCAGATACATTTGACTGGACATCATTTTCGTAACCTGTTCTTCTTCATTATCATCCACATTTTCTTCGTTTTCATCGAGCTTCTTCGATTGTCTAGAATTGACAGACAATGGTCGATCTTTTGTTCGAAGGAGAACGTTTACCTGACATTCGACATGCGCTGTTGATACGCTTTGATTTGTTTGTTTGAAACGCCTTGCGAATAGAATAATTTTGTATGTGAATCAGCTCGTAAGGATCGACTTGGTGTGTTACAATTCGGACAGAACTTTTCTAAAGAGAAAATCGAGAAATATTTCAGACGAATGAAATCGAGTCGTCGAACTTTTCGTTTTGAATGCTTTTGATTCGAAATCTTTGATCAGCTGTTGTCGAATTGCTAATAGATTTTTCGTCGTGGCTTCTACTTTTGTCGACGATGGAGGATTTAATTTCATATGTTCATTGATCTGTTCATAGAATGTATCGAGAGATTTCTTTTCTAAGATCCAAAGTTTATAAATCGAATGTAAACTGTCTATTTCACTAGCTTGGCCATGTTTTAGGTAGAGCATTTGCATACAAAATAGATATTTCTCGGCATTTGAGCATTGAATTGTATGACAATGAAGGCAACAACCACGTAGAACCTAAAAGTGACGTCATAAACTTGAAAACGAACAGTTCGATTGACATTTACATTCACAAGATTTCGAAAGAAGACAGGATTGTAGACAGGCAGGACCAGTTGGATGTGTCCCAAATGACCTGGACATGCAACGAAGCCTTGTCCACAAGTAAAGCAACGATCGTTCTTATCGAACGGACCTAGCGCTAGATCATATGGACCGCCTGAGACTGGCGCACCCAGTCGATCGATAGCTTGGGATGAAGTTAGTTCTTTGACACTTAAACGACGAATCTCTTCAGATGTGTAATTACAAAATTGAAGGCCACCGATGGTGGTGTCGGATGGATAATAGTTCAATGTATCCATCGTGTTCTAGTGTACGTTTTCAACAGAAAATGAAGTACAAATTCATGAAATGTTGTAAGCTCGAAATCAATCTTGTATTGGAATGGTTAATTGACGAGAACCGATGAGAAGCGACGATGAAATTTTGAAATATTAGAATGTTAAAAGACAAATTAATAGTGCCGTTTAGATCATTTCTTAATCAGTAAAAAAGAAAAAACGAGAATTTTGCTGTGTGTTATAGAGGTCGTTCGTTGTATAGCTTCTCCTTTTACAACGCCACACCTGCAAGTTCCTAAGAAAATGATGCGGATCTTTCAAATTGAATTAAGTGTTCATTTTTAATGTTAACCAAATTGATCATTCAAAAAAGAATCATCTGATTTTAGAGAATATTTTAGTATTTGAATGAATCTAACACTTACCGCCATCTAGAAGAAATTGTTCTTTGTTTGGTATTGATTGAGACAAAATAAAAATCTAATTCTCTAATAAAAAATCGTTGATTTCATCGTTTAATTCAAATCCTATCAAGCGAATTTGTTTCAAGAAGACTACCATTGGTTCATCGACATCGCCATTCTCACATTGAACTCACGTCAAATCAAGTTTATTCAATTTAGTTTTGTTTTGTTGTTGCCTTACTTTTTAAAAGTTAGATTCAACAAACATTATGACAACTCTACCACCAATTCAGCCACGTCCGATTCTGTGTAAAAATTCAACCACAAATCATACTCAATCATCGACATCATCATCATCATCTGTTTTTCTTATCCATGCATCTAATCAACCTTCACATGCAGTCAACACGAATTTTTATTCAACAAATACTGATTCAGCCAATCTTCATAATAATAATAATAATTCACCTCAAACTCCCTTGTCTGTTTCTACTCCATCAGCGCCGTTATCCTCCTACGAAGAATTTCTCAAACGTCTTAAAGAATTTCATCGATGCCGGCAGTACGTAACACGAAATCTAAGATGAATCAATTCTACACTTTCTCTTTTTCAGAACAACACTTCGTAGTTTACCGACAGTTGCTGGCCAAGTTGTTGATTTGCAAGCATTATACAACACTGTTCTTGCGTATGGTGGCTGGGAAAAAGTCAACGATCGGCAACTATGGTCATCGGTTGCGAATCATTTTGGCATCGATTCCACGTGTCTGAATGGAACGCAAGCTTTAAAGAATATTTACATTCGGTAAGAGAACGTCATTTCGAGGCCTGATAGAAGCCAAGAGTACTTAACCTTCAGAGAAGAGAATTCTTTGTATATTTAAAATTTTCTATCAGACTGAAGATGTTCGATCGTCATTTAGATATTTATACGCATTCGAAAAAATCAGTAATGGTGAAAATATCGATTCACGTGATGATGATGATGAAGATTCCAAACGACGTAATGTTTCTCATATGCAACGTGTGCCACAATCATACAATCATTCTCAACATAATGTTTCCGGTAGGTTTTTCGCCCTCCTAAAACTCAATCTTCATTCTCTCCTATAGACTCTCTACGTGTTCAATATGGTCTTTTTCGTGATTTTGTTCGTCGAAGTGAATATGAAAAACTAGAATTAGCTTTACTCTGTGGTTTTCCAAATGAACTCACATTTTCCTTAAACACACTATTGTTATTATCGTCAACGACGAATAGTACGACAGCGTTTCATCTCTGCAAATGTCCACGTCTATTAGATATTCTCTTTCGTCATATTGGTTTGTTCTCCTCGACTGACACATCCGCCAGTGATCATTCATTGCAACTTTTCTATGAGAATATCTGGTCGAAGCACTTAGACTATCGTATGGAGCAATTCTGGATCGATTACTGTCCATCGAATATCGTGAAGCAAGTTTTAAATATCGATACAAATAATTCTTCAAAGTATTTATACAATAATTTCAATTCGAATTCCAATGAGTATCAACAACAGCAAGAACTTCGTATCGAACAAATTCTCATGATTATACGAAATCTCTCTTTCGATCAGGCCAACGCTCTTTACTTAGTGGAAACTTTACGCACCTCGCCATCAATAACTTACATATTTCTATTGTTAATTTCGTATTGTGACACGAAACTTGAGTTACAGAAATATGCGTTCGATATCTGGACTAATTTAGCGTTATATATGCATTTACGTTCGATTAGTACTGACGAAGGACATCTTATTCGACAATTACTTCACCTAATGCTGAACGGCAATGAAGATAACGAACAAGAAGATCGATTGAAAATCATCAGAGGACTAGAAATTATCGCAAATTTAGCGCATGCAGGAAATGATAATGGAATTTATCTGATGGATTATATCGATATCATTATACAACGACTTATCCATGTTTCGGACATACTTGTACTAGTACATGCTTTAGAATGTTTATATCAACTATCGGAATTAGGTAAGATGCGCTTTGTATGGGTTCAATTTGACATTGTAATTGTAGGAGAACAATTGTGCAATGCGATACTTACAGTGCAATCGTCGACACCGATTATAACGACACTGATAGATTTATTGACCATCGAAGCGCGAAGTTTTTCTTCTCAGACGATCAAAACAATAAAGATTGTTGAAATGTCGACAGGTCCTGTACTTCTTCCATCTTATCACCAACCACCTTCAAGTCAACAAACATTGAATGCTCATCAATCTGTCGTCGTGATCTCAACTACGCAACCACAGCAGCAGCAGCAGCCACAACAACAGACCTATGCTGTTGAAAACACAGAAATGAACAAGAGTTATTATAGCACAAACAATCGATTGATTCTACAACAACAACATTCAAAACCAATCTCAGTAGCAAATGTGATTACATCAGGAAATCTGTTAGCAGTGACCACGTCGCCAGCGCAGAATGCATCCTCAACATCAATCATTGTTGCAAATGCACAGTCGAACCAAACTATTGATCAAAAACGCAAATATGACTGTAAATAACTTTTCGATGACGCGAATAAAGATTTCATTCTGTTTCTTGCTTCAGCCATTTCGGAAACGATCGCTGCTGTCGTTAACGGTACTTCGCCTTCTCCATCTCCATCGTCGACACCTCCACCACCAAAACGTTCACGTCCATCTCGGCCACGGGTGACCCCGACAAAAAATGCTATAATTATAGCCCCCGCACCACCACCACCGCTGCCGCTACCCGCTCGACTTCTTCCATCTTCGTCGGTTGAAGAAGATACCAGCAGCATGGAAAGTACTAGTACGAGTAACAGTATTCATTCTACTATGGCTGATCTTCTTGATCGATGTTCATCGCCACCTTCAATCGAACACGATGTTCGTTCATGTCTGAATGATCTATGTCATCGAGCGGTTGTGAGCATCGAGGACCCAGTCTTAGCAACATCTATCGTCTATAATTCAATTCCATCGCCGGTATTTAAACGTAAAGTAGAAGAACAATCACCGTCTATAAACAAACGCTCAGCTAAATCCACCAATCAAAATGATGAACAAACGCCAAAGAAAAAACGAAATCGATCTTCAGGAAAAAAAGCCGCGATCGACGTCGCAACACCAGTAATGAAAAAAGAAGAGCCTATCGAACCAGAAATACCAGATATTAAACCCACACTGATCTCTTCAACTGTCATGACATCGGCTAATCCTTCAGATTATATTTGTGAATGGGAGAATTGTCGAAAGTACATGATTGATAACTTTGTTTTCGTTTCATCTTATTTTGTTTGATTTAGATCGTTTCCTACAGCTCGTTCTGTGTTTCATCATGCTTGTTCAGCTCATATCAAATATCTACCCGAATATGTTTGCTTGTGGAATGGTTGTGATCGAATCAAACGACAAAAATGGGCCTTAATCAGCCACATACAAGTAGATCGATTTGCTATTGATCATTTGTCTTTTGTTATTCTATTCAATGAATTCATTTAGGAACGTCATTGTTCAGAAATTGCCTTTCGACAAGCTAAACAGAAATCGGCCATTCCAGTTACGACTTCGTCTACGACAACAACAGCATCAACAACAAATGGACCATCGACATCAACAACTGTCGGATATGCACCAGACGCTGCTTGGCTCGCTGTTCGACGACACATGCAAGTCACTTCGTTCGATGATCTACTAGTACGTTGCGTCTTTCTCGTCAATAAATGCAAATTTTATTTTTCTATTAGAACAAAGTCAAAGAAGGTCCACTGACGAAAAGTATTCGGTTAACCGCTGCACTTATCCTACGTAATATTGCTCGTCATTCATTGATCGGAAAACAGTAAGTTGTCTTTCATCGAACTTGAAATACAGATTTAACATGTCGTTGACTTTCTTATTAGAAATCTTCGCCAATACGAACAACATCTTGCCAATTTAGCCTTAGAACCATCCGAAGCATCACATACGATCAGTTCATGTTTATTTGAGCTTTACAATTGAAATTTTTGTTTTGTTTCGTCTTCAATGTAAATGAATTGTATGCTGAAATGTTACGATTGTTTTCTCTATTAATGTGAATGTCTTCTGGTTTCTTTTTTTGTACTATTTTTCTATTTGTCTTCAATAACATGAAACTACGGACGAGAGATTCACAATAATGTTTCAATCATTTGTCTATTTTCTGAGATACAGTCATATAGATCATATGTAAACACTTCGAATATCGTTATCTCTTTACTCTCACATCCTCACTCATCTGACCAATTCTACGCACTCACACCACGCTGAGAAGTGTATCTGAAATAACTATCGGTTTCCGTATTCGATTTTGCATCAGTTATCATTATCAACGTCTATTTACGATCGTCTCCTGTTCTAATAATACACAGGACATTGTTAATATTGTTCATTTGATGTTCGGTTCACAACAGGCAGGTTGATCTTTGATAAGTAGTTCTCATATTATTACCAGTCGATTTTGTACTGGTGAACTGTCAATAAATCATGATTACTCTCTAAATATTTCTCAACGAACACCTGTCTATGTTGGTTTTACGATAGTTATCGTGAATAGCACTGCAGGACTCGATCATAATGACCCGGTTATTCGTAGAGGAATTGGAACACCTGCAGTGACAAGAAAATCTCCTAATAATCGAATTGTCAACGAACAAAGTACTTCCATCTTCGATAATTATTATCAAACGAAACTCAATCATTATTTTTTTATTAGAAATACTCTACTAACTAGTAGAGTAGCTTTATTACCATTCTCGCGATTCATTGTCGTATGAATATTGCAAAAAAATACAGCTATAGGTGTCCGATAAACGATCAAATCGATCTCTAATTCAATTAGGTCTAGTCTTTCGTTAGTCAAACAGATGTTTTTGGTTCTCTTCTTCTAATACGTATCAAGAGATTGTCATAATGTCATTATTTGTAATTATCTAGAAAAACGTCACAAAAATAGACATTTTCGAATGTCTGATGACATTCTATCCATCCAAAACAACAAAATCGATAAAAGATTGCCCGAAGATTTACTTCTGTCTCTCAAACAAAACAGGTTTGTTTTTCATAATCATCCATTATTTTCATTTCGCTTGTCCTATTGTCTGTTAATCGTCATTCGACTACTGTCAATCGATGCGGTTAGTCAAATCGAATAGATTTCTATTCTTTTCTTGATTTTCAGAATATCCGCGAGATTTTCGTATAAAACAAAATTCGGACGCTAAATCGTGATCTATTTGTGTATTCATTCGTTCTGCTTGCTTACTTTCTATCATAATGAAAGTAAGCATGACGATTATTTGCCGTTCTCCTCTTCTCTCTTTTTTCTCTTTCCTTCTAGACTGATTCGTTGTTTTCTGCCAAAATAAAAGACATCGTATGTACTGTTAATGATGATGACGGTTCTTTACGGTAGTCCTCGATATAGACAGACAACCGTGCGTGCATAGTGTGTCCTTTATTGAGTCACATTCTTTGATTGATACCATTGTGTGCAGTACATCGTTCACCTTGACAAATACACGATAATCGTTGTTTGCGAACAACAAACGTCTTTCGTTTTTCTCTTTCAATCACAGGTATGTTGCTTAGACTTGTCTTACAAATTTCGCTTTCATAGCGACTGGAACAGAAAAAGGACAAATTAATTTTCTATGCTCTAGTTTCTGACAATCGGAATCCTTCGATTGAATATTGTCAGTCAACGCTAAAGATTTGCCTAATTTCAGTATTTACGCGATTGAGGAAAAAATTAATTTGGAGAGATAATATCAATTTTCGCTTTTCAAAGTCAAACTAGTTAGTTTACCTGTCAATTTTGTTTTTTTTAACCATAATAAATCGAAAAAAAAAACATCATTTGAGACGTTGTTATTAATTATAGCGTATGTCTTTATTTACTGATATCAAATAATCATTTAAAGAGAAAAATATTTCATTTTCTCCGCTCTCATCATTGAGAAAAGGCAGTTTGAGGTCAATATTAGTTCATTCCGATCAGTTTTCACGCGACATGTCTTTTCTTTTCAACGTGTCTCCATGGAAAAGAGACAAATTACTTTCGACATGAAGTCACATTGATGTTCATTAGAGTTTTGCGTTCAACGTTATTGAAGGCGACTCATCGATCATATCATTGATCAATACAGACTTGATAAATCACTTAAGATTATTGATATCTTGCCGGTAAGTCTTGAGGAAAGCAAATCAGTGAAAGGAAAAGATTAATCATAACCAGAAGGGAACGTTTCGCCTTTGACTGAGGAAGACGTGGTTAATTAAATTGCAGTTTTGTCAGTCGACTGTTTATTCTAGATTACATTTGAAGCTTTATTAACTATTCAGATAAACAGACAAAATAGAACGCGAGATTTTTAATTACAAACAGCAATCGAGACGATGAGAATTGACAAAATCTGACGTAGAAAAACCTAATCTTTGACTAAATATCGAATCCATCTGTTCGATAATAAAGCTCGAGGTAAAGCCTTCTGATATAATAACCTACAACTTGTTAGATGTAAACAGATAGTTGCCTTTGACGGGAACATCAGCCAAGCGGTGAAGTAAGAGAAAATGACTTTTCCAGGCGCAAGTACCCATCATATTTGATCTAGATTATGATTAGTGATCACGATACGATTGAGATTATATTATGAAAGTATTTCTATTTTGTACTATTGAAAAAAGTCATGTCAAAACGATGATTGATATATCTCATCAGAAGATTTTTATGATACACTGAATGTTGTTATCAGGAACAGTATGTTATTCTTTCTTGGTTTTTTAGCAAAAACAACAGTTGAGATTCTTATCGAAAAATTTGTTTTTAAGATTTACGAATACGTATAAATAGTCGACCGTCCACGTGGTTGTGATATGCTCATATGTTGTCAATAGAAGATGAAAGTCTGTATTGTCCTCCACTGCTTGATAATCTATGTTGGCCGCAAACACTGGCGAATGATTCGGTGACCATGCCATGCGCATCATTGGCTATGGGAGGCGTCGATCCAAGCAGTTAGTATTTTCTAGAGAAAAAAATTTAATTTTATTTAAAAATTATTTAGAATTTGTCACACGTCGATGCCTTCCGTCAGGTAATTGGGCCAATGTTTCGTATAAACCATGCGTGTATCCGGATGTGTGGGAATTAATGATGAAATTTTACATCCCAAGAACAGTCGATCAAAGAAAAGTTTGAAGTTTTGCCTCTTGTCTTCAAAAGATGATCTAATTATTTATGATTTGTTTTTAGACTTATACAGATATTCTACAAGCTGTTCGTATCATTGAACTTATTGGATTATCAGTATCATTCGTCAGTGTTCTTGTTTCACTTTTAATATTTCTAACATTCAGGTATAAAAAATCAGAAAAGTCAATTCAATTGCTTCTATTCTCCTTTTCCTAGATCACTCTATTGCAGCCGAACGAAGATTCATATCAATCTTTTATTAGCCATCTTTATTCAAATCGTCGCACGCATAGTTAACTATGGGTAAGTAGGAAATTTCGTTTCTCACGGACACGATTGGCCATTTTTTTGTATTCAGTATCGAAATGAAACAAAGGAATACACCATCGCATTTTGTACCACTGGCATGTGGTACGAATGCAAGTACTCCTTCGCCGGCGGCTCCATCTGTGTTGACTTATCTATGTCCATTGAAAGTTGTCTTTCTCCAGTTCAGTATCAGTGCCATGTTTATGTGGATGCTTTGTGAAGGCATTCACTTGAATAATGTTTTAACTGTTAGTGTATTTAAGAATCATTTTAAAACTTATTACTTCTATATCATCGGATGGAGTAAGTCGAAAAGGAAAAGCCAACATTTGTTTCAAATCGTCGGTTTTAGTTGTACCTTTTTGTATTACCTTGAGTTGGAGTATTGTTATGTTCCTGAAAGAAAGTGGACGAAAGTAAGTGAAACACTGAAATGATGAGATGTCAACATTGTTATTCATAATGCAGATGTTGGGCAAATTATAATTATTTGAAATATTATTACATTGTCGATGGGCCTCGATATGCAGTGATGATCGTAAGTTGTTCTTGATAATTCGTTGAAATGAATCGAAAAAGAGTTCTTTTAGATAAATGTTATCTTTCTGTTGAATATCATTCGAGTACTGTTGGTTAAAATTAAAGAAGGTTCGGAAAAACAGTTACGTGATAAGTACGTGAATGTCACTAAAACCTTGTCGATTCGCAGCAAGTCTTCTTCGAAAGAGATTCGTTTTCCTAAAAAGAAACCTACGTCTAAACATCCTCCCGGCATCTTATCTAGCTTGAAGAGTTGCATTCATCGGTAAATGAAAAGCTCGATATTTTCAATCGCTTATGTTAACAATGAGGAATAGATGTTTCATGATATCTTATTTCGAATTCTAATCTATTTCAGTCGAACCCGACGTGGATCAATGAATACAAGATTTGTTAGGTAAATTTTGACAGATCTCGAACTTTCGTTTCATGAAATTTACTTGTAGAAAAGCAGTCAAAGCAGCTGTTTTTCTTTTACCATTATTGGGTATCACACATATGTTGGAAACATTTGTTTCACCTGGTAAGACACGTTCGAGTTCGGAAAAAGAAATTATTTCGTACATTTTGTTACATTCAAGACCGTCAATCAATTCCATTGTTTGCACTTTATTGTTCGGTGACGTATTTCTTGGTCACGTTTCAAGGATTTTTCTGTTCATTACTTTATTGTTTCTTGAATACTGAAGTAAGTTTCGATATTTCGTAATGGAATGATGAATTCCTTCTCTAGGTCCGAGACACTGTATCTCGTCGTTTGCGATCTACGCACACATGGACAAGTTGTAAGCAATGGCTAGGACGAAATGATCGATACGAAAAAGACATGTGTAGTAGTGCTGATCGAACACGATTGGAATTATTAATCTCGCGATCTGTTTCACGACCGGTATGGTTTCTTATATTCGAACCATGAAAGAAAAAACGTGTTTTTCTCTATTGTAGAAAGAAAGCACGGTTCAAATAGATGATCGTCGATTGACAACTGATGTTGACGATTCTTGTATTCAACCATTGAAAACGACTTGTTAAATATTTCTCGAAAATAATATGTCTGTTGTTATAGTTCTTTTATTTTTCGATAACAATTCTCTCTCTCTCCTCTCCTTTTTCTTTGTTCTTTCTTTCTCATTGTCTTCATCTTAATTCTTCGATGAGCCAAGAGTATAAAAATGTACAAATATCCTATTTTTAAATCCTCGAAAGAAAACTTCTTACGAACAAACAACCAATGAACGTCGATACTAAGCACAAGTAAATGTATTAAGGACAATCGATTGATTTGCATATTAGAAAAGATATAAAAACGTTTATGACATAATCTGTTTCTGTGTGCAAATCAAATTAACGATACATTAGATTCCCGGAGCGTGTCTCGATTCGAACAACGGAGAAAACAAAAGTCTGACGATTTCATAATCAAATACAAGAAAACGGATATTGAAGATAGTTTGACAAATATCAAAGAAATCAGATGATTTCAACCTTCTATTAAGTAGTTATTATCGATTTGACCAATCGGGTGGAAAAAATAGATTTATTTTTCCCTATCGTATTGTGAACAATTTATAATCAGCGTATGTGGAGATAAATCATCGATAACCTATTTCAATTTGAGGAAATAAACAGTATAAGATAAAGGTCATTCATTCAGTAATCTCAAATAATATTAAATGATCTCTCCATAAATCAAACTCATGTGTAGAAGAAAACATTGATGAATTAAAATGGTCGTCAATCAGTAACATTATCTGACACTTGCATAGTTCCTGTTGTCAAGTCAAGTGACTGTCTTGTCCACTAGACCGTTATCTCTTCTCCTTCTCCTTCTACGAAACGTCCACCCCAACTACTACTAATCGAATTACCTCTACACATATGTTCATCATCTCTCCCTCTGCTTGTTATTCTTTCTACTATAGTCACTTACCATTCGACAAACTCAATCTCAATTACACACATTCAGATAACTTAACTCCATACATATACACTCCAACATCTGTTTGGACTACCACCATTATNCCACTAGACCGTTATCTCTTCTTCTCCTTCTACGAAACGTCCACCCCAACTACTACTAATCGAATTACCTCTACACATATGTTCATCATCTCTCCCTCTACTTGTTATTCTTTCTACTATAGTCACTTACCATTCGACAAACTCAATCTCAATTACACACATTCAGATAACTTAACTCCATACATATACACTCCAACATCTGTTTGGACTACCACCATTATTTCGATATCAATGAATTATGTTCAACTTCACAAAAGATAAGACAACATTCAAATTCTCTCTCTCTCTCTTCCATTCATCTACACCATTAGAATGCACATTAATCGTCACCGATCTCACTCACATATTTCAATATTATGACATGCATAACCTTTCCTTTTCCTTCTTCCCGTCTTCTGCTTCTCCGTCTTGATCGTCGTCATCATCGACTCTCCTGTTTCATTCACGATTGAATGCATTTCCGCCTATACTCTATATTTCATTGCACTCATACCATCATCATCAGCATCATCATTGCTCAATTGAAAACAAACTAGCAGACGAATGCAATAAGAGAGATGGTGGGTCATTCGCAGTTGAGTCTTCTGCTCAAGGCTACCTCATTTCCATTGTGTCTCCTCTTGTGCATTTCCTCAACTTGACCAAGATTATTCTAATCTTTTTCATGTATCCACTTACAATTGCAATTGCCACTGATGCGGGTGTGTGTGTGCTCATCTCAGACGACATTGGAGACACTTGTTGAAAAACGATTCTCATCTTGATTTCCGCTCCAACTCATGTGTGTATGTCGATGGACAATACATAACATACAACAAAGTTAAGTACTGAGGATCACGCACAACCACTCCTCCCTCTCTCTCTCTCCATTTTTATTTCTATTTCAACGTTACATTCGTCCACATCTATGAACACACAGAGACAGAGACACAGAGATACAGAGAGAAAGAAAGAATCTAATTACAAAGTGATCATCATTGTTTAGTCTGAAAACAGATCGACAATGATGGAAGTGAAATTGAATTTTCGCCTTCTTCCTCCTCTTACGACATTCTCGCGCACAGGAAGAACACTAAATTATAATCTCTCTCCTCTCCTCTCCTCTCTCCTCTTCTCTCGTCACCCGAAAAGAGAGATTGACAACAAAGATATGTCTCTCTCTCTCACTCTCTTCCTCTGTGTGTGCACCCTTCTCGAGAGGCTATTTGGTGCTCAGCAAGACACTACTGACGATTTGATGATGTTGATCATGATGATGATGATATGGGCTTATATTATGTTTAAGTATGTGTATACAAATACAATCAGAGTAAACGAATATGAGTGAGTGGATGAGAGAATATGGGTATCGTCGATTGAATAAATGAACACACTTGTAATGTGTTATGATGTCCAAGCAGACATATTCATTCTCACTCTTCACTTGTCAAGTACATGTACATGTTGATCTGTTGTTTACCAACACAACTATTCATCTACTTCTTTTTCTTTGCAGATACATTACAAACATTAACTATGATTAGCTCAACAAACATCACTTTCGTTTTGTTCTTCGTTCTTCTCTATTCGCCTGTTGTCCAGTCTCTCCAAGAACTTTCACTCGATCTTTCCATCAAAGAAGAACAACCCAATGGCACACTCGTCGCTGATTTGACCACTCACTTTCCATTCTTCGCCAACGACTCTCACGGATATCTTGTCAAGTTTGTTCGATCGTGTCCCAACATCTATCTCGATCCGCACAATCCATTCTTCCTCCGAGCATTCACAATCGATCGTGAACAGCTCTGTCCATATGAGCGCACTTGCTCCTTCCACTGTCAACTCTTTCTACAAAAGCGTGACATTCATTTCATTCACCTCAGATTCAACATCGAAGACATCAACGATCATCCAGCACAGTTTCGCAAGCGAATCTACTCATATGAACTCGATCAGAATCTGCCTCTCAACTACCATCTTCAACTCGAACAAGCCGAAGATCAAGATTATCTCTCTCGACACACCTATTCTCTCAACATCTCATCCTCATCCTCATCCTCTCACTTTCCATTTCGACTCAACTATGACGAGAGCAACCATCTACTCGAACTCATCCTCGTCCAACCACTATCCTCATCCACTCGCAAATATGCATTTGCGCTCATCGTGGACAATGACGAAGGCAAAGAAGAAGATCGATGTCTCATCGAACTGAAGATTCTGTCGAACGAACAGAAGAACTCGTCACCTCCCGAGTTCGACTCCAAATTCTATCAGTTCGTCATCTCTGATCCTAATCAAACATTCGTCGGCAAAGTGCATGTTCAACACCATGAACAGTCAAGAGAGACACATGACGACAAAGTCTACTATCGATTGATATCATCGAGTGAGCAGACCAATGATCTCTTCAAATTAAACGAAAGATCGGGTGAGATCTATCTCAGACAGAAACCTTCCGAACTGAGCCTGAACGAGATGTATGAGTTGTTCGTCGAAGCATTCTATGCCAACTATCTCTCATCGCTCACAACTGTTCACATCGCTGTCAATCTCACTCACTCGACCTCGTCATCTGCATCCACTTCTCAACAACAAGATTACTTCATCGAGATTCTTATTCCCAAACTCTTCCACAAGAATGCATCCAACCTCAACCAGATCTATCTACAAGAGAACTCCACAGTTCCACTCACGCTTCTGCAGTTGTTCATTTCATCTTCATCCATCTCACTTCTCAACGTCACTCTCACATCCGCACTTCGACTTGACTTTCGCCAGTACTTTTCACTCAAACAACTCGACAGTGACGATCAACAATCATTCGAGCTCATTCTCATCAGACCGTTCGACTACGAACTCATTCAGCACTTTCATCTCGACTTCGTTCTCACTTCTCACAACTTCACGCACAAGTCGTTCGAAGTGTTCGCCGAGAACATCAACGACTGTCGACCAGAGTTCGACGAGAATGAGTATCGCTTCGAAGTACAAGAAAACAATGTATTTCCCCTGCTTCTGCACACTTTCCATGTGTTCGACCGAGATCAGATGGATAACATTGTGTACGAGATGCAAATGCAAGGTGAGTTCTATTCTTCGTCCGAACAAGTAGATTATGTCGTGTATTCGTTGTGTGTGTGTGTGTGTTTAGATGACGATGCATTTGTGCTGAACTCCACGAGTGGTCAACTGTGGATTATGAAGTCATTGGATCGTGAATCTCGAGCACAATATTCGTCGGTGATTTGTGCTTTTGATCAAGTGTTTCGCACTTGTTCATCCCTTGTCATCGTTGTGCAAGATGAAAATGATAACATTTGTTCTTTCAATTCTTCATCGCTGACATTGAACGTTGACGAGAATCTTCCACCACACTCGCTTCTCACCCGACTACAAGCATTCGATCCAGATCAAGGATCTAACGGAACATTGCACTACGAGTTCGTGTCACCCACATCTTATCTCACCGTAGATCCATCGACTGGCTCACTCTACACATCACCGTCACATGTGTTCGATTATGAGCTCATGCAACAGTATTCCATCACAGTCAAAGCTTGTGACAACATCCGATCGTTGCCATCGTTCTGCTGCTATTTGCAAGTGAACATTCATCTCAATGATATGGATGACAATCGACCCTATCTCACCTATCCATCGAATACCAATCAATTGTTTCTCATCAACTATTCCAACAAGTCCATGCCTCAACTCAAAGCATTCGATGATGATATCGAAACAAAGAATCGACTCATCTCATTCGACATTGTGGGTGGCACCCTTAACACATCACTCTCGGTTGATCGTCAGTCGGGTCAACTGTATCTTGTGGATGATCACAATCTACCTTTGTATGGAACACTGGTGATTTCACTCTCATCTCGAACTCTCGTTTATCTCACTCTTCTCATTCATGATCATCATACAGATCCTGACCGTTTCCTTCGTCTGCAAGAAGAGTCACAGTCGACATCATCGTTGATTGCGTCGACGTTGTCCTCGCCGCTGTTCTATTTGATAGTGTCGATTTGTATCGGCATCAGTATCATGGTGATGACTCCGATCGTGTTGATGTTATACTTTTGTAAACAAAAGTCTCATCACGATAGTAATCCACTAATGACAACACCGTCGACAACGACACTTTCTGGTCGATCGATCTCGACGACGGCGACTGGAGTGAGTGCGAAGAAACTGTGTGAGACATATTATTCGTTTGGAGATAGTGCCAGTCATGTACCAGTTATTCAAGTGTAATGGGTCGTTTTCTGTTTTTAATTTATGTTTATGCTTGTGTGTGAAATATAAATATATAATTTTGGATGTTTTTGTATGTAAAATAAAGCTGCTATTGATGTAGGGAGGATATTTATGGTGATATGTTGAATCAAGAACAGAAGCTGTTTCGGAAGGAGAGGAGAACATGAATTGCGATTGGAATAATGCGTTGTTCGAGTAGTTATACAAGATACTTCCTTTTTTGGATTGTTGAGGATCAAATATAATTGAGGGAATAAATAGTATGAATAGGTTTTTATTATTTGCAAAAGCGTTCTCTCAGACAGGGATTATTTTTGATAGGAGTAACACAATATTAAATAGCAGCTCGTGTATTTCAGGAAATAGAGTATAGTCATAGGTTCGAAGTGAAACCTACTCATGTTTGTTTTCTGTTGCTTGAGACCTGCGAAGTCGTTTCAGCTTTTTAATTGCTTTCTTGAGATTGTCTTGGTAGAGCTTAACCGCTGGATGATCTTTGTGAAAGACAATAAGCGCATTTAGACGCGCTTTCTTATAGAATCGTTTCGCTTTGATGAGTTGGTTCATTTCATGATAAATTCCAGCAATGTTGTTATATGACGTAGCAATATCTGCAGGATTGCCGTGTAAACGCTCAATTCTTAACGTGCGCTTAAAATTTGCTAATGCTTGTTTGAAACGACCTTGCTTTAATTGAACCATAGCGATATTGTTATAGGATATTGCATATGATTGATGTGAGTTCGGATCGGTTCCAGTCAACCGTAGTTTGAGATCGAGTGTATGTTGAAACGAGACTTCGGCTCCTGAAAAATCTTGTTGTTCAAACTGCAATGTTCCCAAATTGTTCAATGTCTTCATATACAGTAAATTTTGATCTTTTGTTCGTTCAAAGTTCAAAGATAAAATGTGTAACGCTTGTTCCAGATACTCACGCGCTTTGCTGAAGCTTTTTAGCTCTTGATGAAGTAAACCGAGGTTATTGTAAATATGTGCTAAAGAATGATGGTTAGCCGGTAGAGTTAGCTGGTAGATGTTCAACGATTTTTCATACAGAGTTAAACTCTTTTGATAGTTTCCCAAAGTTTTTTCCAGTGACCCTAGATTAAGATATAGTTTGGCAAACTCTAAATGCATCGGTGGTAAATATTTTTCTTGAGTGGTCAGCGTTCGTCGATAATAGCTCCGCGCTTTTTTATATTGACCTTTCTCTTCAAAAACCGCAGCAATATTCGATAGAATAGATATGGACTTCTTTGTCGACGGTTCCAGTCTTTTAGCACGTTGAAAATATTTCAGCGCACGATCGTATCGACATTGATTGAGATATACTAAACCCAAATTACTCAACGTGGTAGACAAGAAAACGCGGCTGTTTTTAGCGACAGAATATGCTTGTTCAAGAACTGACTGCGCAGCACTGTAGTCAGCCCGATTAATATGCAATAGGCCAATGCTATTAAAAAGTGAAACATGCAGTTCTGGATTTTCGTCGGCTGGTATTTGATATTGAAGTATAATTCTGTAGAACTGCTCAGCCTGATCTAACATACCCATGGCAGACAAGAAATCACCGAGTGCAAGTTCACTTGTGGTAGATTGCGTTAATTCGATGCTTTCGTGCGAAATTAGTGTTGATAAACATTCTTTTGCTTGTGTTTCCCTTTGAAGAAACACCTCATACGTCGAGTCGTATTCTTCCACTGCAGTGATTCGAAATATTGTGCCCATCGAGAATAAAATCTCTTTTTCATCAAGCTTACTACTGTATTGACTAATGTCGGCAAACGGACGATCAAATGCCGTACTGTTGTCGTTGTTGTCGATATTTAAATCGATTGTAAAAACCACGGATGCATGTGATGGTAAACCCGATCCATGACCTGCGTAAAGAAAAGCAACGCTTGCATCAGTAGTGGTTGATAAGAAGGTATTCATGGAAATCAAACCATTGACATTGTTTTTAATCGCTTCTAGTTCATTCATGGGTAAAAACTGGCCACGATAAGCTTCTTTTCGGAGTGGAACTGCACGTGCTTTTGCTATGCCAGATAATTGTGTATAGAGATCAAGAATGAAAAATCGAAAAGTGAAGATAGTACAAATGTCTTGAGTACGAAAAGCTCGATTTAACAATCGATAAACGAATGAATCGTGCGTGTACCACCAGATGGCTTTCGATGGTTGATAAGTGCTAGCAAATTCGTTGATTTTCTTAAGTTCAATTGGATCTGAACGATAATAACTGCGCGCTACTTCCAGCATATCGGTCATATTGTTTGTGCTGCGTGGCATTCTCAGGAGAACGTCGAGTAGTAGTTGAAACCAGATGAAACGAACTTGATCATCATTGAGATCTCGAATCGACATATCTTTTCCATGTGTAAGGTCAAAGACTGACATTGGCACAAGAGGGTCGAGTTCTACATCTTTTTGTTCAGATTTATTACAATGTTTGTCATCGAAGATAACACGAATATAGATTTCTTCATTCCTCGAATGTATCTGACATCCTTTGAGTACATATAAACGCCTCAATCCAAACGATGAACATTTACGAATAATCGTCTGTCGTATATCTTTTATTGACAGATAGTCTATTTGCCAAACCAATACATAAAGGTTTTTGATATACTCTTGTTGAGCATACGCGATGCACTTGTCTAAACTGTCGAATATTTGCATATCCGAGTCTAATTCACTTATTTTTTGACACATTTGATACTCATCTCCTTCTAAGTTTTGTTCATTGTCATGCAACAGAATACGTTTAAACGATGCTAAATCAACAACTACACCAAATGGTAGAGGTAGACTCGGTGCACACAAAGAGTCCTTGACTTTTCTACTTTGCCGTTTGTTTCTTCGATGATATTGCTTTCGCCGTCGACCCATGAATGATAACTTTACACCATATAACAATAATAAAATATGAAACCATGCTATTTTATATATATCATTGCGACTGAGACGACTAGTTTTTTTATGATTGTGATCAACAAAGGTGAATTATATAGAAAAAAAGACTGTAAAGCACATGCGAGGTTTTTTTTCCTTTCTTTCTTGCATAAGTTAATATTTACATCCGACAATGTTGTTCTGAGAGTAAGAACACATCAATCGTAAAAAACAAACGTACTAAAGACACTTCAAATATGATGAGATCGATCAGACATTCTCATAGTTTCCTGCGAGGAGAAGGCAAAATTCTTTCGACATTCTGTGCATCAGCAATGTAAAACTTCTTTTATCGATATTTCATATTGTACGTATAGCACACCATCCGTTGGCAAGGTGCATTCCGACCAAGAAACTACAAAAGTTTCCTGTACAAAACTGTTCTTTTCGAAGCCGCCGAATTTATAAATCGCATATGTCACATTTGTAATTCTAACTGAAGATCAAAACAAAACATTTTTCATGTAATTTTTTCCAGAAACAATTATTCATGAGTTCTTCATCGATTGTAATGACCATTGGAGTTACTAGTTGAGCCAAATTGAACATTACTATCCACAATTCATCTCTATTCATCGGCAAACTTAATACAAGGAAGCATCGTCCCGATTTCATCTTCCACAACATTTAATTTCATTTATTGTTATTCGTCTTCTGCTCACAATATTATTTCACTCACTAACTCATTTCCAGAAAGAGTTATCCATCATTCATTCGGTGTTTCGCAATACACCGCCTGATAATCACAAGATCAAAATAACATCACTTGTACTTATGAGAAAAAGATGATCCTACAGCAATCATTACACAAACACAAATATTTATATTACCCATTTCCTTTCTTTATACTGCACAAAGTTTCAATCACATAATCCACATGGATTCCCACTCATCAATCAAGAACCATCGCAACAGTTATTTTCTCACGCCTAACATTTTTAGTATAAGCAGGTTCAATATAACATATTTATCAGTGTTACATACAATTATTCAATTCTGTTCCACGCATACATACATAAATAATTCTCGAAACATCAAGCAAAAAACCATTCCCTTTTCACACAAACATAAAATAAAATAAGAATAAACAAACAAAAAAAAGCGATT